CTGGTGCCGGGGTGGCCTCCGCTGCTGCCAACAAGCCGGCGGCAGCAACACTAGTATTACTGTTAGCAACGCCGGCGCTGGCAATGGTGGCGACCACCACTGCTGCAGCGCACTGCTCCGCATGCGCAGTTTCTGCAGCTTCGGTCGTCCCAGCGGGAGCCTCAGCGGCAGCAGCAGCAGGGGCCAGCTGACACAGGGAGCTGGCGGAAACCGCAGGTAATGCGGCACCCAAGGATGCGATGGCGGTGACACTCGACTTGCATGATGGGGACGGCAATCGTGCTGGTGCTGCTGGAATGATTGAGGAGTTGCCGTCGTCGCCGCCAGGCGAGGTATTACGTGTAGTCGGGACGGCAGTAGTGAAGAGGCCAATCACACAGTCCGAATTACTGAATGACCTGCCGTAGGGCGAGCAAACGAGCGGATCCGGCTGTTGTGGCTGCAGCAGGGACAGAGCGCGCTGTGGCATTCGCCGCTGTTGCTCTTTCGGCTGCTGTTGCTGCTCTGGCATTCGCATGCGCACGTCTGACGTGGCAGCAGGTGCAGCCGGCGGCGGGAGGTCTACCGCTGCCAGCTGTGGAACTCGGCGCGTTTCAGGGAAGAGCGCTGCTGGGGCCAGTTTTCGTTGGCCCACGAAGGCTGGTTGGCTGTAGCTCGGCTCGAGCGCGCAGAGCTGCTGCGCGCTTATGGTGGGGCAATGGTTGGCTGGCAGGCCATGCCGCAGCGGCCCGTGCTCGGGTTGCAGTGCAGCCAACATGGCTGGGTCAGCAGCAGGTCGTCCGGCTGGAGGGTCCACGTTGCAAAGCTGCATGCCGGCGCTGCACGGGCAACTGCAGCCAGAAGGTCCATGTTGAACTTCAAAGCAAAGCCGTGCTTGAGAGACTTTGGGAGAGCCGTTGGGGGCAAGAAGGTTTGCCCCCGAAGTGAGCGGCAAGGATCCAATTACGTTACTGTCTGTATCCGAGTAGAGGCTGTGCAAAATGGCACATGTATGTTGCTCGCCGGGCGGCACCATTGTCTTCCAAGATGCAACTCCGCTTTCGGAGTTGCCAGAGACCGCTAATGCCATATTTGGATGCTGAAGTTTAGCGCTGCACCTCCCCGCCTGTCGTTCTGGCTGCCATGGGACCTGGTTTCCAACGGCGACCCCTTGAGTCAATCCGAAGGACCAATCAGTAGCAGCGGTTGCTGAGTATGGATCGTACGCGCCGTTAAGTCCCATGTAGCTATGCTGGTAGCCCGACTGCGCGTCGCGTAACGATGGCAACATGAATCCATCATGCACAGATGCGGCACGGACCAGCCCACAGCGAATGTCCAGTGGTTCAGGGGCATACTGTGGATGCCAGCTGGGTGCATTTGTGCTGCGGCTTGAGGAGCGAGCATGTCCGGCACCCGGATAAAGCGTTGCCGCCTGGTCTATTTGCGCCCTTCCTAAGCGCTGAGCAGTGCCCATAACTTCAGTGGACTGGCCACATGCACCAAAATTGCCTGAGCGGTCAGTGGGGTACATGCACGCCCACGATGCACACCCAGCGCAAATGCCAAGCCAACTCCCGGACAATAAAATATCAGTTAAGAGTAATAGTATAAAGTTCAGGAGATCACAAACTATAAAGCCGCCGCCTAAGTTCGGAATACTCCCGTAGGCACTTGCAAACGCGTCTATACCCGTTGGGTCAAGGGCTTGCAAATGGGAATATGGCAAAATACTATGTATTTCCTAAACATAAAGGTCTCGGCGTCAGACCCAAAACGTTCCTGGGCGTGGCCGCACTAGTACTGCACGGATGTGGCCCCCTTTGCAGTTTGCGCAGAGGAAAATCCTTAGACAACATGCAGCGTGTAACCTAATTAGTATACGTCGTCAATAGCTAGCTATATCTTTTTATTCAGTGTTGCGTGAACGGGCACTGGTACGGCTGAGCCTAGGGGGACCTCCTTCCGAAATGCCGTTTTCCTTGACTCCATTTGTAGCAACACCCTCTATGACTTCAAGCGTATTTGCAAGAAGTTAACTCGGAGTTCGACCACTGAAAACCTACTTGTGCAACAAGTTTCCCAAAGCGGTTATATATGTTCTGATGCCTGCCGAAAAACAATTCCGCGCATGGCTATATCTGCTGCATGCAGATTCCCCTCTAATTGGTGTCCGATGGTGGAGTTTGCGTAGGCCGTCAACGGGCATGGCTGCTCCACAACTTAAGAAAACAGAATATGAACTAGCTAGGGATGAAGACACTTTTGCGTTTCTGGCCCGCCCTTGATTCCAGGCGCTTCGCGAGGACGCGGCTCGGAAGCAAGGGAAGCCATAGTGATACCCTCGGTTTTGCTGACTATGTTGACGCTAAGGTAAGCGGCTCCCTGACGTTCTGCGCGCCAAGCAGCAGACGCCCTATGCGGATGGCCGGCGTATCCCGTTGGAGCTGTACGCTGATCCCCCCCGAGGGTGTTGTCATTTTTGGAATCCGGTATTCGACTGCTCAACTCGCGCCAGTGAGGGAAAGGAAACCACCGGTTGCCTTTATGCCGTGTCCTGTATACTTTGACGCGCTGGTGTAGTTATGCCGGGCCCCAGCGGCTCCAAACGCATTCGCCGCTCAATGGGCGGTTCGCCTCAGGTGCAAAAACGTACCCCCGCCCGCACCCCCGCCCTTACACTGAGCATAAGCCTAATGCGTGGCGCTTGCTTTGCGAAGCCTGCTTGCATTTTGGCTAGTGGGTCCCTAACATGGTTGCCAACATTGCTGTCCCCAAGCCAACAGTTCCTTCAAAAGGGTACGTCTATAGGCAAAGCCTTTAGAGTTATTGTACTGCACGTGATTTTGTGACCCAGGAATATTGTCGTCACGACTTTCAGCGCAACGTGAACTGCATTTCCATGCTGCGTTGCGCCTACCTTCGAACAAATTCAACACAGATTTATTAATCGGCATACGTATGCGCAAGGAAAGCATGCATACTTGAAAAGCGAACCAAGTTTGTTGTTCGTTGGTGTCTGGGAAAAGTATTGCAGAGATGCAGACACACGCGGACACGAAGGCATTTCTATAGAATGCTCTTCAATAAAGAACTGTCTTCAAGAGGTGAGATGCGCGAACAACACGCGTGCGACCCAACCTAGAGTTGCTAACATTGAACTCTCCGGAACCCCTCGACGACCGTACAGGCGTCGTGGTTCTAAGCCGCACTCGTCGGGGTTCCGAGGGGTTCCGACCGCCGACATATGTTACATAAAAGTGAGCGAAACAACTGAATGTCTGCAACTTTACATGCGTACTTTGCCCGACATGGCCTTATTACCCTAGATACTGCTGCCTGAACGCCTTTCAGGTTGTAGTTGGGACGTGTAATCGTTGCTTGGGGTAAAACACTATGCGGCATGTACAAGCAAGTAGTGCAGCCCTGCCCTTTTCGTACTTGGCTGTTGCCTATTGCCCAGCAACCGCCCTGCTCCTCAAACGGTCTATGGGGACAGTTCTGTGTTTCTAACAGACCGCCTGGTGACGGCCTTTGAGCTGTTACCATGGCCGATGGTCACGTGTCGTACTTGGGTGTACGTCAGGGTTATCATCGGCCACCCTCGTCGTTCTTTTTCCGTCGTACAGGTACCTGGCTACTACCCAGACGCTGTTACCCTGGTTGCGTCCTCTTGAGGTCCAGCGAGATTCGCTTGCCTCCCTCAACTTAAATGTGACAACAAACGGCGAACAACATGCCGTTCACCACCGTGTTCCCTTCTAGGGATTCATGCCGGCAACTAGCAATGCATGAGGAGGGAACCGAGGTCTTCCCTTTTGCCCCAAATCCTTGGGACTCGGTCCCTACCAATTTCAGTCGTCACGGCAACCCCCCAGTCCAACAAAGTAAGCACAATCACCACTCGTCTTGCATTTAGTCAGCAACCGGAAGGTTCCTAACTGCAATTCTAATTCGTGCCAAGCATGCATGGAAAGCGGCTGGGCGCACACACGCAAGCCAGTTATTTTAACACACGCAAGCCCTTCTCTCGTGGCGTCTTCGGTCGGGACTCCATCTTTCGGCAATCATCGTTTGTTCCTACCGTGCTCGCGGCCAGTTTTCCTTAACGCACAGGCCACCCCACCAACACAGATGAGAGGGTCAGCAGCAGCAAGCAGCTAACATGCCACCGCACCAAGGGAACACATTTTCAACAACACCTACACTGTCCGCTACGCCCCGGCCCCCGGTACCGGTATGTGAAGCCAGCCAGCCACGGCAGCCAGCCAGCCAGCACACACGCAAGACCGTTCCTCACCCGTCCCTGCCAGCCCCCGCGCACCACCACTGCATGCACTGCGATACCCCCAGGCGCTAGGCCCCAACCAAATCGATACGACACAGCGTATGTACGGGTGCATGCGAGGTAGGGTAATCCAACCCAACTGCAATGAGCCGGGCAACCCAGCTGAGCCTAGGAGCGGCACCTCCCAGAAGCCCCCCGCGGGGCTCTCACTCTTCCTCCCGTGCCTCGATGCCTCCTCGCCTGCCATGCAGTAACACTCCCACCCGCCCGTATGGTATGGTCTTTGACCCAACTCGGTGGGGCTGCAGGGTGCCACCCAGGGCAGAGGTCCACATGGGCCGCTAGGGGCTGCATGCCACCTAGGTGGCACGGACCCGATAGCACACCTGGCATTCCCACGCCTCCTCCTCGTCCTGCTACTTCTATCGCCGCACTCCTCTCACTGCCGGACTGCCTACTTACCGCCATTTGCTTGGCGGGCACCCCGCTACATCCTCTCCATACTTGACTTGCCCTCGCCTGTGGTTCCCACAAGAACGAAGCTGAATCCTACTTCCCAAACATGGACCGCACCCGCTCCAGGGATATCGCCGCCGCGCCGCCCACACCACCCCCGCTGCGTCCCACCGACGGCCCCCGCGCCGCCTGCCCCGTCGCCCCCCCTCCTCCATACGCATTCCTGCCCCGCTGCTGCTGCCCCCCTCCTCCTGCTCCCCCTCCCCCTCCTCCCCCCGTCCCTCCATGCGCCCTGCTCCCGCTGCTCCCGCTGCTGCCCCCCGCGCTGGTGGTGGTGGCATCAGTGAACATGGCCCGGGTCCAGTGCTCCACCTCGTCCGGCTGCGAGGGAGGCGGCGGCAGGAAGGGCGCCTGCACCACGTCCCACCCGTCCTCCTCCACCTCCACACCACCCTCCTCGTCGTCTGGGGGAAGGGCGGGGGGGGGGCCAGGCGCAGGGGGGAGGCGGGTAGGCCGGCGTGTGGGGGTGGGTGTTCAATCCCGGAGGGAGTAGGTGGGGACTGAGTCACGTTGGGAGGGTTACGAGGTTTCACGACAGGAAGCGAAGGAACGCCAAGGAGGGCCAAGCACCAAGGGAAGCCCCCCCCCGACCAGACCTCCAGCTTGCATTGAGCTGGGCGAAGGGGACCCCACAGGGCAGCTCCTCGTCCCCCTCCCTCCGTGTGCACCCCTTCCCCCTTGCGTCCACTCCTCTCCCTCTCCCTCACCCCAAAACCACCAGGGATTGTCAGCAACTTGTATCATTATCATACCACACTTTGGAATTTCTTTTTTCACCCCTACACCCCACTCCTCCTTCCACACCCCTCCCACGCACCCTCAGTGCCCTCCTCATGCGCCGCTCCTCTGCGCCGCCCCTCACCAACTGCCCCCCCTCCTCCTCCTCTCCCCACTCCCTCACCCCCTACTACCCCTCCTCCCCCTCCCCCGCCTCCTCCGCCTCCTGCCCCCTGCAACACCCCTCCTCCTCCTCCTCCCCCTCCTGCCGCTGCCGCCGCCATCACCGCCTGGTGTGCCGCCGCCAGCACCGCCTCCGTGCCCGGCTCCCGCAGCACGGAGGCGCACAGCACCGCCAGCCAACCAAAGGGACCCCAGCCGGGGGGCAGCTGCAGACCCAGAGGCTGGACCTGCATGGGGGGGAGAGATGGGGAGGGGTGAGGTGGGGGGTGAGGGAGGTGGGGGGGGGGATCAGCAACAGCTGGGAAGGTGAGGAGGGAAGGCGGCGGTTCGGGTTCCTGCATAACAGCTGCAGGACACCCCACCCCCAATTCATCCACCCACCTTGTCCTTCACGAAGCACGCCAGGCTCCTCAGTAACATGTCGTACGCCAGCCGTAGGTCCGTGTGCCGCTGCCGGGTTAGTGCCTCATCCACGTGTCGGTCGTACGACCCCCCACCCCCGCCTGCCGTACCTCCACCCCCACCCCCGCCTCCTCCTCCGCTGCTGCCGCCGCTGCTCCCAGCTGCTGCTGACAGCGCCCGAAAGATGCCGCCCGCTGCCGCCGCTGCTGCTGCGGCGCCCCCCGAGGAGGAGGAGGCGGCTGGCTGCCCCTGTTGCCCCGTCTGCAGGCCGCCCTGCTGCTGCTGCTGCTGCTGCGAGGAGGAGGAGGCCCAGGCGGAGGGGCCGCGCACCCTGCATGCATGCATGCATTGGTGCATGGATGCAGGAGCAAGGGTGGGTCTATGCTAGTAAGATGACAGTAGCATCGACAGCACGTTTGACAAACTTCATACCTAGCGAAAGAGGCTACACCTCCCCTCCCCTCCCCTCTCCCTCCCCTAGCCCCTCCCCTCCCTTCCCCTCCCTCCTGCTCACCTGCCCAGGAAGGGCGCCCCCAGCCCCGGCCCGCCGCCCCCCCCTCCGCCTCCCCCCTCCTCCAGGAACAGCGGCAGCCGCGCCAGGCTGCTGCTGGGCCGCCTGTTCCAGAAGGAGTGCTGCTGCCACACCACACTGGTGGCCGCCTGGAAGGAGCCCTCGTGCAGCAGCGGGCCCCCCAGGTAGGTGGACAGCAGCTCAGTCAGCAGCAGCAGGTAGCCCAGTGCGGAGGAGGTGGACTGGGGGGGGAGGGGGATGGGGGGAGGGGGGAGGGGGGAGGGGGGGAGAAGACCAGGCCGTAGGAAAGCAGAAGTAGGGCAGGGGGGAGAGGGGATGTGTTTTACTGGAGGAATGGGGGTTAAAAGTTAAACAAGGGGAGACGACAAGGGCCCTGCCATGTGTGCGAGCTGAGCGCCGCCCTCCAGCAGCTGCTCCCCCTTCCTCCAACGACAACACCCCCACGAGCACCCACGCATGGCGGGCCCCACAGCCCACACCCAACCCAAATGCGCTCCGCCTCATCCTACCCGCCGCCTCCGTGTCCCTCCTCTGAGCCGCAGCTGCCCCAAAAGCCCCCTCCCCAGCCTCCCAACCACCCTCTCCTCCCCCTCGCCGCCTCCCTCTCCCCCTCTTCCCATCCCCCACCTCGGGTTGCTGAGTCATGAGGGAGGTCACGGAGGCGGCGTCCGGCAGCTTCAGGTTGCAGATCGTCACCTGGAGGAGCCGGGGGGAGGAGAGGGGGGGAGGGGGTGAGAGGTGGGGCTTGGGGGGGGGTCGAGCGTGCGGCGCAGGAGGCGGGTTGCCCCGGGCGGCACTGCGGAGGTGGGGTGGACGGAAAGTGCATGCTGGGGCCTGCCATAGCGCCCCGCTCTGCCCCCTCCGCCCCCACGTCCGCGTTCCACTGCCGCTGTGTGACATGCCCCCGCCCAAAACACACACACAAATCCCCTCTTCCATCTACCCTTCCCTTGGAGCTGGCAACATCACACCCCCTCCCCCTCCCCCTCCACCACCACCACCTCCACCACACCACGCGCACCTGTATCGGCGACCCGCCTGCTGCCGCCCCTCCTCCGCCTCCGCCTCTGTCCGCCGCTGCTGCCCCCCCTCCCCCCACCCCCAGCCCCCCTCCGCCCCCCTGCTGCGGGTGTACGTTCCTGATTGCCGCCACCCGCAGCGGCAGGCAGTCCAGCAGCACCGCCAGCTTGGAGCGCTGCTCGCTCAGCAGCATGGCCGCCACGTGGCTGTGGGTGAGGGCCTTAGGGAGGGGGAAGGGGGGGGAGGGGGGCGTACGTCTACAACTCTACTTGCATCCCGGGTAGGGTTAAGAGGGCAGAGGGCAGTAACGCCTGCATCCCGGTACTCCCTCCCCTCTCCCCACCCCGACCTCACCTGGTCATACAGCTCGTCCGTTGTCCGTTTCCTCCTCATTACCCCTCTCCCCCGTCCTCCCCTCCTCCTCCTCCTCACCTCCCCCCGCCCAGCCCCCCCCCTCCCCTCCCTCACCTGGTACCTCAACAGGGTGGGGTGGTGCGCCAGCTGCTCCGCCCGCCGCGCCGCCACCTCGCCCACACCCCGCTCCGTGGCAGCACGACGGCAGGCCAGCTGGGTCCGCAGCAGCGCCGCGGCGGACTTGGCTGCACGGGGGGAAGGAAGAGGAGGAGGGATGAGGGCACAGGAGGGGCGGGTGGAACATGCTAGAAGCCAGCAAGCGCACCCCCGTCGTGAACCCCCGTCACGTCACCTCCATGCATGCACATGCAGCACGGGTGCGCATGGGCTCGCCGGGCTACCCAGTCAGTGCTGGCGGAGCAGCAGCACCCTCAGGCAGCCCCTGCATGCGAACAACATGTCAACTGCCCACCCCCCTCCCCTCCGAATGCGCTCACTGCATAAGTAGGGATACGGGATTGGGACTCGTTGTTCCACTTCTTTAATTTTTTTCCCCTCCCCCTCCCTCTCCTCCCCTCACCCTGCTCCAGCGCCCCCTCCGCCCGCCGCACGCGCTGCCGGGCGGTCTCCGCCTCCGCCGCCAGCTGCCGCCGCCGCACCTCCAGCTCCACATGGGCAGCCTGGGGGGGGAGAGGGGAGGGAGGGGAGAGGGGAGGGAGGAGTGCGGAGGGGGGGTGGGGAGGGGAGCAGAGCGCGAGAGGAAGAGGAGGTAAGGGCTCAGGAGGGTGGAAGCGGAGCAGGAGAAGCCAAGGGACAAAGCCCTCGGGCCACCGCTGTGCAGCTGTGGGTTTGCCCGGGGGAGGGGTGGCATGGAACGCGGGGTGGATGAGAGTGGGGGGGAAGAAGCGGGTTGTATGGTGCGGCATTGCGGCGCAGTGCTTGCGTACGGGCGCCCGACGGGGCGATGGGAGCGGGAGGGCGGGTGGGAGGTGGGCGAGCAGCGGGAAAGGAAACGTGAAGCAGGGAGGGGGGCCGCACAGGAAGCGACGTGGGGCGGGTGACCTGGAATCCAACCCGCGCATGCTGGTCGCAGGGCCGTGCGTGGTTGCGATGCCATGGATTGCACCATGAGCCTGGCCAAGCTAGTCTTTAATCGGGGAGTCCAACGCAAGGCGGCAATTCATGCGTATATACCTGTTGACCAATAAGGCTGTTTAGTTTCTCAAGAAGCTCCGCTCGTCGTTCGCTAAGCTCCAACAGCATCTTTCGCCGCTCGTAGAGCAGCGTATTGTTTATGCATGCTGGGCATACCAGCGCCGCTTTATTGGCGCTGTCACATATGGAGCAGCAGACGCCCAGGCCCACCATGTCCGTGAAGCTTTCGGGCTGGGGCTAGGCCGCGGTTGGGGAGGGTCTGGTGAAACATGGAAATCACCACCACCCTCAGCTAATTCGTCATAAGGTTTAAATATACAATTGAAGCTTTGTTACTGGAGTGCTAAACGCAAGGTAGAGTGATGAGGTCTTCCTGTGTCAGCTCCTGGTCGGGCCGTTCCCTTCCTAAAAGCAGATTGCAAACCTTTGGCAACAACTGTATCTATTTGGTATAGAGTAGAATCCAAAGCGCAGTAGGGTTGAGAACCCGGGTTCAGTTGTCGCCAATAGACCTGCACTTGCAGCTATTTCTTGTCTGGACTTAACTGTTCCCGCTTTCTTTGACACTTTGGTGTTTTGCGGTTTCCAGCTGACGTTGGCGAAGACGCCAGGCGACGAGTACGGCGAAAGTGGAAGCCACGTCCTTTGCTGCATCGGGCAGTCAGATTTCCTTTAACTGCTACTGCCTATAGCTGCCATAACTTTATTCCACAACCTAGGAATGTAATGATTTTCTCCAAATAACCAATCGCATTCCTCTTTGCCATTGACGCTACGACCCGTGGGGCTTCGCAATATCTAGCTGCCATTCCGCTGTCACTGTTTAGGGTCGAAACCGAACACATCACGACGTCCTCACTCATAGGCTGGCTGGCCTTTAGGCGGGTTTTGAAGTAGCGGGTTGTTAAGGATGCAAGGACGCAACATGTAACCCTTGGGGAACTTACTCCCTAACATGAGGGTCACTGACACATGGCCCCACACGAACGTGGCTCTCGAGCGCTCTGAACGTCCTCCGCGCCAGCGGCAGTGCTGTAGTGGTAGTATCCCCACCGCCCCACCCATTCCCATCACCACCAATTTAGGATCAACCTGAACAATTGACCGTAATAAAAGCACTCTTATTGAGCCCTACCGGTGTTTGGCCCATAAACTCCCCACAGTAGTATACATGTCAAGCATGACCCAGCAGGGATGTGCCACACCGCCACACCTCACTATCACCCCGCACAGCAACTACCATAGGCTCCCACCCACGTTGTGCAAACGCAATGAATCGGTCCGCATGAAACACCCTGACGATCACCACCCTGCAGCAACGACCTAGCACGCAGCACCCCTGCGTCCCTTGCACGCAAGAGGAATTAACGTGCACATCAGCCAGGCATCATGTGGATGAAGCAATTGACAAACGAAAAGATACCGTATGCAACAAACACACCAGATGATGACCCATTGACCATCCCTTCGAACAGCATCGCAGGGGATGACCAACCTGGAAGGAAACAAATACAACACATGCTGGCAGCTGGTGACGTAAGCCCATTACCGTACATTAGCAATCCAGATAACCCCCAGCAACGCCAACAAGCAATGTAGGCGCCACGTTGGCAGCCCTGCTTGCCCCACAAGGGGTAACGTGACTTTTGAACGTGTGTGGCAAAGTAAACGTGTGTGTCATCAGTGCTCACACCGACACCCTCATCGCTGCAGTACAACTGAAGTAAGGCCAACCGACCGCTAAAGGTAGACTACAAAAAATATACAACTAAAACAGTCCCTACCTACAGGAGACAATGCGGCCTTACCAAAGGGCGTCGCCGCCTCAGCCCCCAAATGCGAAAATCGTGCGGCAGTGGCAGCAGCGCAACGAATATGCATGCAACGAAGGGGGCAAAACACTTGCAACGGAAGACACGGGTAATCCCCCCGTCCCGCATGGCACCAAACAGCTGCTTCCCTTGCTAAACCTATGATGTAAAAATGCATCCCAGATAAGGAAGGTATATGCGTTCCAGTCGGTCAAACCGGCAACTACGTGTATGTCTAGAGTACGGCGAGCGCTATTTACTTGACAGTGACCCAGATACCTAAAACGCATGGAAACAGCCTACCCGCAGGAATAGAAGACCTAAGCCCAAGAATGGGAACACATACTGCGGTATCAGTGCCCAAAGAGCACGCAGGGCATGCTCCCAATCCACTACGTCCCCTTGGCCTTAGTCAACCCTCAGCTGCAGCAGCGTCGAGCCCATGTCCCATCGCTTTTATTCCCACGCTGAGATATAACTCCATGTAGAACAGTGCGCCCTTATACTGACAGCTAGGATGTTGACACCGAAAAGGTATGGTAGTGCCCTTGGCGAGCGCCGGCCGCACGAAGCCATGCTTTGTGTCCTTAGCATGAATCCGCTCACGTTGTTCAGGCAGCGCCTGCAAGAGCACATGAAGCACGGCCTGCAATACAGCCGGGTGGACTTTGCCAATAGGAAGCGACCAAGCCGTTACCAGTTGCCCTCCTGCGTCAAAGGGATAGAGTTATACCGATATAGGTCAAGTTAGGGCTGTTTAGGGCTGTTGAAGAACTGGGGTTGTCTCCACGACCACCATTGCGCGAAAAGCGTACCTTTATCACCTTCGCCTTTTCAATGATGAACTTCCCCTCCTTGTATTTCTGGCTCTCCTCGAAAGCATGCTCCTACAGCGTCAGCACATATTTAGCGAGTTGCTTGGCGTCCCCAAGCGTCCGTGCAACACTGCAACATCGTAACTTACATATTTCCAGCCCAGTACCGTGTTGCACGAGGTGCAGTAAATGTCCGCTACGGTATGCAACCCCGTAATGAGAATCCTCTCCTCCTTGGGACCCAGCGTAACGTTAACCCTGCTCGGCCAATGGGACGAAGGTCAAGGTAAACGAGCGCATAACACTGAAAGAGCCAACAAAACTTGCCCAGGCTGAACTTACGCGTTGTTCATCAGGTACGCGCGCCCGTGGCGGCCTTGGAAGGCCTGCGCAGCCGTTCGGGATGTTTGGGGCGCGGGCAAGCACGCCAACCCTCCGCTGCGACAGAATTTGGGCCATACCTTGCTAATAATGTCATCATGGTCGGCCGCGTGAGCCCGGCAGGTCGCACAGCTGTAGATTCTGGGCCCGCTGAGGTATACCTTGAACGGACGACCCATGGATGGGAGGAACGTTGAAGGGGAGAAGAGGAACTTCGCTTGAACGATTATGGCAACAGCTCTTGGTAAGCAGGACGTTAGTGTGCGTAGCTATCTTTGCATCTTGTGTCCCTATGAAACCGATACGAGTCGAAACATATCAGCTCCGATACCACGACAAATCCCTGATAGATTGGTCTCTCAAGGAATATGTCAACGTGTCATGAAGATGACCCAATAGTTTTTCGTGTTAAGCGGTTACAGACCAAAAGGGTGCCGTTGATGTCGGGACCAACCGCCGAGGCCGGGGAGCGCTTCGTCACCGTCTATGTACCGCTCATTGCCATCAGCGTTCAGTAAAGGTGGCAATGAACTGGCAAGATGTTATGCGTACGGTAGAAGAGCTGGCAGGGATTCCGCGAGTGACATCATCTGCTTTCGGAGCCCAACTCCACCCTTCCAAAAAGCCTGAGCGAACTCCAGGAGCTGTCTCTTTCACAACAAAACATTTCTCATACAAGCTAGCAGGCACTGAACGCAACCTGGACAATCATCCATAGTGGTTATCCATGGCAACCGAACATGAACTCTCCAATGGCCGCCATTGCTGGACGCGCCACCTGCAGGGTGTCAACGACCCCGCCGCCGACATCAAGGTCTTCGTGCACGATGGCCGCCTGATCATCAACATTAAGGGCGAGGAGGTCGAGTAAGTGGTATGGGAGTGGCAACCAGTGCGCGCGATACCATCGTATGACCTGAGGCCCATGGGTCTCTGCCCAGATCCCGTCGCGCATTTGCCGCCACCGCGAGCATAAACAACAAGCCACATCGAAGTTATTACTATGTTTGGCTCGGTTTGCGAGGGTACATTTTGCTGCTGATTAAGTCGTCATCACCGGTAGTGGATCTCGGGAAGCGCTGAACGATGCGACTTCTTTCCTCCCTTCTTACCTCCCTTCTTTCCTCCCTTCTTTCTCCCCGCGCAATTTCAGCCAGATTTTAGGGTATGCAATAACACCTTACCGAGCGCTCCCAAAAGTGTACCGAGACCTTTGTTTCCAGCCGCCACGCACCGCCTCACGCACGGCAGCTAGCCGCCCTCCCTTTGATCCCAAACCAAAACAAAAGCATGTGCGCCTGCCGCCCAAACGAAACTGCCCCACAAATAACACCCTTTCCTCCCCTCCCACTCCCTCCCCTCCAAGCAACCTGGAGCTGCCCCCCACCGCCTACACCCGCGACGCCCGCGCGCTCTACCAGCGCGGCCAGCTGCGGGTGGAGGTGGGCTGCAAGGACCCCGCCGCGCCCGCCATGATCGAGAAGGCGCTCATGGACCCCGACCGGCCGCACCCGAGGGAGCTGCCGCTGCTGCTGCAGGGAGGGCATGGCGCGGCGGGAGGCGGGCCGGGCGGGCCGGCCATGCCGCACGGGGGGCCGAGGGGAGCGGGGGTGCACGGGCAGGGCGCGGGGCAGGGGCCGGCTATGAAGGAGGATCCCACCGGGTGAGGAGTGGGAGGGGAGGAAGTGGTGGGGGTTGGGGTTGAGTGGGTTCACGCCGCCGGTGGTTTCGTAGTTTCCTGGTTCCTTGCGCTGTGCTTTCGCGCATAAGTGTGCTTAGAAAACTGGTCGCGAGTCGGAACGTACTGTGATTGCCGGAAGTGTGTGTATAATTGAGCAGAAACAAGAGCAGGCAGTATGTATACCTAGCCACATCTCATGGCTCTCTCCTGTTGCACTGTTACCCCCGAAGACAACGGCCCGCACCCTCCCCATTACCCCCTCTCCCCCAGTCGCGGTGCTCCCACCCCCGCCCAGGCGGAGTACGGCGCCCGCAACCCCGAGCTGTTCGGCCGGCCGGGTGTGACTGCGGTGATGCCGGCAGCCAACATCTCCTCCACACTCGCATCAGACATGCCCGTGCTCACCAACCCGGTAGGGGGGTGGCAGGCAGGCGGGTGGAGGGGTGAGAGGGAAGTGTGTCGAGGGGAGGGGCCGGGTAAGGGATGGAAAGGGGGAGAGCGGGTGGCGAAGAAGGCGGGCTGAGGACTGTGGCTGGGTCACCCAGACGTCCTGTTGTTGTTGTTGTGTCGGGGCGTGTGGAGGAGAGCGCGGGGGATGGATGAGCTCGAGGCATGAGTCTGGGATTGACCCATGGGTCGCATGCGGCCCTGCGCCCGCCCCCCCTACACACACACGCAGGGTGCGGCGGTTGAGGCGGTTGACAACGGCGAGACGGTGGTTGCGGACCGCAACAGCTCCGACACCAAGATGTACGTGCCGCATGTGGACCAGGTGGGGGGGTGACCCGTGGGTCAGGGAGGGGCATGTGGGCCTTGCGGGGTGCGGAAAGGTGATGGGAGGGGCCCAGCGCGCAGCGCTCTCTGTGTTTTGAGGTTCGGGGCGACGGGTAGGTCCTCGGTAACACCCCATTCCTCCTATTCCCGGCTTTTACATCACCCACTCTCCTCCTCCACACACACACCCCGGATTATTTTTTACCCCCTCAGCTGTCGGAGCGGCTGGGTCGTGCCGAGCTGGCCCCCGCCGGCACCACTGTGGTTCGCGGCAGCCGAGACAAGGTGGTGGAGAAGGAGTACGGCGGGGGCGGGGGGGCGAGGGGGGACGCGGAGCCCGCGGCCGACCAATACACACGCAAGACGTGGGTGTGGTGTCAAGGGGACTAACGGGGATGAAGATGGTGTCAGGGGGAGGGCCAGGGCCGTGGGCGGGGAGATGTTGTGTGGGGTGGGGTGGGGAAGGGGGTGCGCACTGAGTAGTGGGGTGTAGTGGGGGGTGATGGTCCTGTGCGGCCGCACGTCCCTCCTGCACTTGCCGTACCTGCGGTGCTCAACTTTCAACTGCCGGTACTTCTTTTTCTCCCCACCCCACCCCACCCCATCCCAGATCCCCACCCCCCTCCCGCACCCCACCCCCACCCCCAGTGTTGACTACGTGGAGGAGAAGGTGGGTATGGCCACCCGGCCGCTGGAGGCGCGCGACTTCTACGCCACCTGCGAGACGCCCTCCGAGCCCTTCTCCACCCTCAAGCAGCAAAACAACACCGACGGCACCGCATGCGACATGTGCCAGTGCGCGCCATGCCAGTGCGACAAGATGGCCAAGGGCTTCCCGTACGAGGTGGGGAGGGGGAGAGGAATGGGGGAGGGCGTGAACCCAGCGCGCCGCCTTGGTACTAGCTCTGTACGTCCTCATTGCCGTACCCCTCCCTTCCCCCCCTCCCCCTCACCCCCCCAGCTGACCCCCCAGGAGCAGAAGCGCTCCGGCAGGCCCTCCGTGCACAACGCACGCAAGGCGGTCACCGGCAGCAATGCGCATGCGGCACACGACTACAAGGTGGGGGAGGGAGGGAGGGAGGGGGGAGGGGGGTAAGGAGGAAACAACTAACTGACAGTGTGATAAGACGTCATCATGGAGGGGAGGGAGGGGGGAAGGGGGGGTGGTGGCGAGGGAGGGAGGATGGGGACCTGCGAAGGGTGTGTGAGGTTGAGAGGTGCTGGCGTCGTAAGGGGATGGTTTGGCAGCCCACTAGCACTGCTGGTGTGTGTATGGAGAACTAGTGGAAACTCCACGCCCCTTCCCAACACCCTTCTCCCACCCCTCCTCCACCCCAATCCCCGACCCGCTCTCCTCCCCTCTGCACCCCACCCCCCCAGCTGCACTCCAAGACCCGCAGCGAGGAGCACGGGCAGGTGGAGTTCCGCACGCGCGAGTATGTGGGCAACGTGCAGCAGCAGGGGGTGGGCAGCGTGGAGGAGCTGTCGGCGCGGGAGCGGGAGAAGCTGGAGAAGATGGTGGTGGGGGGCAGGTAGGAGGGGGGGGAGGGAGAGGGGATGATGTTGGGAAGGCAGGTGGGGGCGAGTGGTGGTGGTGGGGTAGCGTCATTGGGGAGGTGGAGGTGCATGCATGCTGCATTCGGAGGCCTGCAGGCGGAGGGCGGTGGCAATGGGGTAGGAGAGGACTACAGGAAAGGGAGGGAGCAGGGAAGGGCTGAAGAACATTAGGCTGCTATGCGACCACCTCCCCCTACCTCCACCCTCCCCCTGCCCAGTCGGGCTCTGGGATTGGGACTCTAGTTGTTTGCATTTATTAAATAATTTTCCCCCTGCCCTGCTCGCAGGGAGATTGACCCGCAGCTCTACCGCGACCGCACCCGCACCAAGGAGACGGCCCGACACTTCCTGGGCTGAGGGGGCGGGCGGGAGGGTGGGGTGAGAGGGGAGAAGCCTGGACGGCAGGGGGGAGTGTGAAGGGAGGGGTGAAGGGAGGCGTGTGCATGTTTACCTTTCATGTGTGCTCATCGCCCCGCTAGCTGTGGAGCGTTTAGGTGGGGAGGTGGCGGTGGGAGAACGGAACACATGTGCGGGTAGGGATGTAGGCGGCAACTAACTCCTGCTTGTACATGCTAGGCCTGTTGTTGAAGGCATGTGAAGCCTGTAGCAACAGCTGTTGTTGGTTTCGTTGTTGGTTTCCCCGCTGTAGTAGTTGGTACATGCCGTACATGGATGGAGTGCGAAGGAGGAAGGATACGGTGGCGTGCGAAGGTGGAAGAAGGGATTAGCACCGAAATGTGCCTTTACCTGTACGACAGTTGTATCGTCGGCAGAACAGGAACCCTAGAAACCGAAACTGATTGACGTTGGCCACCACACACATGTCGTCACGACTGTAACCCTCGCACACCTCCGCGCGAATACTGACTTCAGCCCCACATGTCGCAACCACACTCACCCTCACACCACTCCATCTCACATCACATCCTTCGCAGTGCCGTTTACGTCTGCTTGCTCATCAGGTAGCACTTTGCTGTCGTGTCTACGGGTGTAAGGCGCCCAGGCGCATGACACCCAGGCAGTCCCCCTGGACTCGCTCCTACATCCTCAAGTAGCTGACTGATGGGAACCACATGTGGAAACACGCCCCATGTCGTGCACGGCAGATGCCCCGGTGCTGCACAGACAGGAGAGCTCTGCACTGCTCAGCCACACCAAGTGCGCCGATCACTGCTGCACACTTCCCGCCACACTTCCCGCCGAGTCGCAGCGGGCGCCTGATTCCCGCCACACGAAAGACTGCCAGCAATCACGGAAAGGGTGGGGGGGGGGGGTAAAGCTCCCGAGGCCTGGATCAGGGGATGGGAGGATGCAGGGAATGGAGTACGGTTCTAGTTAACCGAGAGGCGGGGATGGAGTGTTGCCATGATCACAGCTTTAGAGGCGCGCAGGATATGAACACGCGCACACAGACTCAATTGCAAAGGAGTCAGCGTCAGGTTTTGCGGCCAGTTACTTAAACACAATACTTACATGGGTGGAGGATAGGTAGGCATGCATGTGTGTCGCAGTAATCCGTCAAGCTCACGTGTCACGCTGTCAACCAACGCCCCCGGATGCCCGCTGCTGCTGCTGCTGTTGGCTGCTACCGAAGATCCGAGCAGATGCTTTCAAGACGGCAGGCGGAAAGGCTGATGCATTGTGCCGCGCGCATGGTGCACAAAAGCGCTTCGCAAAGAAGAGCGAGCATGTGTCCGCTGTGCATACTGGCTGATTGCAGATGCTACATGGGGCTCCAAGGAAGAGCGGCCGTGGCTTGACTGAGAAAGGGTCAACGGCAAGCCATCCCTGTTCCAGAAACCTGCGCATCAGCCAAAGTTGGTCAACCTCAGAGTTCCTGGCAGGGGTTTACTAGTGACCATCCATAATTGCGTTGTAATACTTACGCTACTCTACAGGCGCCCGATCCTTCTGTCGCTACCGTCTCTGCCGGTAAGCTCGCGCCAAAGTGCTTAAATGGTGCCTCAAGATTGCATAGAGTACACTTAAACATCTTTGTTATGCCACAATAACTCTTACCGCCCAAATCGACCAAAAGTAACTCCTAGGTCCTAGCTGACTTGTTGCCGTACGACACATACATGCATAAACTTCCGTACGTTGCAGGGCCTTGCACCATCGCACACGTTGCGCGTTCCCAACCATGCTAGAAAACAGCAGGCAGTGCAGGTGGAGGTGGTGTGATGCTGGTTGATCTGCGGGATTTAGGTAAGAAGCGACCGCGACGGCGCATGCGGCTTCAAACCCTGGCTGACGGGGCGTGCTAAAGCAGTCGAGAGTCAGAAGCAGGGAATGGAGCCACGCTGTTTCATACCACGCCTCATGGGTCATGATGGGCTAGCCCTAAACACGCCCGCAATGACAACTCCTAACCACCCAGTCAGTTCTCCATGTGGCTCTGGGACGGGCGCCCCCTTCCAGAGCCTCTGGTGGGGTTGGATGGGATGGGTCCAATGCGCAACCCCTGGTGAAGCCTGGTCGTACAGCTCGTTCAGTTTCCGACTCAACCTCCCAGAGCCTCAACCCTAGCAAAGCCCTTCCGGCTAACCAAGCCAACCAAACCAATTGCAGTACTGCTCCCGGTGTCAAGGGTGAGGTGGCCGTGGGCCGCAGGGAATGTAAGATGTAAATGCGATCGCGGCCGACTTGCGCAACATTGTGACTCCTGAGATTCATCTTTCCCTCCCCTCCCCGAGCCCTCCACCTCCGCCTCCCATTCCGCTTCCTCGCTACCCCGCCCCACATGCAGCCCGCTTCCAAACACGCCCAGCACTGCCAACTCCCAACACCCAACGTACCCAAGGATGCCGACAAGCCTTAGCAGCGACCCCCACCCCACCCCACCACCGCCACCGCCACCGCCATGCACCTCAGCAGCCTAGCGGAACTGCCCAAACCCGCACCACTAACAACAACAACAACAACCTCAGCTACCGGTACACGGCTCAGTCGTGGCTTTCAGTAACGGTAACTCAATCGGTAACACAGTCCCCGTATGCTGCCTTCAGACGCGCGAGTCCGTCCACGAGTCCCTCAACTGCATGGCCCATCTGAGCTGTGTTGGTTTGGACGTCGTGTGACCTTCCAGCCCCCCAGCCTCCTCACCGTCCAGCCTCCCCACACCTGCAGCACGGCAATACGGGAACCATGCGGCAACCCACCTCACCCTCACCGCTCCCCTATTACCACCACCCTCTCCCTCCCCCTCACTCCCTCTACTCGTCACTGTCCGAAATTACAATCTCATCACGCTCCGGCCGACCCACATCCCGCTCCGCCTCCCGCTGCTTGTCTGGCTGCCCGTCCCGCCCCTCCGCCGGGGGAGCGCAATCTGACCCGGGCTGCTGGGGCTCTGCTGCACCACCACCTGCTGCGTCCCCGCCCTTAACAGTAGCAGCACCGTCACCACCTTCAATTGCAGTGGCAGGAGGCTCAGCAGCAGCGGGTGCAGCAGCGGCCGGGGCTGACGGTTGCGTGGCGGCTGGAGCTCCCGCCTCTGCCTTGTCAGCCGCCGCCGCTGCTGGTGCCGCTGCTGGTGCCGCCGCTGGTGGCGCTGCTTCCGTCGTGGCCGCCGCCGTCGGCGCCGCTGCGGCTGTTGACGGTGCTGGCGGCGCCGCCGTCGCCGCTGCTGTTGCTTTAGGCGACGAGGGCGGCTTTGCCGCCGCCGCCGCTGCTGCAGGCTGCTGCTGCTGCTGCCGCGCCGCCGCCGCCGCCGCAACCGCAATCACCGACGCCGCTCGCTGCTGCTGCTGCTGCTGCACCGCCTGTTGCAGCTTCGCTAGCAGCGCCGGTGCCGCCTGGGCCACGGTCTGCCCCTGCGGCGGCAACATCACCAGCATCTGGGCCGCGTACGCCTCAAGCAAACCAACCTGCTGGCGGAAGCGAAGCGCCGCCGACGCCGCCGCCGTCACGCCGCCGCCCTCAGCCGCCACGCGCGCCGCCGACGCCGCCGTATCCAGCCGTATCTGCGCCACTGCTCGTACGAGGGTGTTGTACTGCTCGATCAGTTGCCGCTTCAACGCCCGTTCCGGCGCGGGAGCGGAGGGGAAGTCCCTGGCGGGGATGAGGTTGGTGAGGAAGGCGTCGGGGGAGGTGGCGGGTCGGCCGGACGCCGCCGCCGCCGCGGCGGCGCGCTGTAGCCCCGAAGCGGCGGTGGCGCCGCCGTCAGCACCTGCGGACTTGTTGGCGACTCGCGGTGCAATCTTGAGCGCCGCGACGGCGGTGTGCGGGTTGCCGGGATTGCTCAGGTACTCCCAGTTGAGGGCCTCCGAGATGTACGACAGTCGCCGCGTCAGCCAGCGAGTCTCCGTCGAAGCGTACGAACGCGCCTTCTCACGAGTGACGCCGCCGCCAGCCGTCGCCGCACTCGCCGCATTCGCCTTCGGCGACGCCGCCGCCGCCGCGTCCGTTACTTGCGACTTCCCCTCCTCCTGCTCCTCCTGCTTCACCCCCTCCTCCTTCTTCACCACTGCCGCCGCCGCCCCATCCGCTTCCGTCACCGCCGCCGCCGTCGCAGCCACCCCCCCTGACGGCACAATGCTGCTGTCGTACTCCACCGGGATGCCCAGCTCCTGGCGCAGCGCCGCCTTGAGGCCCAGCGCGGGGTCCTTGATGATGCGCTGCCACTGCCCGTAGCCGTACAGCAGCAGCCCCCGCAGCAGCTGCCCGTCATGCGCGGGGCGCCAGTGGGGGGAGTACGACAGGGAACGAACCTTGTGTGCCGCGGGGAGGGTGAAGTCGGAGAGGGCGGGGGGCTCGCTGCTGGGGTGGGCGGGCAGCTGCCGGCCGCGGTGGTACTCCTGGGGGCGGGGAGGGGTCAGGGGTAGGTCCCCAGGCAGGCGTTGGTGTGTAGGTGCAGGCAGGCGTACATCCGAGGCGCCTCGTCATACAGCTGCTCGTCCGTTTCCTCCTTCCTTACCCCCCACCCCACCCCCCTCCCCTCCCCGCACTCACCGCCATCTTCCTGCGCACCAGGTGCATGAACCCAATGCGCTCCAGCACATCGTTCACGCGGTGCGCCCCCAGCAGCTCATCCGGCCGCAGCCCGCTGACCCAGCCGCCGCCCGCGCCCAGCGGCTCGCTCAGGCTGGCCACCAGCAGGCTGCAGTACTCGCGCACGGCGGCGGCGGGGCGGTGCGGCAGGCGCTGGTAGAAGGCGGCGTACATGTCGTCGGGGTTGGACTCGGAGACCTGGAGGGGGGAGGGGGAGGGGGAGGGGAGGGGTTAAGGAGGAAGAAACTGGCGAGCTTTCCCCCTCTCCCGTGTCCCCATCCCTGCCTGGATCCTACCTCCACCTCATTCACCCAACGTTGGGGTTTGGTACTTCTCCGCCCCCCCCCCCCACCCCTCACGGTGAAGCTTCCCCTTCCCCTTTCCCCCACACCCCCACCTGCAGTCCGAACTTCATGAGCGCCGCGATGAAGGTCTGTCGGTCCCGCAGGCTCAGCCCGAACACGTGCAGCCCGGGGCCGCTGCCAGACAGCATCGGGGGCAGCGGGGGGGCGGGGGCGGGGGGAGGGGGAGGGGCGGCTGCTGCCCCTGCCCCGACCCCTGCCCCTGCTGCTGCTGCTGCTGCTGGTGTAGAGGGGCGATGTCGCTTGTGCATGCCTCCTCCTCCTCCTGCTGCGTTTGCCGCCCCAGCGCCAGCAGGGCCCTGCAGCGCCTCCTCCTCGTCCTCCTCCTCCTCCTCCAGCTCGGCCTCCGAGTCGTCCGAGGGCGGGTGCGAGCGGGAGCGGTCGCTGTCCTCCTCGCCCTCCTCGCCGCCCGCATCGCGGTAGGAGATCTGGGGAGGGGGTGGGGGGTGGGGAGGGAGTGGGGGGTGGGGAGGGGGTGGGGGATGGGGAGGGGGTGGGGGATGGGGAGGGGGTGGGGTTGTTGTGGGGGTGGTAAGGAACATATGGAACTAAGGCACTGGAAGGAGAAAGGAAGAATGGTGGTGTGTGTGGGGGGTGAGTAGGGGTGGGAGGTGAGAAGTGAGTGGTGGTGGAGGTGGGGGGTTAGGGCACGGGATTGGACCTGCTGGGGAGAGGTGGCGATAAATCCGATGATAGGGCGGGGGGCGGGGTAACGGTACCTCCGCTTCCCTCACCTTCTTCCTCTCCCTCCTGCCCTTGCCCAGCCTGGCCGCCTCCTCCGCCCTCGCCGCCTCCCGCGCCGCCTCCTCCGCCTCCCGCTCCGCCCCCGCCCGCTCCCCCAGCAGCGACTGCCAGAAGGCCGCACCCGCCTCGCCGCCCTGCTCCGGACACACCTGCGGACACAGCAGGGGGAGGAGGAGGAGGAGGAGGAGGAGGAGGAGGAGTGGGAGGAGGAGGAGGAGGAGGAGGAGGAGGAGGAGGAGGAGTGGGAGGAGGAGGAGGAGGAGGAGGAGGAGTGGGAGGAGGAGGAGGAGGAGGAGGAGGAGGAGAAGTGGGGCAGCGGAGTCCCAATGAGTGCCAATGGGGTAAATGGGGTAAGGATTAGGAGACACCCAATATCGGGTAGGGTAGGGTAGGGTAGGGTAGGGGGGGCCTCCACCCACCGCCACCACCCTCACATGGCAGCCTGCCACCCGTGTCGCCCTACCCCCCTCCACTCCCCCACCCCTCTTCTCACCTCCTGTAGCAACTTCTCCGTCCCCGCCGCCGCCTGCTGCCCCCCTGCCGCCCCCGTCCCTGCCGCCCCCTCCTCCTCCCCAGCAGCAGCCTCAGCCGCCTCCTCCACCATGTCAAAATTGGCGACCTGCGGGAAGGGTGACGTGGGGGGTGGGGGTGCGGGGTGCGGAGGAAGAGGAGGAGGGTTGAGGATGTGTGGAGGATAGATAGGGGCGGAGAAGAAGAAAACCATGTGTTGGATGGTACCGTAGGGGGCGGGGAAGTAGGGTAGCCGTGGTTAGGTGTCTGTCGCTCGCACCGGTGGCCGTACTGGTGGCCGTACTGCACCCACTTCTCTTCCCATCCACAGGCACACCTTGAAGGCGCTGAAGAGGTCGGAGGCCCGGTCCGCCTCCTCGCCCGCGGAGCTCTCGCCGTAGTTGCGCAGCGCGTTGAGAGCCTGGGGGGGGTGCATGGAAGGGGAGGGGGGGTTGCATGGGAGGCGAGGGGATGGGGTGCGGCCGGCGAGTGGAGGCGGAGGTGCAGCAGGGGGTTTGTGTGGGGGAGCGTGTGCCGCAGCCCTCAGCCCCTCACTGCGCTTGGCTGCTGCTGCTCCCTGAACCCTGACTGGCTGGCTGGCTGGTTCGCAGCTCTTCCCCCTCCTAGCGTCCTAGGGCTACTACCCAGTACCCACCCAACCCCCGCTCCCCCCACCACCACACACACCTGTCGGTCCAGCAGCCGCTCCACGGCGGCATCATCCCACACGATGCGCTTGGAGCGGCCGGCAGCGGTGGCAGCAGCGGTGGCAGCGGTGGCAGCAGCAGGGGAGCCCTCCTTGTGCTTGTCCTTGTCCTTCTCCCCCTCGCCCCCCTCCTTGCCGCCTCCCTCCCCCTCCTCCGCCGCCTCCTTCATCTCCGTGTCAGCCGCCTCCGCCTCCACCTTCATGCCCTCCGCCTCCCCCTCCTTGCCCTCCGCCTCCACCTTCATGCCGTCAGCCTCCTGCTGCTGTGCCTCCTCCCTGCCCTCCTCCCTGCCCTCCTCCCTGCCTCCCCCTCCCTCAGCCGCCCCCGCCGCCTGCTGCTCCGGCTCATCCGCAAAGAGCTCCTGTGGGCAGAGGAACCAAGGCAATAAGGCAAGAACTAGTTGTCGTAAAACGAAGGTATATGTAGCACGGCAAAACTACAACCCCAAACATTATCCCAGGTTCTTCTCCTCGGGCGCATACGCAGTTTCCCCAACACACACACACACCCAGTTTTCTTAACACACCCCCACGCGCGCGCAACGCCCCATGCCTACTCGGTGGCCTCCCCTCGCCTGCATCCCGCCTTACGCGCCCGAACGTACCACCCCCTGCGCCCACCAACCAACCCACAGCGCCCTCCCTCCCCTCCCCCCTTCCCCTCTTCCCTTCCCTTCCCCCCAGCCCCCTCACCTGCGCCCCGTATCTCAGTATGTCATCCAGCTCCGCCTGCCTCAGCTCCCCTCCTCCCCCTCCTCCCCCTCCGCCTCCCCCTCCCGCCGCCAGCTTGCGCACCACCAGGTGCTCCAGCAGCAGCTTGCGGCGGCTCACCTGCACCATGCGCTCCTCGATGGTCTGACGGGTGACAAGCCTTTGGGATGGGGGGGGGAGGGTTTGCATGGAGGGGGGGGGGGTAAAACACGGTACGAAACCATGGGAGGCACAGGTTGGAGAGGGGGGGCAGTGTGGGGATGGGAGGCGGCAGGGTGCCACTATACAAGGTGAGGGTTAGCGGTTGGTGGTGGGGGAGGAGGGACGGGGGCTGTTAGGTAGGGGTGGAGACAGAGGAGGAGTGGGTTAGAGCTCTATACTCGTGCAGGGTCTTCGTTCCATGCGTTCCTCACACCACCCCCTCTTCCGAGCCTGGGCCCCCTCTTCCCGGCCTGGGCCCCTCCCCTTCCCCCCACCTGTAAATCATGACGGGCTTGTCCTGACCCAGACGGTGGGCGCGAGCCTGGGCCTGGGAGGGGGAAAGGGGAGGGGGGAAGGGGAGGGAGGCGAAGAGTTGCATTGGGCCCGGGGGAACGGAAGGGGGTGGCCAACACAAGGACCGACCCAGTAGAAGGAAGCACCCGGACGGCGTTGTAAGGAGGAGGAGGATGAGCCCCTTGCTGACAGCAGCCCTCCGAATGCGCTCACTGCAGGAGTCGGGATTCGGGATTGGGACGGCGTTGTTGCACTTATTTATAATTTCCCCCCCACCTGCAGGTCGTTGTGCGGGTTCCAGTCGCTGTCGAATATGATGACGGTGTCCGCGGTGGCCAGGTTGATGCCCAGCCCGCCGGCCCGGGTGGACAGCAGGAAGGCGAAGTAGGCGTCGGGCTGCGCGTTGAAGCGGTCGATGCGCTTCTGCCGCTCGGCGCCTGTGAGCCGGTGAGGGGAAAGAAGAAGTTCCAATGTGTGTGGTGAGATCGTGGTAAAACAACTGACAGAGGGGAGGGAGGAGGGGGGAGGGAGCGATATGGCTTGCAGGAGAGCAGTCAATCCCCCGGTCAACAGCAGAGGTATGCAGTAGGTGTTGCTGTGGAGCCAGGACTCCTCCCAGCAGCGACCTCAGCGGTGAACTGGTGATGCAGGTGCAGTAGGGAACCAGGAGCCAAGTAGCCAGCCCCGCTCACCCGCCACCGTGCCGTCTATGCGCAGGTAGCCCAGCCCCCGGCCCAGCAGCCACTCCTCAAGCAGGTCCAGCGTGCGGGTGAACTGCGGGGAGGAGGGGGGAAGAGGGCAGGGTTAATTACGGGACGGTAGCGGGGAATGAGCGGGGGTACACACTCCTAGTACGGTAATGGTTGTGGTAATGGAGGGGCGGGAGAGAGAGAGAGGGAGAGAGAGGGAGAGAGGGAGGGAGGAAAGCCAACTCCCCCACCTGTGAGAAGATGATGAGCCGGTGCCCCGCCTGCCTCAGCCGCCCCGCCATCTTGTCCACCAGCGCCAGCTTGCCGCTGTGGGAGATCAGGGAGGGCAGGGAGGAGCCGGGGGGGCCTGGGGGGGGGGAGGGGGAGGGGGCGGAGGGGGTGTGGGTGAGGGGGTGTGGGTGAGGGGAGGGGCAAGCAGCAAGCCATGCACCGGAGGAGGGGGAGGGGCGGGGAGGGGCGGGGAGGGGGCTACTGGTGTTACCGGTATTGTTAAGTCATGCGGGCAGCGGTTTATGTGGGCCGAAGCATGGGGGGGCGGGAGGGGGGTGCATGGTATATCTCCCCCCTCCCCCCTTCCCCTCCCCAACCCCTCCCTCTTTCCCCCATTCGTTGTTTCACTTTTATGTAATTTTTTCCTCCCTCTTCCCCCCCCCCACCTGCCGCGTCCGCCAGCCCCGGGTCCACCAGCCAGGGGTGGTTGCAGGTCTTGCGCAGCTCCATCATCAGGTTCTTGAGCGCGGTGGTGGCGCCCCCCGCGGCGGCCACTGCGGCGCGGTGGCCCGCCAGCACCGAGGAGTGGCGCAGCAGCAGCGATCTGCGGGGGGGGAGGGCGGGGGAGGGGGGGAGAGGGGGGGAGGGAATAAGCTTGGGGCGATACTGGGCGGAAGGGGGCGGTAGGGAGGAGGAGGAGGTCGGTTCGGCTGCCCAACCACCGCCCCCAGCATGCCTGCCCCCAGACACTGCATGCGGCACACATCCGTCCCAGGGGCCCACTGCCTCCTCCATAACTACGTGCATGCAGGTCAGGAAGGCCCCCCCTCCCCCCCCTCCCCCTCACTTGTATATTTCCCGCTGCTGCGGGCTGAGCTCCACTCGCACCAGCTGCTCCATCTTGGGCGGCAGCTGCTGCATCACGTCGCGCTTGAGTCGCCGCAACATGTGGGGCTGGGAGGGGGGGAGCAGTGGGGGGGGGGGAGGAAAATTATATAAGAAATGCAAACAACTAAGTCCCAATCCCATATCCCGACTCATGCAGTGACTCATGGGGGGGGGAGGGGGGAGGGGGAGGGGGTATAGGTAAGGAATGCGTGTCATTGACATGCATTTTAAGGGATACCGGCACCCAGAAGCGGAGTAAAACACACGCCACCCATTCCCCCTCCCCTCCCCCACCCCCAGCCCTAACCTGTGGCTCTGATATATCTCCGATCCCATCCCCATTTAGACAGCTAGCTACACCCCGGCAGGGCAGCCCCCACCCCCCACCTGCAGCAGCGCGTGCAGCGCCGCCACCTCCTCGTTGTGCGAGAGGTTGCTGAAGCGCTGCTCGAATGCGGCTCGCGAGGGGAACTTGTCGGGCTGCAGGAAGTGCAGCAGCATGAAGAGCTCGCCCAGGTGGTTCTGCAGGGGCGTGCCGGTCAGCAGCAGCTTGTGGCGCACGCTGCAGGGGGGAGGGGAGGGGAAAAGGAAATTCCAAAGTGTGTGTGGGGGAGGGGATTAGTAGAGGTTGGATATTCCGCGGGGGGGGAGTAAATGAAAGAGGAAGCAACTGGAGTCCCAATCCCGTATCCGACTCCTGGGGGGAGGGGGAGAGGGAAGAAGAGACCATGCGTAATGGGGGGAAGGGAGGGAGCGGGGGAGGGTAGGGGTCACTCGGCAAAAAGGGGGTTCCGCACCTGCCGTGCCTTATCTTACTTTCTCAAATGAAACGAGACAGGCAGTACACAACCCGTCCTTCCATCCCATGACCTGTTCTCCGCACCTTCCTACCTTTCTCCCTTTCTCCTATAGCATTTACCAACCCTTGCTCCCCCTCCCCCCCCCTTCCCCCCCTCCGCCCTCACTCACTCGAACTGCGTGAGCAGGTGGAAGAGCTTGGAGTCCTTGTTCTTCAGGCGGTGACCCTGGGGGGGGCGGGGGGCCGGGGTGAGGGGGTGGGGCGGGGGTTGAGGGCAATCAACATACCACCACCACTACCACCGCCAATGCGCAGCCTCATCCCGCATACCTGCACGGCTGATTCATCACACATTCCAGACATACAAGCATCCAGCCGCCCCCTCCCTCCCCTCCCCCCCTTTTTTCCCCCTCTCTCACCTCATCCACCACCAGCACCCCGTACTTGAGCCCCCGCCCCAGCGGCCCCGCCTCCAGCGCCAGCATCTCGTAGCTGGTCAGCAGCACGTGGAACTTGGCTCGCTCCTGCGGGCTGCAGCGCTGGGGGGCAGCGGAGGAGGAGGCAGAGGGCTGCTTGCGGCCGGGGGTGGTGGCGGTGGTGGCTGCAGCGGTGCCCTCCTCCTCTGCGGAGGCGGCGGCGGCAGCGGAGGTCCTCTTGCTGCCTGGTTTGGTGGAGGGGGGCTGCTGCTGCTGCTGGGGCACGAAGAGCTCGTACTCTAGGATGATCTGGAGGGGGCGGGAGGGAGGGAGGGAGGGAGAGGCGGGAGGGAGGGAGGGAGGGAGAGGCGGGAGGGAGGGAGGGAGGGAGAGGCGGGTGGGGAGGGCGGAGGCGGCGTGTATGCGCACATGCAGGGGGGCCACTTACTTGCACTTCCCAGTAGGAATACCGGTATAAGATTGGGACTCCGTTGCCTCACGTTCCATTTATTCCACCCTCTTAAACAACAAACCCCCTCCTGCTCACCCCCCGCGCCTCCGCATTCCCCGCCAGCGCCACCACGTTGAGCTGCGGCGCCCACGCAGCGAACTCGCGCTCCCAGTTGCGCATGGTGCTGAGCGGCACCACCACCAGGTGCGGCAGCTCGCAGCACTGGGAGTGAAGCGCGGCGAGGAAGGCAATGGTCTGGGGAGGGAGGGGGGAGCGGGGGGAGGGAGGGGGGGAGGGAGGGGGGTTAAAGACCATACCACAGGTTAAGGCAAATACAGATAGGGGGGAGGGGTGTGGAGAGAGATGAAGTCTAGGGGGGAGGGAGCGAGGGAGCGAGGGAGGGAGCGAGGGAGGTCGCGGGAAGGAAAGGGACACCACACGGGTATTGTCGTACCGGGTGTGCACGCAAAGTAACGACACCCCCACAGCCCTACTAGCACCCCCCACCCTCCCCCCCGCCTCCCCTGCCCACCTGCACCGTCTTCCCCAGCCCCATCTCGTCCGCCAGTATCACGTTCTCGCCGCTGCCGTACTTGTGGAACAGCCAGTTGAGTCCCTCCAGCTGGTAGGGGTGCAGCTGCCCCCCGGACAGCCAGGGGGGGGTGCGCAACCACTTGCGGCTGCCGGAGCCCTGCAGGGGGGGAAGGGGGGGGGCAGGCAGGGGGGGAAGGGGGGGGGCAGGCAGGGGGGGAAGGGGGGGGGCAGGCAGGGGGGGATTGCTACAGGTGACCGGGCGGCAGTTGAAGCCCATCAGAGGCGGGGAGCGGGAGGCAGGTATGCAGGCATGCTGTCCCCACCTGCCGCCAGCTAGCCCCTCACACTGCCCCTGACTGCTCCCACCCAAGTCATGCACCCAGCTCCCCACCTCCCCAGCCCTCCACCTCCCCGCCAACCCCCCGCCTCACCTGCACCTGGGGCTGCGCCTGGGGCGCCTCCTCACCGCCCCCTCCTCCGCCTGCAGCAGCGGCATCCGCAGCAGCGGTGGCAGCAGCTGCTGCTGCAGCTGCTGCCTCCTCCTGCAGGGGAGGGAGGGAAGGCGGCATGCGGCACATCAGCCCCGTCAGCCAGTCCGCCTCCGGGATGCAGTACGGTACGGTACGGTAGGTGGCACCAGCGAGTTCCATCGTACGGCACAGCAGGTGTATGACTCCGAAGCGGGAGGTGTCGTCAAGGGGTGTCCCCCGCGTCACCTCAAACCCCGCCCCCCACCCCCACCGCCCCCCACGTATCATCTTGTGTACGGTACCAATCCTCCTCCAACACACGGGGTAACCTTCCGCTCCCCCCACGTACCCTCCTGGCCCGCTTGCGCGAGGGCCCGCCGGAGGGGGACTCCTTGGCGGCGGTGGCGGCGGCCGCAGCGGCCTTGCGCGCGCGGGCGTCCTCGATCACAGTCCTGCGTGTGCGCGTGGGGGGGTGAGGGGAGGTAGGTGGTGGGTGACACATGTGTATAAGAGGTGGGAAAGGGGAGGGGAGACAAAGACCATAGCAGACCATAGGAAACCACAGATAAGGGCAAAGCGATGGGGATGGGAAGGGGCGGGGGGTAATGAGAAGTTACCGGTGCATAATGCGGGGCGGTATACCTCCGAAGAGGTCAGCACACCCAGCCCCCACTCCCCTCCCCTCCCCTCCACCACCCGCGGCCCCACCTGGCCTCCTTGAACCGGCGCAGGGCCGCCTCGTAGGGCGCCACCACCGCCTCACTCTCCCAACTGCAGGGGGGCAAGGGAGGGGGCAGGGGCGGTGGGTTGACGCGCTGCACGTACCACAGCGCAGCGGGGCCACATGCAGGACAAGACAAAGCATTAGAGCGCGGTGGGTACGACATGCTGCACACGCACCCTTTCCTCCCACACATCCCTTATCCTCCCTTTCCCACTCCGCGCCTCGGCCTCTCCCCTTCGCTTCCCTTCCCTCCCCTTTCCCTCCCCTCCCCTCCCCCCCCATCCTCTCACGTGCACTGGTCGTATCCCAGCTCCTTCCACTTCACCAGGTACTCCACAGCCACCGGCCGCCCCCCTCCTCCCGCTGCCGCCCCCCTGCGGCCGCTCCTGCCGCCCCCTGCCCCCCCTGCCGCCTGCCCCCCCTCCACCGGCTGCTCCGCCAGCACTCGCTCCACCTCCAGCCAGCTGCTGTGCACTCCGTGGATGTATTCGCCTGGGGGGGGGAGAAGGGGGGTAGTAGGGTGTGTTAAAATAGGGGTAGTAGGGTGTGTTAAAATAACTGGCCGCGAGGCGAAACGTACTGTGATTGCCGAAAGATGAAGTGTGTGTGTGTGAGAAGAGGGCCTTGCAGGCAGACAGAAGGCCAATGCTAGCAGACCGGTGGGCAGCCCGCGCACACGGGGTATGCACCCCTCCCTCCCCCCGCCCCTCCCCCCTCTCACCCGCCTCCTCCGCCTCCCGCTCCTCCGCCTGCCGCCCCTCCCGCAGCTTCCAGAAGCGCTGTATCTTGGCCTTGATGGCGGGGAACATCTGCAGGGGGGGCGGGGAGCGGGGATCAAGATAGCTGGGGGCACCCTAGCGGGTCCTCTAGAGAGGGGGCGAGAGAGCGGGCGAGAGAGAGAGGGGGGAAAATTTTATAAGAAATGCAAACAACTAAGTCCCAATCCCATATCCCGACTCATGCAGAGAGAGAGGGGGGGAGAGCGGGGCCGGGGGCAGCCGGGTGCGGAGGGCCCCTTCCAAAAGGTGCTACCTTGTGCATCTTGCCCATCTCCTCCTCCGGCTCCCAGCTGCAGTGCAGGTAGCTCTCGCCCTTCCACTTCACGTAGTACTCGCGGCGGGGTGGGGGGCCTGGGAGGTGGGGCGGGTGGAGCGGGTGGGGGTACACTGCTTGCCTGATCCGCACTGTGCCCGCGGCGCGAGGGCGGGTGTGGCGGGTGGTGTGCGGTGCGAGAGGCACCAGCCAGCAGGCGCCCCGTACCCCTTCACAGCACCCCATGCCTCATCCGCAGGTACCGGTGAGCGGGGTGACTACAACTGAAGCCAACGCAAGGCCGCTGTTAAGACAAACTCCGTTGCCTCTCTACTTCCCTCCAACCCCGCGCACCGCTTTCCCCACCCCTTCCCTCCCCTACTGCACTTCTCCAATTGCCGCGCTTCTCACTAATAGTTTTCCTCCCTCTCCTCCCCCTCCTGCCGCCCACCTGCGTCCTCCCCCTCCCTGCCGCTGCCGCCCTCGTCTGCAGGCACGTCCCTGCGCGGGGGAAGCGGCGGCAACATTACCATGAACAGTGAAGCGGGGGGCGGGAGCGGGTGAGGAGGGGGAGCTAAGGGCCAAGCAGCCCATGCGTGGCAAGCGTTTAATCCTCCCCCCCCTCGGTGTCTTTACTCCTGACCCCCTCGTCGGCTTGTTTGCCAGCCTCATTTAACACATTGGGTATTCTCCCGCCCCCTCCCCCCCCTCCTGCCTCCCTCCCTCCCTCCCACCTGTAGTCCAGCACCCTCTCAATGTCCTGGTACTTGAACCGGTGCGCGCACTCGGGGCAGAACCAGTCCCCGGGCGGCAGGCGGGACAGCGGCGGGTCCAGGCAGTACATGTGGTACACCGCCGTACAGCCGAACAGCGGCAGACCGTCGCAGCACAGCAGCTTCTGGGCGTCCTCGTCGCTGGCAGGGTGGGGGTGGGGGTGGGGAGGGTGGGAGGTGGGGGTGGGAGGAGGGGGGTTAGGGATAGGATGAGGGGAGGGATGAGGGCAGGTGGGATGGGGTGAGGGCTCCGTTTCGCAGCAGCAGCAGCAGCAGCAGCAGCAGTCGGCTGCAGACCTCACCCCGTCGCCAGCCGGCCCTGCAACTGACAAACCGGTGCAGCCCCACTGCGGCTCCCCTACCCGTGCACACATCCCATGTTCCCATCTCTCAACCTCCTTGCATGCAACCACCACCACAACCACCACCAACCACCACCACCAACCACCACCACAACCTGCAACCACCCCTGCAGCTCCGCCTCCTCCCCTTCCCAACACGCCCCGCCCTACCCCAACTCCGTCTCCTACCCCCGCGCCCTTTCCCTCCCTCCCCGCCCCTTCCCCCCTCACCCCCAGGCTCACCTGGCGCACAGCTTGCAATGCGTGTCCCACGCATCCTCCTCCGCCTCCGCCTCCGCAGCACCTCCCCGCCCCTTGCTCTTACCGCCCCCCGACTTCTTCTTCTTACTGCTGCTGCCACCCCCTCCTCCTCCACTCCCGCCTCCACCACCTCCACCCCCTCCTCCTCCGCCTCCATCTCGGTACGCCTCCCGCTCCCATTCGTACTCCACCTTGTCTTCCCGGTACCGTACATTCTTCTGTCGTGCAGATCTCAACCGGCATGTCGGCTCCTCCACTGCTGCTGCTGCTGCTGCCACCACAGGCGCCTTCTGCGCTGCTGCCTTGGTCTTCTCCGGCTCCTCATCCTCCTCCTCCATCGCATCCGCACCGCCGCTACCGCCGCCATCTCCCCCGCCACCCTCCTCTTGCCCTGCATGCCCGTCCTCCCCCTCCCCCTCCTCCGGCTGCTGCTCCTGCTCCTCTTCCTCTACCTGCTCCTCCTCTGACCCCTCCTCCTCCTCCTCCTCCTCCTGCTGCTGCTGCTGCAGCTGCTGCTCCGAGCCCTCCAGGGGCGGGCTGAGGCCGGCCGCCTCCTCCTCCTCAGAGCCCCCCGCACTGCCGCCTCCGTCCCCCTCCCCCGGCTGCTTGCGCTTGCGGGAGGCGGGGGAGGGGCGCTGGGAGCGGCCCATGGGAGGATGAGTGGATGGGAGTGCGGTGTGCGAGGTGGTGGCTGTTACTCAGAGGGCTGCTGGTAGGGGGCTGGCTGGGGGAAACCTGGAGGAGGAAGTGGGAAGGGGGAGGGAGGGGGAGGAAGTGACACGGTTGGGATAGGGAGGGGCAGAGAGACATTCCGGTACACGGCGAGCTTTTTGGGGAACACCGTTGTTTAAGTGTATGTAGGATTGTGTGAGGCAATTGTGTGTGTAGTGGCTTTCACAACCAGGTGGGAAAGAGGAATGGCGGGTGGGCAAAGGGACCCCAAGAAGGCCCCGCAAGGCCATTGTCGTACACACTTTCAAGGGCAACCACGCTAGAGACACCACAGGCCTGCTCGCCTGCTCAGCACTTTGGGTGTATCTATAAATCTATAAACATACACGCAAAGCAGATGCCAGGCGGCTCGCGGGCTTTGGGGAAGCGGGCAAGGAGGCCCTTCAGCAGCTGAGCAGCTCGCGGTCTCCAGCACCACCCGATACGGCAACGACACCAGTCGGCTGACAGCGCCAAGGCCTGCCTAGAATTGCTTGCTTAGCTGCTATTTGTTCACGGTCGGTGCTGGTAAGGCTGTCAGGCAGAGGCCTAGGCTTTTGCCGATCCATCGACGCACATCGCTCCAGGGAAGGCGGTAAGGAAAGCCCCAAGCAACCCCACCGCAAAGTGACGAAGAGACTCGGAGGCCGCGGGGATATGGAGATGAGGTGTAAAGCTCAAACCGCCTGCGCCCGCACCTTGCAAGGGCTTTTGCTGGCGATGGGTATCACGATGCGCGTGGCCGAACGTCCTTCGCAACAAACCACGTGGCGAAGAGCTCCTACAGCAAGTATTTAAGCGTCCTATATTTTTCCTGTTATGCCGTAGTCAAAGTCTAACGTTGAACTTTGTACTGTTTTTTCAGTTGCACCGCATCCCAAAGTCCGGCGTTACTAGGACACACGCAAACAAAGTGTACGTACAAATCCGTGAATTTCCGCCTTCAAAGATTGTACACAGCCGTCGCACAAGGGAGTTGCGGTTTAGTGTACGACAGTCAGGGCCCTCCCTGGCGAAATCGCGGTGCTTGCTCCTCTTCGCAAGCCAACCGATGCTGTGCCCGCAGAGATTACCCTTGCCGTACTTACATAAAGTACCAACACAGTTCGTCGCTCTGATATGCCGTAGTCTCCAACCCGGCATCAGCCCCCACCGGCCGAAACGGCTGGACCGCGGGTGGACCCACTCCAAGAGCGGCCATCCGTGCAGGTAAGGGCTCTGCGCTGAAGACGCCATATGAACAGGAGGTTCCATCATCCCATCCCATCGCATCCCAAAGAAGCATCACAGAACTGCCGCCTGCCCACTTACACACGAAACGTCTCGAGTTCCTTGTACGGACTTGGGACACAGTACGGTCTGCCGCATGAAGAACCGATTCTGGCTGCCTGGTTCCCCAGTACAGGAAGCGGTCCCGCAGGCTGGATAAGGCTGCATGAGGCTTCCCAGCCCGCTACAGCGGCAAGCTGTCCTGTGCGCTGTTGGAAGAGTGAGAAACCCTCCAGCCCCCCAGGCCCCCAGTAATGGCCTCCCCCCTTGAGGTGCTCCTCCCTGGGTTGCGGCGGTAAGGACAGGCAACTGCACTCCCCCCGTGTCAGTGTTTCCGCGGCTCAGTTTACCTAATCCCCCCGAGTGCGTGAAGAAGGCTGGCTGCGAGCAGGAACGTACTGATTGTGTTGTGTGTATAAGTTTGGTGGATAGAGCTACTGTGTACTGGTCGCGCACCCGCGCGGGCAGGCTGGCTGGCTGGTGTGGCAGTGCTGGGGCGCCGGTGCGGTGCCTCACCAAGCAGGTGGGGGTCAAAGACCATACCAAACCATAGGAGACCACAAGTGAGGGCAAAGCAATGGGGGGGTGCTGGTGGAGGTGGTGACGGTGGTGGTGGGGGGCACAGCATCTGTGTTGCGTCTCTGTCTCCTCTACATACCCTTACTTCGTCAACAACGGAGAGACGCAAGCGGACCGTCCCAGAGACCGTCCCATGGGTCAGTCTCTGCCCCTACATCCACATGTGCCGAACCGAGCGGTTCTCGGAGGCGGCTTTCGCGCACTGGGAGGAGGGGCGCGTGCACCTCTCACGCAACACCCACCCGCACCGCCCGCCAGCGATCCGCGAACCAGAAGAACAGCCGCGACCCTCTGCAAGGTGTAATTCAAGATCCAAACCCTCCTCCTCCCTTCTCGCCCTGTGGCTCACACCGCACCGCATGCCTTCTTCTTCGCATCGCGTCCCACACCCACCCCTCGTGCACACCCACACACCAAAACACGCTCCCTCTCCTGCTCTGCCTTTTCCGCTCTCTCTCTCTCTCATCCACCCCCAGCTCGCTCGCTCGAAAGCCCTCACGCACACTTCCCCATCCTATCACGCTTACAGCCCGTTCTCCGCAACACCCCGCCGCGTTCTGCTGGGGACATCATCTTCCGACAACCCCGTACGCTCCACCTCGCGGCCAGCTTTCCTAACACCAGCTAAACCTCCCCTCACCCCCCCGCCATCTCCTCCACCCCACCCCCTTCCAAACTTCCATCTCAGTGCAGACGATCCCCTATCCCCTCCCAGTCCCCAACCCCCAACCCGCACCCCCTTTACACCACCCCCTTTGCCCTCAGCGCCGCGATCTCCTCCTCCCCCATCCCCAGCTCCCCCCGCAGCACCTCCTCCGTGTGCTGCCCCAGCGCCGGACCCGCCCACCGAGTGGCGCCCGGCGTGCCGCCCAACACCGGCAGCAGCGCCGGCAGCAGCACCGGCTCCAGGGGGGGAGGGGGGCTGCCGGGGGTGGAGGAGGAGGGGGAGGAGGAGGGGGAGGCAGGTGGTGGAGGAGGTGGCAGTGCGTGTTGGAACATGCCCCGCTCCTGGAACTGCGGCTCGTGCAACAGTGCGGCGGGGGAGAGGATGGGGCCGGCGGGCACTCGGGCGGCGGTCATGGCGGCCATCACCTCGTCTGGGGGGGTGGGGGGGGGGAGAATGGGGGGGGGAGGGAGGGGTTGTGTGTGTGGGGGTTCTGATGTCAGCAGCTGCTGCTGCCGGTACCGTGTTCTAGCGGAAGGAAGAGGCGCTCCGGACAACAACGATAATGAAGGCAGGGGTTACAACGCCCCCTAACCGCCCCGCCTACTCCACAAACGCTCCGAACACCGCCTCCCCTCCACCCCCTCCCCTCCTGCCCCCTCACCCAGCGAGTGCCTCGCCACCCACTCCTCAATGGCCCCCATGATGAGCCCCTCCGCCGCCACGCGGTGCGAGTTGGTGGCGAAGGCGGGGTTGGCGGAGCCCAGCTCCGGGCGGCCGATAGCGGCCATGAGGCGGGAGTAGATGCTGGGGGGGGAGGGGAAGGGAGGAGGAAGGGGAAGGGGGAGAGGAGGGAGAGAGGGAGGTGGGGGCATGGGAGAGGGGAGAGCGACGCGCCAAGGAGGCATCATCTACGCACATGCGTTGCAGCAGCTCTGCGGGAAAGAGGTCACGTGATGAGCCCGCCTGCTGTCCTCCGCCCCTACTGCTGCCCCCCCAGAGCTGCCCTCCCCCACAGGAGCAGCGCCACCTCACCACTTCCCCCCACTGCTATGCTCCCCTTCCCTCCCACCCTCCTCCCCTCCCCTCCCCCACCTGTCCCCGTTGCCCCCGATCACCACGTAGCGCTCATCTCGGGTGCGGAAGGTGCCGGAGGGAACCACACCTGGGCAGCCAGGCAGGAGGGGGGGTGAGGGGGGGGGTGAGGGGTCCGCATGGAGGGAGAGGGAGCACTCAGGGCACAGGGCAGGCGAGCGACCCTTGGCTTAAGCTCCAACCAAAGGAAGATGCGCTCCTAAAACCCCTCCCCCCCCCCCTGCTCCCCCCTCCCTGCTTTCTCCCCCCACCCGAAATGGTAGACCCCGAGGGCCCCCTGTCCTGCCCCGCCGCCGCCACCTCCGCCACGCAGCTCTCCAGCATGTTGAACACGCTCTCGCTGATGGACGCGTCAACCACCTGACCCCCGCCGGGAGCACCTGGGGGGGGGGGGAGGTGATGGGAGGGACAAAGGCTATTATACATGCAGCGCCCATATCCCATCCCAGAGGGTGGGGGACGTGTCACATACCTCTACTTCATCGTGTGCCTGTGCATGCAGCCACCCCCTTACCCCAACGACTCCATTCGCCCGGAGCTTGTCATCTGGTTTGCCACCCTGATCCAATGCATTGGGAATTCTTCTCCTCCCCCCTCCCTTTCCCCCCTCACCCCTACTGCTCTTCTGCATGCACCCCCTCCCCTTCCCTTCCCCCCCTCCCCCCTCCCCCCCCCCCCCTCCCCCCCCCTTATCGCTAGATTGCTTGTTTTCTGCTAATAACATATGTTTTCGGTCCTGCCTCTTTGTCATGCCCGAGCACATATGGGGCCCTGGTGACGATGTTTGACATCAAGACAATAGTAGTAGACAACTACAACAGCCAGCATTCAGCTCGGTCGCTGGAGGGTCGCTGTTTCATCGCCACCCCGGACTCGATATCGGTAGGGACCGCTAACCCATACTTGTTTTTGTGGCACCCTGCCGCCTCCTACCCCCATTGCTTTGCCCCAACCTGTGGCTTCCTATGGTTCGGTATGGTCTTTGACCCCCCTCTCCCCCCCCCCCTCCCCTCCCCTCCCCTCCCCTCCCCCACCCCACCCCTCCGTGTCTTGTGCAGCAGCGCCAGCACCGCCCCGAACGCCGCATGCAGCCCCGCCAGCGTGTCGCCCAGGCTGATGTTGGGGCGCACGGGCGGGCGGTCGGGGTAGCCGTTCAGGTGGCGGAAGCCGCCGTACGCCTCGCACACGGAGGCGTAGCCTGGGGGGGAGAGGGAGGAGGGGGGAGGGAGGAAAAAGGGCAAAGGGGAGGAGGGCAAGGGGGAAGGAGAGCAAGGGGGGGCTGTAAGAAGGAAGAAACTGACGAGCGGTATGAGAGTATGACAAGGCTTCACCATGGGGGTGTCCTCACGGGTGTGTGCAGCCCCCTCATGCCATCTGCCCCCGGATCCTCCCTTCTCCCCCTGCCTGCCTCACCTGGATCGGGCGCGCGAGGGCCGGTCTGTGCGAGGGAGGGGTGGGGGTTGAGGGGTTGAGAGAAGGGGTGGGTGGGAGTCGGGGGAGGAGCAGTGGCAGAGGGGGGGGAGGTGTGAGAAAGATACGGTACGGGAGTGTCAGGGGCGCCCGGAGCCAGCGTGTCACCATGCAAACCATCCCCACCCTCTCCCCGCCCCTCCACCCCAGCCCCCCTCCTGCCTCCTGTACGGTCTCGCCTGCCGTTCCTCTGCCGCCTCGCCTCCCCCCTCCAGCCCTCCCTCCTTCCCAGCCCTCCCTCCCTTCCCAGCCTCCCCCCTCAACTATGTTTCCTATGGTTCGGTATGGTCTTTGACCCCCCCCTCACCTGTCCGTACCCCGAGATGCGCGTGTACACCAGATCGGGCTTCAGGTGCTGCGGCCCCAGCCCCCACCCCTCCATCACACCGGGACGGAAGTTCTCAACCAACACATCCACCCGCTCACTCAGCCTGGGGGTGGGCGGGAGGGGCGGGAAGGGGGGTGGGCGGGAGGGGCGGGAAGGGGGGTGGGCGGGAGGGGCGGGAAGGGGGGTGGGCGGGAGGGGCGGGAAGGGGGGTGGGCGGGAGGGGCGGGAAGGGGGGTGGGCGGGAGGGGCGGGAAGGGGGGTGGGCGGGAGGGGCGGGAAGGGGGGTGGGCGGGAGGGGCGGGAAGGGGGGTGGGCGGGAGGGGCGGGAAGGGGGGTGGGCGGGAGGGGCGGGAAGGGGGGTGGGCGGGAGGGGCGGGAAGGGGGGTGGGCGGGAGGGGCGGGAAGGGGGGTGGGCGGGAGGGGCGGGAAGGGGGGTGGGCGGGAGGGGCGGGAAGGGGGGTGGGCGGGAGGGGCGGGAAGGGGGGTGGGCGGGAGGGGCGGGAAGGGGGGTGGGCGGGAGGGGCGGGAAGGGGGGTGGGCGGGAGGGGCGGGAAGGGGGGTGGGCGGGAGGGGCGGGAAGGGGGGTGGGCGGGAGGGGCGGGAAGGGGGGTGGGCGGGAGGGGCGGGAAGGGGGGTGGGCGGGAGGGGCGGGAAGGGGGGTGGGCGGGAGGGGCGGGAAGGGGGGTGGGCGGGAGGGGCGGGAAGGGGGGTGGGCGGGAGGGGCGGGAAGGGGGGTGGGCGGGAGGGAGTATAAAGAGCCCTGCGTGGGGTGTGGGAGGGCTCGGCGGTCCAGGAAGTGCTTCAGACGCTCCTTCCTTACCCGCGAGCGGTCCCGAAGCAGCAACACTGCCCCGACCCCGACCCCGTCCCCGACCCCACCGGGATGCACTTGTACGTTATGTCGTCAGCATTTTCCGTTACCCCTCTCCTCCCTTCCGGTTCTTCTCCTCCCCTGCCCACCTCTTGACCAGCTGCCTGCCCTCCGGCGTGTTGAGGTTGATGGTGACACAGCGGCGGTTGCGACCCTGATGGGGTGGGGGTGGGGGGGAGTGCGGAGGGGGGTTACGGGAGGGGTGGCTGCATGGGGAAACCACACGGCATGACCCGATAGCAGGATAGAACACGCTAGGGTACGACTGGCCATACCATGTGCCGCCCCCACCTTCCCCTTCGCTACCAGCACTCCCCCCCAAGCATGGTCCATGCATTTATCTATATTTTCCCTCCCCCCCGCTCCCCTCCCTCCCCCCCCACATGGCAGCGCCACCACAGCGAGGTGCCGCTGGAGTCCAGGGTGCGCAGCGACCGCAGCGCGTCGCCCTTGCCGGGGGGCTCAACCTGGGGGGGAGGAGGGGTGGGGAATAGGGCAGGGGCCAGGGGGCAGGGAAAAAAGAGGTAAATGGTGAACTGGTAGCTGCTGGTGGTAGTGTCAACCTCCAACAACTACTCCCAACCCTCCTCATCTGTGATTTCCCACCCCCTCCCCCAGGTGTGCCGTACCTTGATCACATCCGCCCCAAAGTACGCCAGCAGGGCCCCGCAGAAGTTGCCCGCCACCACCTGGCCCAGATCCAGAACCTGTGAAGGGGTCAGAGATATCCCAACCCCGGGGGGGGGAAGAAGGGGTCAGAGAGGAACCAAACCGTCCTAAGGAGGAGGCGGGGCAGCGGGGAGGTTGCAGGTGGGGCGAGGAGGTGCCCTGGTGGCAGGATACCCTGGGTGACCGCTTCATGCAGGGGACGGGGCGCTTCCTGCTGCGTGTGTGTGTGGTAAGTCTCCTCCCCTTCCATGTGCCGGGTGTGCGATACTCCCTCCATGCGGTGACGGTGTGAGGCATGATACGGGGCGAAGACGCTAAGGGTGGCTACCCCTCGTGCCACCCGCATGCTGCGGGGCTGCTGACCCCGGGAACGGGTGCTCCCGTCCTCTTCCCTCATCCGACCCTTTGCTGCCCGCCCAGCTGTCTCCGCAGCTCCTGCCAGAGCTGTTCCCGTTCCCAGAGGTCGGACACTGCCCTGACCCACCTTGATTCCAACGAGAGGCCCCTGTGGTGGCGGAAGCTCCTGGTCCGAGGCAGTTGTGTTATGCCGGATAGCTACATGGGACGCCTGCAAGAGAGGAGAAGCCCTAGCACGCGGCAGTGCTCCCCATGCCGCAGCGGCGACCAAGCGTCCAAGGAAAGGTTGCTGCACTGGCGGCATGTGGTGGAGCCTGTGAAGAAAGTGAGGTTCCTATGTAAGTTGGGATGCTTGTTAAGTGAAAATCGCGAACGGTTTACTTGCAAGGAATATGTACGGCAGCTGCGTGCGTTGGTCGCAGAAATGGATAAAGTCCAACGATAGCTTTCCGAGCGAAGGTGCATAATATTATTTTGGAAGCGTCGGGGTTAATTGTAAGCCTCTTCAAAACGTTACACCCGGTTGGTCATCAACTTGTCAACATCATGTCGACGGCGACAGGGTTGCTTCAGTTTCGGGCGCGCCGAGGACCTCTTTCTGCTCTCGCAGCTGTGGCGAGTTTGAAAAGCGCCCTTGACCAGCTAGCAACGACTGGAGGACAAGCGGCCCTTAGCACTGATGCGTCGCCGCCGATGATTAACTGGGTGTTCCTGGGCCCGCCGGGTGTCGGCAAAGGCACATATGCCACACGTGTTGCCAAGGCCTTCGGTATCCCTCATATCGCAACCGGCGACCTTATTCGTGCGGAAATTGCAACGGGTAGCGACCTCGGTGCCAAGGTGAGACCATCGCTCCGATACCTCGCAAGCACTGCGACTGTCATTTGCGCACCTCCAAGAAAACCTATGCACACACGCTGTAACTACATGCCGGCATAGGCGGCGTTTGGTCCGCCGGCAAGCTCTCAGGCTGTCGTCGGTTGCAAGTCAATGCCAAACCTCCGACACCTCTCGCACGCGTAACCCTCCAAAAAGCTAAGCCACAACTTCCCTGCGACCTTGCCCACCGTACGCAAGTCACCCTTTGCATGTCAATCACCTGCGCAGCTTACATATGGCGTCCGCACCCTATAGTCCTCCCATCCACTCATCTCTGCCCATCTCTGCTCCCCCTCCGTCCTTACCCCCTGCCCTCGACCCCTCCTCCCGCCTCCTCCCCCAGATGAAGAGCATTGTCAACCAGGGCAAGCTGCTGCCGGACGAGATCGTACAGGAGGTACGGCATAACGCCTCTTGGCTAAAGGGCGCCTCTGTATGGGTCTGCAGGGTTGGTTCCCACAGCATAGCGGGTTGCACGCAGCCGCCGGATCCCCACCCCACCCCACCCCGCCCCAATCCTGCCAGCCAGCCAGCCAGGCAATCCGGGTGCTCCGCGGCCCGGTAGGGCCACTGCTCCCCCCCTGTCCGCCCGCCTGCGCGCCTGTCCCTCCCCTCGCCTCCTGGGTAGCCCTCCTGCGCCCCGCCCTCTGCCCCCCCCCCCCCGGGCATCACAGCGGTGGCAGCAGCAGCGGCCCCTCTGCTCAGCCACTCCGCGGCTGTACGGCCCCCCCGCCCCCGCACCCCGCCGCCACAGCAGTAGGGACAGCGGCTGCAACAGCGGCTGCAACAGTAGCGGCAGTAGCAACAAGGGGCATGCATGCGAGCAGGTGGCGGGTGGGGCTGTCCTGTGGGCCCCAGATGCTAGCAGTGGCGCGCCTGGTGGCCCTCCGCTCTGAGCCACGAGGGAGGACTGCCGTTGTTGCTGCCGCTGCAACGAAGGGGATACCCTCTCGCTCGTACAGCATCTTAACATGTTGCCAAGGCTTCTTCGTAACCCTGCTGCCTGCTGCCCACCACCCCACCCCCACCCCAATAGGTTCTCCAGCTGCGTCTGTCCAAGGGGCGTCAAGAGGGCGAGCGGGGTTTCCTGCTGGACGGCTTCCCACGCACCCGGGCGCAGGTGGGGGGAGGGGGGGCGGGGCGGGGTTGAGGGGGCGTATGGTGGGGGGCGGGGGCCGAGTGGTGAAGGCAGGGAGCTAGCGTGCTGGGTGGTTGCGGGCGTACATTCCTACTCGCGGCCAGTTTTCTTAACACGCACGCACTCTTAACAGCATGACACAAGCTGCCACCCTGTTCAGTGGAGCGGAGAGGGTAGAGCACCCGGCGGCCCCTGACCCCTTGACACGGTGTTTCATCCCCTCACCCCCCCTCTCCCCCCCTGCAGGCTGAGCAGCTGCTGCGCACCACCGACATCGGGCTGGTGCTGAACCTGGGGCTACGGGAGGAGGTGCTGGTGGAGAAGTGCATGGGTGGGTGGTGGGGGGAGGGTGGGAGGCATGCAGTGGCGGAGATGGGGGGTCCCTGCGGCGAGGGCAGAGGTGCGATCGTAGGTAGGGCAAAGAGGAAACAACTAACTGACTGAAAGATAAGGCGTCAACATGGGTTGCAACATGTGAGCCAGCCCGACCCGGGTAGGTAGGGCGGGTGAGGGCTGCAGGGGGAGGCTGCGGGCGAGCATGGCGGGGAGTGGGTTGCCGGTAGAGCTGCAGTGCGGGGGGTTCCGAGGAGCGCCTGGAGGGTCGCGCTGCTGCTGGTGGCAGCCGGCATACCGGTGTGGGGCTGCCATGTCGTATCCACAGTCCCATCATCCACGCATATCCCATCCTCCTCCCCTCCCTCTCCCATCCCCCCCTCCCTCCCCACTCCTCCCCTCCCTCCCCCCTCCCCCTTCCCTCCCCACTCCCGCCCCCACAGGTCGGCGGCTGTGTCGGCACTGCGGCAAGAACTACAACATCGCCAACATCTACCTGGCGCCGGGGCCGGAGGGGCAGCCGGAGATCGTGATGCCGCCGCTCAACCCGCCACCCGAGTGCGCCCCGCACCTGGAAGTGCGCGCGGACGACCGGGAGGAGGTCATCCGGCACCGGCTAGAGGTGGGGGAGGGGGCGGGAGGGGGGGGAGAGAGGGTGGAAAGATAAATGAAAAGGGTGGGAAGGGAGAGAGGAAGGGAGGAGAGAGGACGAGGGAAGAATGTGTTGGGGCACGAAAATGGGGAAGACAAGCCTACTTGGCCCTTCGCCACCTGCTCACAGCACGTGCCGGTTTCCTTTTCGTATGCTTGGGTGGCATGTGCCCTCCCGTTATACTTCTCTCCCCGTTTCTCCCGCCAGGTCTACAAGCAGGAAGCCGCACCCGTGGAGCAGTTTTTCCGCGAGGCCGGGTTGCTTGTGGACTTTGAGATTACGTCGGGCATCCCGGAGACCATGCCGCTCCTCATGCCGCTGCTGCAGTCGTATGTGGGGAGGCGCGCAAACGAGCGCAAGTAAGGGTCTTTGGCAGCTGGGAAAGGAGGGTTAGTGGTGGTGACGGCATGACAATGCATGTTGACTGTGGATGATTGACCTAGGCTGGGTTTAGAAATGGACTGATTACTGTGGGGCGGATGTAGATGGCGCTTCGGTGAAATTAACGGGGTTGGGATTGCGGATGCCTGGTGGATTGGTCGAACCGCGGCACGATGACCTAGTAGGGCGGTTGGTTGCGGAATCAGCAACGGCAACTTTGGAACCGATCTTGACGCGCGCACGCGCCGAAGCTCCGAGCTTGCTTGTAAGAATCAGGTCTGTGAATGGCTTTTTAGGATTGCCTGTGCTCGTGTGCGGTGCTGTGAATCCAAGATGGAGTCCTGGATGCGCGACCACTATGACATATTGGCGGCCAAACGACTTGACGAAATAACCTTGCCTGGGACGCACGATTCAGCAGCTTACACATTGGCACCGGCTGGTGTACACTTCAGTCGTAGCATCCGCGACCGATTCCTGAGCCTGCTGGCCTGTCTCGCACGGCCTTGCATATGCCCTTGGACCCTTACGCAAGAAGACTGTATATACCAGCAACTGGCAGAGATTGGGAGTCGCTTTCTGGACTTACGGGTAGCTTGGGATGAGCCCTGCAACAGCTTCATCACGTCTCACACGTTTGCTTGCGCCCCCTTAAAGGCGGTTCTGCAAGATATCACCGCTTTCCTGCTTGACCACAAACAGGAGGTCGTGGTCGTGTCGCTGCGCCCAGACTGGGCCCACCGTGAGCCTTTAACTCCGACCACATGCCGCAAGCTGCTCGACGTCATTTCCACCAGCTGTCAGAACCTTTTATTCCCAAGGCAGCCAGAGCTTCCAACTGTGGGCGAAATGGTCACCAGCGGGCGACGACTCCTTGTTTTCGTCGAGGGCTTGCCATCCCCAGCCATCCCCGTACATGTGACATGCTGCACAAGTCTCACAGACGTCCCCGCAAACCCGCCTCATCAGCCACTGCCCCATTCCCTTACCCAACAAGCCCAGCACGTGTGGTTCTCAACCGGTTGCAAGGCCATCTGGGCCAACAGTGACACCGCGGAGGGTACTGTCACCGGACTCCTCCACCTCATCGCACAGCTCCGGCGGGAGGGGCTCCTGCCCGCGCGCCCGCACTGCGAAGACAACAGCGCCACCACCACAACCCCCAGCTGCAACACAAGTCACAGCATGGACACCCCTGCCAGTACCGCCGGTGCTACCACCACCGGCAGCCTCTCCGCACCCCACACCATCAGAACAACCAGCCACCCAGGAGGCCATCGAGGAGCGCTGTGCTGGTATGTCTCTGCAGCCGTCACTCCCTCCCCACGCAGCATCAGTCGCGCGGTGCTGGCTGGGGGGCCGCTGGGCGGCGGCGGACTGCGGCGGCAGGCGGCGGAGCTGCAGGAGCAGCAGCTGCCGCGGCTGCTGCAGGAGGGACTGAGCGGGGTGACCGCGGTATGTCTGGACTTCCCCTCGCCCCAGGCAGCGCGGCCGGTGATCGAGCTGAACCTGAAGGGACACTAAGCTGGAAGAGCGAAGAGCTGATGCGGTGGCAGGAGCGCGGGAGGCTGAACGGTACATACTAAGATGTACATATTACGGGGATGTGAAAAGGGACTGTGTTTGCACATGTTGTGCGGTAGGTCGGATGCGTGGAGTTAGGCTGAGGTTTGGTTTAGGGTTCATGCTTTGGGCACGCAAATGCCCGACGCTTCGGGAAGGTGGACGCGAGTAGGGAACGGTTGGAGAGCCACGTCACGTTTCACCACACTGAAAAGTGATGGAGCGATACCCCGTGAGTTGTCACAAACCTGCATTGCGTTGCTACAGGACGCAGCCACAACAGACTTGTGGGAGCTACCTCCAAAGTTCTCTCCTAAAGGCTTCCGAACCCCAATGCCCACACTCCTAGTAAAGAGTGCGCTCGCCCCCCAGTGTCCCCCCTCGACTGCTCTCCTCGTTGCCAGCACTCCAGCAGCACCAGCATCCCTACACCCTCCACCCAGCCCACTCCCAAGTGAACAGGCTTTTGACTCAGATCGCTCGCCATACGCTCACTCCGAAACCCTTACAGCTACAAAGCTCTACCCTAACCTGACGCCAAGTCCACCACCATCCCCCGTCGAAACCTCCCCAGACTGATGGTCTGAGCAGCGCATGCTAGCCGTTGCTGGCTTGCAACGCACGCTCTTCGGTGTCTCAGCGCGTCAGCCCAGCTGTGCTTCAGGCACCGCGGCACTAGCAACTACCATCAAGACCAGCCAGCACCTAGCTAGAACCGCACACCACGAGGCGTCTGCGTCTGCACGCATCATGACCGTTTCGCCTTCTTGTTTTGGTAGCAAACGCAGATTGCTGCCTGCGGGGGGCATGCGGTGGTTTGAGGGTCAAGGGGAGGCCAGTTGGGGGCACTGGGGCGATGAGCATGGTAGAGCAGGGCAGCGGATGTCAATCCCACGCAAGGCACCAGTGTCTCCCCCCCAGTGTATCCTCAGACAAGGGTTCCCCGTGCGCTGCTGAAACCTACGGCTAGCATGGCCTAGATCACAGTAAGCGGTCAGGTGCACGTGGTGTGAGCTTGCCGCCAACCCCTGCAGGCGTAACCAGCTAACCAGCAAGCATGACCTCCAGGGGGCCCCGCCACACACGCAGCACGGACCCACCGCGACAGTAAAGGCGATGTACACGCCGCCTGTGATGAAGCAGCTGCTAGCGGCCTTCGTGATCTGGTCGTCGGTGGGCGACCCGCGGCCCTCTTCGTGCACGTACCACTCGCCAACGAACCTGCAGCGGCGGAGGGGATTAGGGACGTGGCGGGGACGGGGGTTAGCCAAGCGTGCAACGTCAACAACAGCGTTAATGGAAGCCGAGCGATACAGAAACGCAGGCAACCTCCCGTTGCCCCAGAGGCCCTTATCCGGGACGGCAGGTTCTTGGCTGGAACACCAGCCACCCAGTCTATAGCCCTCGAGCACAATCCCGCCAGTCTGTGGGGCAAAACCGCTGGAGCACGCAGAATTTCAAGCAAACACGCGCCCGCGAGCTGAGTACATGAAGACTAACTAGGATGGACTTGCTCCCGTATCAAGGCAGAACCTACTCGTAGTTGTTTTTGATGCAGATGCCTAAGAAAAACATGAAGAAAGCGCCAAAGCCCGACATGAGCGTGCAGAACGTGCAGCCTGTAAGGACGCAAGGGGCAATCAGCCTGTTAATGGCACCCTCTCCAGCAAACTCCATAAGCGACAATTGACAAGCATCTCCACATTCCGCACGATTGCATCCGATCAAGCTGACGACAACCAGTGCTGCCTTCCCTACCGGCCGGATTGCACATCCTTCTCGAGTTGGATAAGTAAGAATGAAGCCTTGTGGTTAGGGGTTGGCCCTAAATTGTTAAGCAACAGAGCGGTCCAGCGTTGTCTTAAATATTCTCTAGGTCCTGGAACAGAGCTTTTCCTTAACTATCCCGATGTACTTAAATCTGTAAGATGCGATACACGTGCTTCGGAGGCTTAGCGAGACAAAGACGTACCTGAGGAAAACAAGCTCCTATCTTTTCGCGCCCTCATTGCCGTACATACCGGCTTGCACCGATCCTCCGTCGCCAAAGACACATCCGCCTTCTCCTCCTCGCATGATGTTTGATCCCCTCAGTCCGCTTCTGCGCACCTTAGCCATCAGCACATGGAGGTCACCCGTGCCCATTGCTCATCTATGGGTGTTCGCCCCACGCCAGCCCACGTCTGACTAACGATCGTGCCCCCTACACGCATGCAGGCTGTAAAACATATGAAGTACGGCGAGAGCACATGCCCCTACGGTGGAGACCTAGAGGAGGAGGCTGGAAGCCGGAGGGCTGAGTCATCAAGAGGACTACAGACACCGAGAGGACCACACACACCGGAACAGCTGCTCCCTTGCTCAGTGGTTCGGTTGGGTTAACCCTTAGCGACGACTCCCACCAGCTACATCGGCGTGTAGGTGTGCTATTGCTGGCCCCAAGCTTGTTGTAACCTGTTTTGTATCGGCATGCGTGCCGGGAACTGCTGCTGCTGCTGCTGCATGATGCTCACTTGCAATTACCCACACCCGAGTAAGCGCCATCAGCCTTCAGCCGTCACGTGTGTTTTCCCGTTTTCTCATCAAGAAAGCACCCGAATGCGGTGAATGTTGTCATCGCGCATAGTCATCGCGCCTCAGTAAATTACAGTCCCTTTCCTCGCCGCCACCAACAGGCACCTTACAGCGACTGCGGCACCGCCCCAACCCGACTGCGCCGCTTGACTAAGTAGTACGCACACCAACATTGGTGTTGTCCCCAACTTGATCCCGGGTCCTTACTGGTTGATCCACACCCACAGCAAACTCTCGCACCTCATACGGTACATCGCCTCCAACAGCCCCTCACCGCCGTCAACCCAAACACACCTCCATCAGACCAGCACACACATCCTTCCAGTTATTTTAACACACATCCTTCCCCCTCGCGGCCTCTCGCCAGCACCACCGGCTTCCTCCTGAACCCCACGGCTCAGCCGAGCATCGGTTAGCTCCTTAGCTGCCCAGCCATCACACCCCTCTCTCCCCCTCCTCCCTACCCACACCCCCGCCTCTGCCTGCCTACCCGCCCCCCTCTCCCTCTCTAGAGACTTGGTGGCCTCCCAGCAGCAGTCCGCTGCTGCCGCCCTCCCACCTACCTAGTCGTTTGCATTTACTATAAAATGTTCCCCCCTCCCTACCTGCCCTCCCCCGCCCCCGCCCCCGCCGCCCCCTCCTCCCTCCGCACCAGCAGCACCCCGCACTCCAGGTGGTGGGTGTACGGGAACTGGTCGAAGGCCGCCATGCGGGAGATGCGGTGCGAGGCCGCCACGGCCCGCAGGTTGGCGGCCAGGGTGGCGGGGTTGCAGCTGATGTACAGGATGCGGTCAAACTCCTGGGGGGGGGAGGGGAAAGAGGGGAGGGGGCGAGGGGGCGAGGGGTTGGGGGAGCAGGGGCGAGGCAAGGATGAACGGGGGAGGGGCCATGCATGCATGCAGGACATATGGCAGCAGGAAGCAAGTAAGGGGGGGTGCAAAAGGCGCCGGCGCTTGACCTCCGCTAGCCCGCCAGCACCCCCCAGCTCCTCCCCCCTGCAATACCCTCACCAGCCTTCACCAAGAGCTGCCACTAGAGAGGCCAATCAACGCCTTATCCTTCTCTCCCCCCCACCGCCATGCACCTTCAGCATACACACCCCACCTTCATCAGCTGCTCCGTGAAGCGGTCCAGTCCCGACCGCGGCGGGTCCACCAGCAGGGTGCGCAGCCGCAGCTGCCCCCACCCGGGCAGCCCCGCCAGCCGCCGCCGGGTGCCGCCCGACCGCATGGTCTCAGCGAACTCCTCCGCCGCCATGCGAGCCAGGAAGACGTTGGGGGTGGCGTTGGCGGTCAGGTTGTACCTGGGGCGGGGGGAATTATAGATAAGTGCAACAACGGGGGGGGAGGTGGAGGTGGGAGGGGAGGGGGTGGGGGCTTGGGAAGGGGAGAAAGAAAAATGAAGGCAGCGACAACCCATGGTTGTGACCTCTGGTGGAGCCTCGTGCGTGCGGTTAGTTAGTTAGTTAGTTAGTTGCCTCCTCTGCAGCCCCCTCGCCTCACCTGGCCGCCTCCACTGATGATTTGGCCACCTCAGTCGCCAACACGAAACGGAAGTTCTGAGCTAGCGGTATCTGGGGTGGGGGCGGGGGGAGCAAGCGGGGAGGGAGGAGGGAGGAAAGGGCGGGAGGAGGTGTGCGGGTTTGGGATGTTTTCCGGGGTCAAGGGCCACACGGGCTGGCTCCCATCTACCGTACTTGACGCAACTGAGCAGCATATCCATTGGTTGGACGGGCTGAGCGGGTCGTGTAGCCGTTACAACCCTTACACGTGATCGGGTGGTTGGTGCCTGTGTGGAACACGAGAGGCTCTCCAACCACCTCCAACCGCCCCGCCCACCCACCCACCGTAAAGTTGCCGTTGCCGCAGTACAGCTCCAACAGATCGTCCCGTGGGTCGCTCGGGTCCAGACGAACCGCCGCATTGAGTTTCTCCTCCCCCGCCTCCTCTTCCTTCTCCTCCTCCTCCTCAGCAGCAGCAGCAGCTGGATCCGCATCTCCTGCCCCACCACCTGCCGCACCCTTGTCCTGCATGTCCTCAGACCCTGCCCCAGCTCCGGCGGCTACCGCCTCCCCCTCCCCCGCTGCTGCCGCTGCCTCCCCACCCGCCCCCTCCAAGCGAGCCCGCACCCTTCTCCCGCTGTTGCCATCCCCCACCTCCTCCTGCTGCTCCTCCTGCTTCATCTCCTGCTGAACCTTGTGCGCAGCAGCAGCAGCGACAGCAGCCGCATCCCCAGTCCCCTGCCCCTGCGCCTGCGCCGGTCGTGTCACCTCCACCGCCCAGCTCAGCATGTGTTGGCACACCGCCCCGTTGGGCTGCGAGAAGGCGCCCTCCACCTGCGGGGCCGGGGACCGGAAACCAGCCCACACACCATTTGGCCACAGTCACAGTCACAGTCGCACTCAGCCACATCCACACCTGCGGTCAGCCATGCCCAGTCGCAGTTACTGCCAAACAAACCAACTCCACACCGCCCTACCAGGCCCCCTCCCCAGCACCCACCCCCCCCCACCCGGCCCCACCCCCCACCTGCTTCTGCACGTACTCCCGCCCCGCCACCGTCAGCCGCTCCAGCACAAACCCCGCCTCCAGCTCCACCTTCTGCTTGCGACTGCGCCCGATCACATGCGGCGCGCTGCCGGCCGCCGCGGCGGTGGGGGTGGCTGCCAGTCGCGCGCGCAGCTGCGCTGCCGCCGCCTGCCAGTCGGGGCCCAGCTTGCGGTGGTAGAGCAGGGTGACCATGGCGTCGCCGGCCAGGGTGGTGTGGAAGTTGACCTGGGGGCGGGGTGGGGGTGGGGTGGGGTGGGGTGGGGGTGGGGTGGGAAGAGTGGGGATAGGGTCGCCACATGAGGTGAAGGGAAGAGGGGGAGGAGGGTGGGGGCTGGAGGGGTACGGCTGCTACCCCCCCACCCCACTCATCCAACGCGGAGCCCTGTGCCACACAGTTAGTTGGTGCCCTTATCCCTTCCCCCACACCCAACCATACATACATCCGCGGCACGTTTTCTTAGTCGGGATATGGGATTGGGACTTAGTTGTTTGCATTTCTTATATAATTTTACCCCCTTCCCCCGTACCCCCTCCCCCGCACCCCCCACACCCGGAACAGCCGCCCTCCTCAAACACACCCCTCCCCCGCACCCCCCCCCCACCTGGAACAGCCGCTCCCGCAGCTCCGCGCAGCCCTCCGCCTCCTGCCGTACCGCCGCCATCAGCTCGTTCAGCTGGCGGGACCCCACGGGGAAGCTCTCCACGCGCACGCGGCGAGGGCCCCGACTGCTGCGGCTGCTGCTGCTGCCGCCTGCACCACCACCTCCCTTGCCTCCTCCTCCTGCTGCTGCTGCTGCTGCGGAGGGTGCTGCCGCACCCGTGTCGGCACCCTCAGCAGCAGCAGCAGCAGCCGTGTCAGGTTGGGGTGGCGGTGGTGGTGGTGCGGGGGAGTTGTCGAACATGACGAAGTGCAGGCGGCCCTCGCGCTGCTCCACTGTGAACTCGGCGCGCATGCGGTAGTGGCTGGTGGGGGCGGGGGGTGTGGGGAGGGAGGCGGGGGAGGGAGACGTTGGACAGGCCGCTAGTGCGGTTGGGGGATGTGTTAACACGTGCCTCATTCCGGTGTTGCTCGAAGCCATTCATATGCGCCCGGGGAAGCCTCGTACGGCAACTTCAATTCCTACGCTAACCTTTGCTACCAACCTCCCCTCCCCTCCAGCGGCAAAGTTCGCCCTATGTGCGGTGCGTCAAGTCTTCGCAGTGCGACCTGCCTGGGAGGAGACTCGAACACCTCCACCTCCGGAGGGTCGAACTCCTTGAAGAGCTCACGCAGCTTTTCCAATTTTACGCAAAGCTGCTGCTTGTATTGTGATTCGTCGCAAGTCGTGACAGTAACAGGGGTGACAAAGCTGTTGTCTTCAGCCGCCAAGGATGGAGCTGGTGCATTGTTCGACGTCGCGACAGCTGTATCGACAGCTGGAGTGGCACTGCTAGCCATGTTTCGTCTCAGTCGGAGGTATGCTTTTGCTACAGACGGCACGGCGAAATGGGAGATGCGTGAGGATGTGGTCGCGACTTTACCGACTTGTCGGTGGAACAGCATTTCCTACGAATATCGTCGTATCGTGCTACACCAAGGTATCTGCATATCCGCGTCGACGACGCTTGCACGTGGCTGACGATTGGCGACGAGTCGTACTTGTTTGCTGCCGAGCGGGAAAGCAATCCTAGTAAATTGCAAACATTCCATAACCAGAGACAACAGCTTACTAGTATCTGTAATGACACGTTTCGCACCGTCAGCTTGATACATTTTGACCGCGACGGTTCGTCTACTAGGCGACAAGACTTGGTTCCTGTGCGCTTGGAGCGCCAACTAACGCATGGGTCTTGTTGGCCGTACCCTTCCTTTGTTGCCCTGCTTACAATGTCTGACGGGTCATGACGGAAGCAAGGCCTCTCTTGTGCAACGCCTTCAATAGCATGCAACCTGTCCCTAATGGAGGTCCGGGTAGACTAGTGGAGGATTCTTTCTAATGGAGGCTCGGGTAGAGCGGCGAACCCGCCATGCGGCCCCTTCATGCGAGGCTCCCGTCCATGGGGTTTGGTGCCGGGACTCTTGTTCTGCGTCCTTGATGTTCATCTTGCCGTTCTGTTCTGTTGCGACATGTTCAGCGCCAGCTCTTGTTGTGGTCACACATGTGCGAGATGACCTTGCAAGCGCCGCAATGTGCTTCGTCACGATAGCTTCACACAGGCACGGCAAGAGTGAACATCTTAGCCGGAACAACTCCTTTACGTGGAATAGTACACAGTCGTACAGCGCATACCCCAAAGCCACTGCACGCCCTGCAGGGGGAACTTCCATGCGGCACCAAGTACGAACACAAGGAACCCGCAGCAAACAGGCCAAACGCACGGAGGGGGCCCCCACCGCGGACAACGCAAGGCGAGACCAACGTCGCACCAAGTAAAAGGTCCGTGTTGTTGTTTCCTTCTAGGCGCCATCTTAACCGCTTACAAAGTTACAATTAGCTCCTCAGCAATCCGGTATACCCACCCATGCGGACATCCAACACACCACCGGAAAAGGGGCCGCCAGCCAGCCTTGCCCCTGTTTTGAACGAGCCACCTCTTCGAAACCCAAACGTCCGAGAGACGCTCCTTGCTGGGGGCCGCACTACAAGGCGACAAGCCCCGGCCCGTACACAGCAGGGCGCTCTCATAGGACTCGCAGATACCGCCGAACCATCCAGAACCGCGTATGTACTGCTGCCTACCGCTCCGCAAAGTGGGAGAGTCCTTCAGTCAAAAGTTCACCACCGGGTCACTGCTCAATCCTTCTCCCAACGCACACACATCACGCCCGAAGCACCATGCGCGTGTGTATACTACGTGTGTACATTACGTATGAGCCGAACGCACGGGCTGCAGGCTGACAACCTCCGGGTCGGCCCGTCGGCGTGCTCAGTAGCGTCCGCGGCCGCCCCGGCCGCCGCCGTTGGGCACACCCGTGGCGTGCGGCCTCAGCCCCCGGCCACCGCCGCCGCCACCTTCGCGGCCGCCGCCCTGCAGACGAGCATCATGGGGAGAGTAAACGGGGTCAGGACCACTGAAGAGGCCGAGGAGGCGAGCATCAGGAGTAGCAGCAGGGTGGTAGCCAGTTCAGTTCCTAGGCTCGATAACAACCCCCAGTAGTAAGCGCAGTAGGCCCAAGTTGAGTGCCAACGCCGCCCCCTACTACCGCACACCCAACTCAGCCCGTCAGCCCTCGCATCCGCTCACCCGGCCGCCCATGTCGCCACGGCCCCGCCCGCCGCGCCCGCGGCCGCGTCCTCCGTAGTTGTAGTTGTGCCGCAGGCCGCCCAACCCGCCAAACGTCTCCATGTCCAGACGCCGCGCGTCCGCGGCGCGCTGCCGCCCGTCTCCCCGGCCGCCGTCCATGCGCGGCGCCCCGGCCGAGCTGACGGGCGGGCCCTCCAGCGTGAGCCGCTCCAGCGTCTCGCAGGAGATGGCGTCGAAGAAGTCGTCGCGGGTGTAGGCGCCGCGGGGCTTGACTGCGTCCGCGATCTCCTGTAGGGGCAGCAGGAATGCGGCAGTGGTGGAGCGCATGAGAGAGTGCGTGAGTGCCAAGGCAGTGCAGGAGAGGCGCAAGGCAAGGTGGCCCGTTTACTGGAATAGCAAGGGCCCGTTTTGCCGTCGACTGTAAACGAAGACAAAACAGTAAAGGCAGCCCCCACGGAGTACGTTGCCTCAAACCAAGCTGATGCCTATGTCCAGGTAAGCCAACTCCAGCACCCAAACCCAAGCCCCCCTCACAAACCCACCCACCTTTGCAACCTCCTCCTTCTTAAACTTGGCGTTCTGCTCCTCAAAGTTGAAGTCCTCAGTGGGAACCGGCAGCGGCATGGGCGAGGAAGCAGCCGCGGGCGCATGGGCCGCGGGAGCAGCCGCAGGGGCAGCCGCCGGGCGGGGCGGCGGGGGCGCGGCCGGCTGGCCTCTGCCTCCAGCTGGCGGCGGTGCGCCCCGCCCTCCTACCATCTGGTAGGGCGCGCTGGGGCCGCGGCCGCCTCCGCGGCCGGGCGCCGGGCCCCGGCCCGGAGCACCGCCGCGACCACCTGCGATTACACATTGCGATGCCAGCCAATCAGAAATGGCTTCTTAGCCGCAACAAGCGCAACATGGCAAGTGCGGTCCAACAAGCAACATGCGAGCGGGTGACAGGTGGACTGCGGCCCAGTACCCGCAGTACTGTAGGTAGGCACTGCGAATCGCATGCCTGTGCGATGTCATCCCGTGCAATGCTACGTGCATCAAGGTTTCTCAGCAGCTTGCCGCTGCATACGGTAGTACAACCGGCAGCAGCCTGCTCCGTCCTTAACCACACCCCCAGCAGGGCCCCCCCACGCACCAGCGGCCGCCTGAGCATAGTTCGAGGGCTTGGGGGGTGGCTGCTGCGGCGCGGGCGGAGCGCGCGGGGCCGCGGGCGCCACCTGCACCTGGGGAGCCACCTTTTGGGCGGAGGCGGGCGCAACCGGCGGGGGCGGAGCCCTGCGAGAAACGGGGAGGAGGGGAGGTGGAGGGTGCGATTTGGGTCACGGGAACTGGGCAACGCAAAGGGGCGGGCGAGGAGCAGGAGAGGTATAAAGGTAGGGGAGTGATCATGCCATTTCAGACTTACGAATATGCCGGCTGCGGCGGGGGCGGGGCCTGAGGCTGCGGCAGCTGCTGCTGCGGGGCTGCGGGGGCCCACTGGTCCGCACCTGCATCAAACAGGAGCACACAGGGGATTGCTTGGCATCATTCAGGACTAACTGACTGGGCCAGTCAGGGGGTTAACTGCCTAGCGGCTACGTTGGATTCTAAGTACTGTTGTCCCATGGTGTACCCGCTGGCGAGTCAAATGCGCGTGCAGGACGTACCATACACAGGCGCCGAGTAGGACTGCGCCGCTTGTGCAGGAGGCTGGCCCCAGGGGTTCTGAGGATATGCAGAAGGGAAGGGAAGGTTGACAATTATTGGGACAGTGTCCGCCTATAAACGAGCAACCCTGCCCAAGAGCGCGACATGCCATTCCAACCGTCTTTCCCTCAGCATAGACAGAACATTGCATGCAAAAAAGTAACAAAAAGAGTAGCGGTAAAGCCAACCAGGTTACTGATTGAACCCACCGCAGGCAGAGACTCGCTGGTAGGAGCCGGGGCCGCTGGCGCGGGCGGAGGTGCTGGTGCTGCGCTGGGCAGTGTTCCAGGAGGTCCTAGGACTGTGAGGTCCTTTATGTCATCGCCTACAACAGCAAACAGAAGGCAGGGGTTTGGGCGCGCACAGATCGTTACAGCTTGTAGCAACTTGGAGATCGTTTACCAAAGTTATACTGATCCACCCATCTCCATGAGAACTCACCCTTGAAGATGATGTAGTCATAGACTTCGTTACTGGGCGGCACCTGTGGCCCGCCGACTCGGCGACCCTCAGTCCCGAAAGACCTCACTGCAATTGGAGCGTAGAGGGCTTGAACAACCGGAGGAGAAGCATCCACTGCCAAATAAGCGCTTTTTATCACCTTGAGACAGCGCAATGCTGCTCTCCTCCATGTTGATGTTATACAGGATGCCCTCATAGCGAATGTCGCTTTTGGAAACTAGGCTAATGAGCGAGTTCAGGTAGTTCTCCCCCATCTTTGCTGCTTTCGTGGGCCACAGGCCCCCAGCTGTAAGTTCCCTGCAAGTATTAGGGGCACGAAGATGCAGGGGAAGACATGTTGGGCAAAGCGTACGGCAGCAATGTACTTAACCTCCTTTGCGTCTTCTTCCCGCATAGCTTGCCAAAGCCTGGGCTGAAGGTTGTTGCTAGCCGCGTGCAGTCTAGAGACCATATTTCGGCCCTCTTAGGCCAGGCACCGGTAGGCAAGCAGGTTAGCTCCCAACTCAACATGGCATTCCTCCTTGACTACTTTGCTTACCAATGGGAGAAGCAAAACAACGATGCTGATTCTTACAAGGAGTGGTCTGAGTTCCTGGATGTCGCGGAAAAGGACCGCCGGCGCGAGTAAGTGCCTTACCTCAGCTACCTATTGATTTCTCTACTGACACAAGCACGTTATGGTATAGTCGGATGTCGGTGTGCGCCCGTAACAGCGTTTTACTGCGTTTCCCTCTCCAGTCGCATCATTGCCTGGCGCGAGCGCGTCATGTACGATGACTATGCGGTAAACGCTGAGGAGCCTATTGTCTACAAGCGTACCGCCGGGTGGGTGGCCATGTTTGCAAGGGCCGATAAGCAGTCGCAGGGTTTGGGCACCCAATCCGTGCTCTACCTCGTCCCCTCCCTTATCAGCCCTGAGTTCGCATGATTGCAGGTTCGTCTGGCGTGAGGTGGACCACACCGGGACGCACAAGAACCGCAACCACACGGTACGCCCCCACTGCTTCGTGTACCCCCTGACGTGCATACCGCTCCGGTGCAGGTTGTTTGCTTAAGCCTCTTGATCTTGCGTTTCCTCTGGCAATCGATATTGGCAGTAACTGCGCACCTGCTCCGCCCTGTGCCGCACCACTCCTTCAATGCCCCATGCGAACCCAATCATCAGCCTACCACGTCACCTTGCCGCGCCCCGACCCACATCCCGGTACCCCAGCACAACCCCCCCCACCACCTCCACCCGCAACAGCGGTTGCACCCCATCTTCTACCGCGATGCTCCCATACTTGCGCTACTTCGCCACTGCGCCCTCTCCAACCCGTCTCCACAGCCACCACAACCCCTCTCCGCCCCCGCCTCCCCTTCTTCCTCCTGCAGTACATGTACAACCTGAAGTCCTTCGGGCACAAGATGTACAGCCGCCGCGACACGGCGGAGCTGACCGCTGCGGAGAAGGCCGTGGCGGAGCGCGTGCGCAAGGGCGAGCTGGGCGGCCTGTCGCCCCTGGCGTAAAGCACTGGGCGCACGCACGCATGCAGGCGTGCATACCGGTACATGCGTCTGGATGCGACACGCCCGCGGCTTATATCTGTTGTTAGTGTCAGTGGCTTGGAGATGTGGATGCGAGGAGATGTGGAGAGCAAGGAGACATCGGAGGTGGATTGAGGAGAGGAGGAGGATGGCGCAGAAGCGGTTGCAGGTGTGAGGGAGCGCCATACCCGCGCTTGTTGCCAGCTTTTGGAGCCATCGAGGGGTGAGGTTCTGGGGGACGGCAGTGATAGGACTGCAAAACCGGTGTGGTTAGGGGTAGCACGTCCAACGGCTGGGAAGGGTTGGACGGCTGTGTGGGCTGATGCGCCGTGGCGGTGGGTACTGGAAGCACAACCCGTGTGGGGGCTTGGCATGAGGCGGGCGGTCTTAGCGTGGCGAGCTTGAAAACGATGGCGGTGGTTACAAGGACCGTTTAGTAGCGCGCTGGACGGCGGCAACAACCGCTGAAGAGTGTAATGGCTACCGCCTGTTGAAGGCCTGTTGTATCCCGGAAGCCCCTGGTACTTGCATGGAAGTAACTGGCGCTCTACGGTTCATGAGAGCACTGGGGCTAATCTGGTGGGGCCGCAACCTACGGATCCCTACAGGAGCCTACACGCGACCATGGCCGGACAACAGTACTTCCCGCTTCCCATGTTAAATCTCCGTTTATAGCTGTCAGGAAGTGCCTCACTCCCGCGTAGCTGCCGGTAAGTAGTGTTAAACGGCCCACCAAAGTCCTGTGGCGCCACCCCCCCAGAGCTGCGCCTGTAACAATCCTTGCCCCGACCCACATCACGGCCGCCACCACATGCTGCCACCTCACACCGCTCACAGTGCCACCAACAACCTTCAGCCAGGCCAGTCCCGCGCATGAACAGCAGTATCAGCTAGCAGCGCGCATGGGGTTGGGAGTAAGGTGCAAACAACCAAACAGCGAGGGCTTCGGTCCCCGTAGTAGGGAGCCCTACCATAAGTTAGGAGCGCTGGAGGAGGGACCGGCATGGGCCTCAGGCCCCACTTGGTTGCTAGGGAGCGGGATAACACGCCCAACCGGGGGAGTCGTCCAGGAGGGCAAACGGACTTTACTGGGTTGCTTAAACTTGAGTCCCACGGCGACAGCGACCAGCCCCTGAGCAGCTACGAACACGGGAGTCGGCCGGGATGCGCTGTTGTTGCGAACGCGATTGTTGAAGAGGGGTAGCAGGAGCGCGGGTGGGGGTGGTCACTGGGTGGCTGCGGCCGCCTCGGCCTTCATGGCCCGCAACTCCTCCTCCACGTCAGCAGCGCTGAGGGCAGAGTGCACCTGCGGCGGAAGGCAGTGTGGAGGTGGTGGTGGTAGGGGTAAAGAGGAAACAACGAACTGACTGATCTCTTGATCTCAGGGCTTATGCCACCGTGTCTCCCCCTCTCCTATACAGTCCTACCTGGCTGGACAGCGCGCACCACTCCAGAACCCGCTTGCCAGGGTCGCTCGCTGCGGGAGCGGCATCGTGGCCCCACATGTCGTAGGAGTTGAAGATCGAGGTAGCTACCCATTCCCGCTGGCAGGCGTCAGACTTTGCATGCGTATTAGCTGACCGCAGCAGAACTCCGCTGTAGCCCGGTGGTAAATCGACAGTTGCACCTGCAACCGCAAGCAAGGTCATGGTGGAGGCTTCAGTTCTGGGCAAGTAGTTGAAGTATACTATAAGGGAATCAGGGTAAGTTTACCTTTCAGTAAGCGGCCTCTTAGATATGCGGTTTTCACGTTGGAACCATCTGCAGCTGCGATGTTGCTGGGTAAAGTTGAAAAGCCGACGCCAACTTCGCTAGCAGCCGCAACAGTTCCCTTCAAAAGTGCTCACCGGCTACATTTTCGGGCTTCCAGTTTTCATCGGAATCTGCAAGCGTGGTGTTCTGGGCGAGCTTGACGGGCACATTGTTTAAGTGGACATCGCCACGCACGCTGCTAGGAACGGTAATAATGCTGGATGTTGCCATTTTGCTACCACTTCTAATGCAGTTTTGCCCTAGGACGGCAAAGCTAAGCGGTGTTCCCGCCAAAGTACTACCTTCAGACCATTAGTAAGCGTTTTCGCTTGCGGCATCGCGGAGCACCGGAACGCAGTAGGACATAGTGATTATGAGAGGAGCATTCGCATAATAACTAGAACTATGATTTCGCCATGTGCCTATATTTGGAGAATTATGGGCACTGGTCCATCCCCATGAGCCATCATACATTTATTGCACTTTCTGACAAAAGACTCCGCTCTGACAGGTGAGCCCCAGAGGCTAGGACCCTGCTCGGTCTTACACCACGCAAACTTCGCTACATTACTTAAGAAACTGTCACCACTCCTTTCAGTGACGTCCTGACGCATCTTCAAGTTGCGGCGCTGGACCTAACAAACAGGTGCTCTGGATGCATGGAACCCAGATACCTTGCCAGCCCGGACTGTAGTTAAATGCAATCTTCGTGCTCCCTAAAAAGAAGCCCTAAAGCACGCCAGCGCCACACCCACAACACATACAGATGCTAGCTGCACCAACCCATCGCAACTTCATGCTACACATTGTAGGATGAAGAAAGTACAACTGCATGTCAAACGCAAAGCTACCTACGTAGCTAGCCACGAAGCTAGCCGCTGCCAAGCTACCCGTACATTATGGCCAGCTGCAGCCGAGCACCCTAGAGCGCATACCGGTACAAGTCCGGTAGCATGCCACCTGCATGCACGCACAGGTCGAGTCGCTCCTTCTCGCATTCCTTTCCACTCCAGGCTCCCGCTCCGTCTCAACTGACTCTCACAGAGCGGCTCCTCCTCCTGAAACATAAGCCACGCGGGCCGAGGCCAGCCACCACCACCCCACACACGGCGCTTTCACGCCATAACCCACCGACCCGCATGGTGTTACGGCTGCAGGCGCTCCATGACCCACGGGTCACTGTCGTCCGGGCTATTCCGGCGGAAGCGAATGCGGTCGTGCAGTCTCGAGGGGCGGCCCTGCCAAAACTCGATGGAGGTGGGTCGGATGAGGAACCCGCCCCAGTGGGGGGGCTTGGGAACCGGCTGGCTGGGGTCGGAGAAGCGCTCCTGCAGGGCGGCGTTCCTGCGCGGGAGGAGGCGGGGGAGGGGGGGGTGAGGAACTGGGAGCTGTACGACCATGAGGGCTGTGAATCGCCATGGGGCCCGGAAGTTACCGGAACATGGGGCCGGGCCCATCCAACGGGGAAGAGGTGGGCAAAAGAAGAATATCCAGACGTGCAGGGGTGATGGCGAAGAGGGTGTTGGTTGCGTTGCTGCGGTGCGTTGCAGTGGCGGAGAAGCCCCTGCGCCCCCTGGGTCCCCGTGGTGCCAGTAATCTAGGAAAGGTCCTTGCAGCTGTACGACAGTCCATTCCAGCCCAGTGCGCAAGGCCCCACCCCCGCTTTCTCCCCCCGCCTCCTCCCCCGCTTTCTCCCCCCTCCCCCTCTCCCTCACCTGGCCTCCAGCTCCGCCCGGTCCCTGCACGGCTGGCTCTGCTCGCTCACCCAGGCGCCCACCTGGCTGCCCCGCGGGCGGCTGTGGAAGTAGGCGGTGCTCTCCGCCTCCGGAACCTTCTCAACCACCCCCTCCACCCTGTGTGCGGATGAAAGGGGAGGGGGAGGGAGGAGGAGGGAGGTGAGCGGGGAAGCACTGGAGTCCGGAGCGGGGGGAAAGGGGGAACAGCATGTGTGGCAGCATGCAAGGGATGGCGGGAGCCAGGGCGCCCGTGGGGCCCGCCGCAGGTACCGCAGCCGCAGCTGCCGCAGCTGCCGCAGCCGCCGCAGCCTCACCTGATTTGGCGCTGCAGCTTCTCCCAGTATATGGAGAAGGCGGCCCAGCCGTTGCCCAGCTCCTCACCCTTGCGGCTCGAGTAGTTGGTGTAGAAGACGAAGCCTGTACGATTGGGGTGGGATGGGTGGGATGGGATGGTGGGTAGAGAGGGTAGCAACGTGCTAGGGTGGGGGACGGAGGGAAGGGGAGAGGAGGCAGGGAGACTGCTGCCGGCATACGAGCGCTGTTAGCGGGATAGGTACCGACGGTGGGATTAGGGAGCAGCGAGGGGCAGGTGTGCTGGGGGAAAGGGGTCGTGTGCTGGAGGAAGGAGGAGGGGCAGGAGTGTGCGGCGGGGATGATGCACAGCTGATAGAGAAGACCCACACCACCCTCCCGCCCCTTACACCTCCTCCCCCGCCCCTCCCGCCCTCCCGCCCCCGAATACATGGTGTATTCTTCCCTTGCTTCCCTGCCGCCCCTCACCTCGTCTGTCGTACCCCTTGAGCAGCACAACCCGCACGCTGGGCCGCCCTCCCGAGTCGCATGAGGCCAGGCTGATGGCGTTGGGCTCCTCGCACACCTGTAGGCCGGCACACCGCAGCATGGGGGGGGGATTAATTTGGAGACGTAATCCGCCTTAGGCTGGATTTTAGGGATAGCAATTTATTGTAGTTAGTAGCAATAATCAATAACAAACCGTATTGTAAGCTCCATGGCGGCTGCCAAGGTGATTTGAAATCACTCTGTATTGGCGAATAAATGGGGGGGGAGTGGAATAAATGAGTGCAGCAACGCGGGGAGGAGAGGGAGGGGAGGGGGGTGATGCGAGAGGGGACAGTCAGCCGCACAACGCAACCCCGAAGAAGCGCAACCATGCGTTGAATGGCAATGGTGGCAGCAGCCGAGGGGGTTTGGTGGCGGCAACATCGATGCTCTGCTATCACACCTCGGACCCCGTACCACGGTACCAGGCATCATCCCGTCTCCCGCAAGGCTTCCGTTACACACCCACCCACCTTGCCCTCCACCGCCGCTCGGAACCACTCATCGAAAACGTCCCGTGGGTCGCGACCGCTGAATGCGGCCTCCTCCAGCCCGCCTCGCTCGTAGCTGATGCGCATGTCGGCTATCTGGAGAGGCAGGGGGGTGGGGGGTGGGGTGAGCAGGGGAGGTGTGGAGGGGGTGGTGTGAAGCAGTGCATGTGAGCGGGGGATGGGGGGGCCAGGGGAGGGACATGTGCGGAGTGGAGTGGGGGCAGAGAGGATGGTGTGAAACAACGCAGGTACACAGCAGGTATGCCGGAACGCAATGAAACCCTCCTCCCTCTTCCCCCACCCACAGCCCCCAGCGCCAATCCCTCCCCTTCACCGTCATACAGCCTCGTCATACAGTTCATCAGTTTCCTTATTTTTACCCCTCACCCCCCACCCCCCCAACCCCCCCACTCACCCTCCTGGCCTCCGCCGCGGCGCTCACCGCCGCCTGCTCCGCACTGCCCGCCTCCGCCCCCCCGATCCGCACGCACATGGCGGCCCCCGGGTAGGGCGGCAGCCGCAGCTGGAAGCGCTGCGCCAGGGGGGGCGGCACGAAGCGACCACCCAGGTAGTGGTGCGCGCCCTGGGGTGAGGGGGGGAGGGAGGGTGGGAGGGAGGGTGGGAGGGGTGCTTAGAAAACCTGCCACGAGTAGGAGGGTACTGGGTGGTCGTGTGCATGTGGGAGTTGGGGGGGGGGGGGGGGGGGGGGGGGGGGCCGGTTGGGACCCTTTCCTCTCCTCTCCTCCCCTCACACCCCCCCCCCCTCTCCCGCCCTCCCTCCTACCTTGAAGTACCGCGCACACAACTTGGGCGCCGTCAGCGACACCAGCATGTCCGGCTGCAGTGCCCCCCCTGGCGGCAGCTCGCTGTCACCGCCCTCCACATGCCAGCCGCTGGGCACGTCGACGGAGACGATGGGGGGCGGTCGGGCGGAGGGTAGCAGGGCCTGGAGGGCGGGAGGGAGGGAGGGAAACCAGACCGGATGACACCACAAGTTCGGAAAAGGCAGCGGGGATAGGAGGCGACTGGGTGCCACAATACCGGTAAAGAGTGTTGGTTAGCGGCCGCTACGGGTACCCGATCCACGATGGCGAGGAGTTGTTGAAGGGCGGGGCGGGGGGGGGGGGCAGATGCAGGATGGGAGGGAGGTGTGTGGGATGCGGAAGGCAGGGGGGGGGGTACTCGCATCCCAGTAGGGGACTCTTCGTCTTCTTGTATGATCCCACCCGTATGATCTCGTCAAAGGGCGCTCGCGGCTGGCCGCTGAAGCTGAACCCGAACAGAGCATCCACCACCACATCCGCCTGGGCGGCCAGCGGGGCGGGGGAGAGGGCGGACCAGGGCAGCAGCGGGATACCCAGGGAGCTGGGGGGGGGAGGGGAGGGGAGGGGGGGGTGGAATGAGGAAATTGACGAGGCAACTGATGAGCTGTGTGACACGTAGGCTTCACCATGGGGTGCAACCATGGTGGCCTCCGAATTACATTATTGGGGAGGGGGGGATGAGGGCCCTACCAATCCAACCCATTATAAAGCAGTCCTGCTGTGCTCCGTCATCAGTCCGTACCTGATCTGTTTGACCAGGCCGTTGTACAGCGGTTTGTCGGTCGGCTTGGGGTAGCACACCTGCAGGGGGTGGGGGGTGGGGGCGGGGAGGTGATGTGGGTGGGTGGTGTGGGTGGTGATGCGTGCGGGAGGGGAGAGCGGCACACTCAGTTGCTGCCGTCTCTCTCTGCCTCAGTCGGCAGCTATGGTCCGCAGCAGCTGTACGCGGCGCACGTGTGATGTGTACGGCACACCACCCCGCACACTACCCGCCCCTTCGCGACCAGTTTCCTATACACACACACCCAAGCACTCGCCCCCCCCATACCGGTAAGGTCTCGCCCAACTGCTTGCTCCTGTTTCTGCTCAACTGCACACCTACCTTGACCTCGTACCCGAAGTGGTGCAGGTGACGTGCCGCCACCAGCCCGTCCCCGCCGTTGTTGCCGGGACCCGCCAGCACCAGCACACGGCGCCGCCGGGTGCCGGCAGGGGCAGGGGCAGTAGCGGCAGGGGAGGAGGCCGCTGCTGATGTCGGCTCCGAAACCACCACCTGCGCGCAGGCATGCAGTGGAGAGCGGCACGCAGTGGAATGGTAGCCGGTGGAATGTACGGCATACACACCACGCAGAGCTGCTGCTGCTGGTGCGGGTCTGCGGGTCTGCGGCGCGCCTGTTCCCTGCTGCCCTGCTGCCCCGAGTGCGCCCTCGCCCCACCTACCCAACCCACCCTCCCTCCCAGAGACACCCCGCTCCACCCCCAATCACCCACCTCGCCCTACCCACCGGGCTAGCTGGTCTCCTTACCCCCACCCCCACCTAACCCCAACACATTGGAAATTCTCCTCTTCCCACCCAACCCCTGCCTCCCCCCCAGCTCCCGCCAGTCATTTCCTTAACCCCCCCTACCTGCGGCCCCTACTCCCCCCCACCCAACCCCCCCCCACCTGCGGCCCCCACCCAAACCCCCCCCCACCTGCGCCCCCCCCCCCCACCTGCGGCCCCCCACCCCCCACCTGCGGCCCCCACCCAAACCCCCCCCACCTGCGACCCCCCACCCCCCACCTGCGGCCCCCACCCAAAACCCCCCCACCTGCGCCCCCCCCCACCTGCGCCCCCCCCCCACCTGCGGCCCCCCCCCCCACCTGCGGCCCCCACCCAAAACCCCCCCACCTGCGCCCCCCCCCACCTGCGGCCCCCCACCCCCCACCTGCGGCCCCCACTCCGCCGCCAGTGCCGCCGCCACGCCCAGCCCCGCCAGCTCCATCAGCTGCTCCACTGAGAAGCCCAGCTGGGGGCCCATCAGCAGCTGGTCCACGGAGGCGGCGTCGGACTGGGAACTGCAGGGAGGGGGGGTCAAAGACCATACCAAACCATAGGAGGAGGAGGGGAGGAAGGATGGGAGGAGGGAAAGTGAATAAGAAGTCAAGCACAGTCCAATGAGGGGAAGGCCAAAGACCATACCATACCACAGGAAACCACAGGTTAGGGCAAAGCAATTAGAGGAGGGGAATCCTGATATGCAATGAGCCTATGCAGTGTCTGGGAGAGAGGAGAGGGTGAGAAGAGACGGGACGGGGTAGGAGAGGAGGGAAGTGGGGGAAGGGCGCGGGCGCTTACGGGAAGGCTCGCTGCTGAGGGCCGCATGGATGGCTCGAGGATGGAGGGCAAGTAGGGGGGTTAAGGCGGTACCGCTGGTTGCCACGTATACGTTGCGTTGCATACTTCATTCTACCGCCGCTTCGCAAAAACCTAATCAACCACCAGTTCTGAGACCCATCGCGGTCCCATCCCGCGTGCCCATGGGCCATGTCCAGCAAATCAACGATTTTGGCATTGTAAGCGCTAGCAAAGGAGCTTCGTTACTCACAGGTATGAGATGGAGCCGGGATCAACGCAGGCAGCGCCTGCCGACATTGCTGTGGTCACGGCGGTTGTGGTTGCTGAGGCAGCGGTGCACTCGGTCGACATGCTTGCCAGAGTCCCAGCGCGATTTTTTAGATAATGTGCAAAGTTTACAATAGAGGGACCCGCTTGCTGAAAGCGAGTGCTTGTTGGCGGACGAGGGATTGGAAGGTTCACAGCTGCACAAGAGATTGCTCTGTATTGTGCCTGAACTGTTGTGCGGATCAGCATCGGACGCAGGTGTGTAAATGCAACTTTGGCCTGCGTACACACGCAGGCAGCTTGTAAAGCAATGTGAACTGCTTGCATAAAGTTTAGGAAACGCAAAGGGTAACCTCGCCTACTGCAAACTCCTTTACTGCCACTCGTAGCACCTCAGTGACGCTAGCTGGCAACCCTGCATCGAGAGGCATCGGCTTGAAGTATAGTGTACGACCAACGGTGTGGCGCAGCGACGAGGAGGAGCAAGCGTCCAATACATGTTTCTTTTTCTTTGGGCTTTGCAGACGATTTCGCATCAAACAATGCCTGACAGGCCAGCATAACGACACGCGGGGTTGCAAGTGAAATGCCTGGTAACTTAATATAGGACAGTTTCTTTGCTCATTGGTTTTGGTCACTCCGGCAAAACAATAAAGGTATAGAAACGGTAGAGCCGCCGAAAATGGAGGAGGGGACTGGGTCAGCGTTCCGGTTCAATTTTGGAAAGGACGAGTCGGAGAAAGTGGAAGAAGAGCAGGGAGCTCCGGAATACTGCGAGCCAGCGGTGGAGCTCGTATACCAACCGGAACCGGTGAGCGGCACCCGGGTTCGCAGCCGTCGAGGCGCATCCTGGCATGACTCACTTTGGGCTATGGTGTCCAGGGCATACCATTCTACACGGAGGAGGTAGAAATTGTCGAGGGACTCAACATGATTAAGGTGCGACTTCGCTTACATTAAGGAAAGCGGTACACATTTAGCATACTGTTGCCAAGCCCTTTGTACGGCATTTGAGGCAGTTGGCGTACCACACTCTCTGTGAGGGTTAGTGGCGGCCCCAGCCCCTTGCAGCCTCGCCCTGCCCACGACCTTTCACCAATGTCACGCGCAGTTCTTTGTAGTGAGGTTGTGGCCTGCTGTTGTCAAGAATCCCCAGCTCCCCTCCGCATGCTGTAGCCCTTCTTGCAACAACATCCAACTCACAGGGACCGCCACCAACAAGGCCTGTCCTCATCGTTAACGGCGTGACCATCTTCGCCATCCCCCTCCCTCCCGCCCGCCCTCTCTCCCCTCCCCGCACATTCTCATTCTCACTCAACACATGTTCTTCATTTCCCCTCCCTTCCTTGTCCTACTGTTCGTTCGTTCCTCCCTCCCCCTCCCCGCCTCCTCCCCCCCTCCTCCTCCTCCTCCTCCTCCCCCCCCGTCAGGGTATCATCAGCAGCGACGAGGCCGCCTCCATCCTGGCGGACCAGCGGGTGGCGGCTAGCGACCTGGTGCCGGGGAAGTATGAAGGTGGGGGGGGGGAGAGGAAACAACTAACTGACTGAGGCGGGGCAGGGCGGGGGAGGGCAGGGGAGGCGGGAGCGGGTGGCAGGGGCTACCGGTAGCTGAACCGAGCCGCGACCAAGGTGGGGCGTACATGGCATCATACGTTAGTCAGTTACTTCCGGGTACCCTCCCTCCCTCCCACCTTTCCCTCCCTCCCTCCCTCCCTCCCTCCCTCCCTCCCTCCCCCCCCAGGCGGCTTCAAGCTGTGGGAGTGCTCCGTGGACCTGTGCCAGCACCTGCTGACACGCTACCGGCTGCCGGCGGGGGAGATGCAGGGGGCGAAGGAGCTGGGGTCGGAGCTGCTGGTGTGTGTGTGGGGGGGGGGCGCATGGGAGACGGGGCGGGGGGGGGGCGGTGTGTTAAAATAACTGGCGGGGGGGGGCGGGGGTGGGCGGTGTGTTAAAATAACTGGCCGCGAGGCGAAACGTACTTTGATTGCCGAAAGATGTGTGTGTGTGTGTGTTGGGGTGGGCGCTGCTGCTCGTTCACACGCCCCGCTTCCACTTACAGGGCTTTCCTCCGCCGCTCCTCCACCTTCCCACACTACAAGCCTCTTCTCCCCTCCTCTCCCGTATCCACTCCTCTCCTCCCCTCACCTCCTGTTCTCACTTCCTCTCCTTTCTCCTCCCGCCCCTCCCCTCCCCTGTCAGGGCAAGAAGGTGTTAGAGCTGGGGTGCGGTCACGGGCTGCCGGGCATCCTGGCGCTCATGGCGGGGGCGGAGGTGCACTTCCAGGTGGGGGGGGGGAGGGAGGGGAGGAAGGGGTGGAAACAAGGAAGACTGCGGGGGGGGCCAAAAACCATACCACACCATAGGAAGCCACAGGTTAGGGCACAGCAAAGGTGGGGGGCTGGGGGGGAGAGGGGTAAGGTGTGTTTAAGGGAGGAAGGGCCCCTCCTCTTCCCCCCTCCTTCACATTCCATGTCCTGCTTACCTTCCCCTTCCCCCCCCCCTCCAGGACTACAACCCGCAGGTCATCCGCCGCCTCACGCAGCCCAACGTCATCGCCAACCTGGCCCACCTACCGCCCGCCCGGCCCCGCCCCGCTGCCCGCTACTGGGCGGGCGACTGGCGGCTGGTGGGCGAGGCGCTCACGGGGCGCGGCTACGGCGGCCACTTTGACCTCATCCTCAGCTCCGAAACCATCTACAGCGTGGCGGCGCAGGAGCGGTTGCTGGAGTGCGTGAAGCAGGTGTGTGTGTGGGGGGGGGTTGGTGTGGGGGGTAAAAAATTATATAAGAAATGCAAACAACTAAAGTCCCAATCCCATATCCCGACTCATGCAGTGAGTGCATTCGGAGACACTATCCTAGAAACACGCAAAGAAAGGTAACTTACCGAAGTTTTGCTTACCAGAACCTTTGGCGACGTGCGTTAGAATTCGTCTTGCGTAGGAAGACATGTGCCGCGCCGCCGGTCACTGATTCTTAAGGAACGCAGTAAATGGACAGACAAGCATACAATGCATGGAAACGCATTTTGGAAACCGTACGTACCTGGAGATGGAGGGTGTGGGGGTGGGTGGGTGGGTGTGGGGGTGGGTGGGTGGGTGTGGGGGGGTGGGGGAGTGTTAAGGCAACTGGGGTGTTCGTGTGTGTGTGTGTGTATTGAGGCAACTGGTGTCTCGACCCATTCCAGCCCTGGCAAAAATATCCATCCCTACTCTTAAGTTCTTAACCATCCCCCACCGGCCCACCGCTGCAGCCTCCTCATGGCGTCACCCAAACCCCCCCTTCCCTACCCTCCCCCCCTCCCTGGTCAGTTAGTTGTTTCCACTTTACCCCCTTCCCTGGTGTCCCTTTATTTCCCCCCCTCCCCCCCCCCCGCCCCTGCAGCTGCTGCAACCTCCCCACGGCATCGCGCTCATCGCCGCCAAGCGCTACTACTTCGGCGTGGGCGGCGGCACCGCCAGCTTCCGAGCGCTGGTGGCGCGGGATGGCATCTTCGAGACCAGCGTGGTGGCGCAGGTGGGGGGGGGGAGGGGACCGTGGGTGTGTTTAGAAAACTGGCCGCGAGTAGGAACGTACCGGTGTGTCTGTGTTGTACGGCAAGGACACTGTCAGGGGGAGCGAAGTGGTTCAGGAACTGCACCACACCACAGCACATGTACATGGTATCATGCCTTCGTTCTTCATCCTCCTCTTTAACACCCCCTTGCGCCAACCAATAGCCTCCTCCTCCCTTTCTTTTCTCCCCTCCTCCTACCACCCTCCACCCCCCACCCCCACATCAGGTTGAGGATAAGGCCTCGGGAAATGTACGGGAGGTGCTGATGCTCAAGTTCCCGGCGGCGATCGTGCCGTACTTCTTGTGAGCGATGCAGCAGCAGAGGCAGCAGCGACAGCAGCTGAGGCAGCAAAACCAGCAGCAGTAGTAGTGGCAGCAGCAGCAATGCCAGAAGTGGAGTGGAAGCACCTCATGCGGAGCCACGGTGGCAGGCGGCGGCGTGAGGGGACTGACGGCACCGGTTCGCTACACGTCCCCACAACAGCGGGTGCTGCTGCTGCTGCTGCTGCTTCCGAGCCGAAAAGGGGAAAGCCAAGGAGTGCTGCTGCTGCTGCTGGTGCTGGTGCTGGTAGTGCTGCTGCTGCTGCTGCTGGGCCCATGAGGATGGCTGGCAGCTGTTGGAGTGGGCCTGTGTGCCCCCCATGCCAGTCTCCTCCAGCTCGCCATGCCATGTTGTTGTCGCAGCTAGCAGCACCCCCCCTAAGGAATTGGGTTTGGGTTGGGCGTGTTGGGTGGCGGTGGCGGTGCCCCCCACCACCATCTGGGTGGCAGCAGCAGCAGCACAGGGCAGGCCAGGGGAGGCAGCAGGCAGGCGCCCCGCACCCGCACCCGCATCATCATCATCATCTGCTGCTGCTGGGGCTCTGGGGCTCCCCCTTCCCTCGGGGTGGCTGGGGTGTGCCAATGCATCGGTCAACCGCCCCTGTGCTGCTGACGGGTGCTGCAAAAGTCGCTCATCAAAAGCACCTCTTGCCTCCAAGTTCCCCGCCTACATTGGACATATAGGGGTGTGTTAAACGAACTGACCGGATATCGGGCCGTGTTAAACCAACTGACAAACTGACACGAGGGGTGTGCACTCGTGTGGTGTGGCGGGATGTTGGGGAAAGAGCCGGGATGCGGCGTAGAAGCCAGGTCAGACGCGGGCAGGAAGCGGTTGCTAGGGCCCCAGCCTTTCGCACGCTCCCTTTGACTACCGGGGGGGCAGTAGAGAAGGGGCGCCCGGTTTGGCCCGTCTACAGCCACCTATAACGCGGGAGTCCGAGGGCAGTGGAGAGCGAGAGAGAGGGAGAGAGAGAGAGGGAGAGAGAGAGGGAGAGGACCCTGCATAGGACCCTGCATAAGCGGGGTGAGCAGGACGCGAGCGGCTGTGGTAGGTGTATAGGCCCTGGATGTGCTGGTTGTTCGTTCATTGGGCATTCCGGTACGGACATTACGGCACTGACTTGACTGGTTGTTTTACCATTTTACAGGCCTGGTCCCTTTCAAAGGCTTTCGTGTCCTTTCAAGTCCACCATCCAAGCAAATACTCCGTGGCACTTTGAACAAACTCTTGTAGGTTTTAAAGTTAACTGTCGTAGCAGGGGGTGTCTGCTTCCCCAAAGCTAGAAGGGCGGAGCCCTTTGCTGAGGATAGGAAGGTGACCCTTGCAATGATGGGAGATGTGGACCTGTGACCCCATGGTTATGGGGCCACCCCACCCCTTATCCAAGACGCAGGCCCCCCCTTACTGGAGGACCTTGATCTAACTAGAAACCTGAGCCCCTTGCCCCTTGGGAAGGTGACACCTCATTTGAAGCTGACAGGCGTGTGGAGACCCGTGAAGTGGGACAACGTAAGACAGGCACGCTCTCGGAGCAGTGGCTAATATGCACTACCGTATTCCATGCAACAGATAGGCTACCGGTACCAATTCAGCGGCATTCGCCTACAGGCACATGCTCCAGCACAGTGGACCAGTTCACTTCACTTGGCCACCACCAACTGCTGTCATGCAGCAAAACGTGTCGAACCCCGCAGGGTAAGCATGATGTTTCTTTCGCCGGTGCATCCAGCTGATTCGCTCTTGCGACGCTGACACAGCTCGGCGCTACAGGGACCCATGGTTCAACTACGCAGGCCCCCCTAATACGCAACCTGCTCATCACTGACCAACAAGGAGGACATTACCACAAGGTATATCAGCCTGCTACGGTCAAATACCTTCCCTGCCTCTTTAAGCGAATTAGTTTACAGACCTTATCGTAGATGCGCTTTCGAGACACTTTGGATCTTAAGAGTCGGGAAGCTGAAACGGTTATGCACTGCTGAAGGGGCGCAAACAGAGCTAGGCGACATGGGCGGCAAAGCGTTATCGCTTTCTCGATCTTTCCTAATAAGCGGCCTGTTATCATTCCCCATCGCAGGTTGCATAGTTGTACGGAGTTGAAATTCGTGTCCGCTTGTCTCCTCCTCGCCACTTTCCCCTACAAAACGTGTGGTTTTCCCGTCAGCCATATAAGTGTTCCTGTAAACAGGATTTAACCAAACATAATTGTCGACATTTTGTACGTTTCCAGTGATAAGGTATGACGAGGCCATAATGAGGGGCACGAAGTTGACAGTGGTCAGGAGGATACGACAGCGAATAGAATAGCAGATTACTGATGCCAAATATTATATTACGGTAAGAGTGTTTTTTGCGTGCGTGCTTGCCGGCTGTGACTCGAACGGTCGCGAGGTGTCCTGCCTAATTTTCATGCTGCGTCAAAAGCGGCTACTATGTTTGCAGCGGTTACACTATATATAGCTTCTATATAAATAGTTGTACGATTGTCTGCTGGCTTTCGTGTCCTGTGATAACCCAGGTCTCCGTCCAATGGATGACATAGCCTTCCAATCTTGCTGTTTCCAGCCCTGTAGGTTACTGATAAATACAGCTGCGTGTGAGGGAGCAGCTTCGGTCCACCACAGTGCGCGCAAATGGCACGAGTGGTACCTAGTTGCGCCATGCTCACCTCTGCCATTGTAGTCGCGCTTGTGTGCGGATTCGGCTGGGGACCCCAGAGCGCTGGTGAGGATCGATGGTTTGCTCTGCCTGCGTGCTCTTGTGCACTTCGGCCCTTGCACTTACTCTCTTCTACATCCTTCCACACTGCTGTAGGTGCCGGCGAGGTTAGCTCAAGTTCGGCTCCAGCACAACCATCGTCATCCCTGCCCACAGTAGATGCGCCCAGCCCTGCAGATGTATGGCCTCCATCCCCTTCGCCTCCTTTGGCCGGCCCACCCCAAGTGGGCATGCCCATGAGACCTCCCCCGTTGGAGACTTCACAGCAACCAACCGCTCAAAGCCCTGCGTACCCTCCAACTCCGCTACCAGCTGGGCCACTCACCGTGCCACCACCAGCCCCCCACCCTGTCCTCCCACCACCACCCTTCCCAGAGCCGCCCATTCTACTGCCGCCTCCATCCCCCACACCACCATTCCCCCTGCCCGGCCTACCGCCTTTAAACCCTCCTTCTCCCTCCCCTCCTCCTCCTACCGATCCACCGCCTCCATCACCTAATCCACCGCCTCATCTACCCAATCCACCTGCACCCAAACCCTCTCCACAACCTCCACCTCCACCTCCCAGTCCACCCACTCCACCCAGTCCGCTGCGCCCACCGGGGAAACCCTATCCACCCAGGAAACCCAAACCCCCCCCCAGAACACCCCGTCCACCACCGCCCCTACCTCCCGATTATGACTATGCCCCTGATTATTACAACGAAATATGGAGCACCGCGCGACCGCCGCCTTCTCCTGTCCCTCCTTTCCCGCCACCGCCATCACCCGTGCCACCGTTTCCTCCGCCCGGCCCACCGGCGCCTCCTCCCCCAGATCCATCGCCGCCTCCCCCTCGCCGTCCCAGGCGGCCGACCTGGCCCCCAGCGCACCCATATCCACCTTCTCCATCGCCTCCGCCAGATCCCCCGCCACCCCCGCCAAGACCTCCACCTCCGAGTCCGCCACCACCGCCACCTTCGCCGGTCCCTCCTTTCCCGCCCCCACCATCCCCAGTGCCGCCTTTCCCTCCGCCCGTACCACCCTCGCCGACTCCTCCTCCTCCCCCACCCCCACCGCCGCCACCGTCCCCACCGTCCCCACCGGACATTCCGCCCCCGGACCCGCCTTCACCCGCGCCTCCCAAGAGGCCGCCACCTAGCCCGAGGCCACCCAAGCCACCCAAGCCGCCTCCACGACTGCCGCCACCTTCCCCACCAGCCCCGCCTAAGCCACCCCCACCACTGCCTTCACCCATGCCCCCGTCTCCTCCTTCGCCTTCGCCACCTTCCCCTTCACCCCTCACGCCACCTCCCTCTCCAGCGCCTTTCAACCCACCGACACCCTCACCACCCCCTCCCTCACCCCCGCCTTCACCCCTACCCCCGCCTCCTCCTTCGCCGTCGCCACCTTCTCCTTCACCCCTCACGCCACCTCCCTCTCCAGCGCCTTTCAACCCACCGACACCCTCAGCACCCCCTCCCTCACCCCCGCCTTCACCCCTACCCCCGCCTCCTCCTTCGCCTTCGCCACCTTCCCCTTCACCCCTCACGCCACCTCCCTCTCCAGCGCCTTTCAACCCACCGACACCCTCACCACCCCCTCCCTCGCCCCCGCCCTCACCCCTACCCCCGCCTCCTCCTTCGCCTTCGCCACCTTCCCCTTCACCCCTCACGCCACCTCCCTCTCCAGCGCCTTTCTACCCACCGACACCCTCACCACCCCCTCCCTCACCCCCGCCTTCACCCCTACCCCCGCCTCCTCCTTCGCCTTCGCCACCTTCCCCTTCACCCCTCACGCCACCTCCCTCTCCAGCGCCTTTCAACCCACCGACACCCTCACCACCCCCTCCCTCACCCCCGCCTTCACCCATGCCCCCGCCTCCTCCTTCGCCGTCACCACCTTCCCCTTCACCCCTCAAGCCACCTCCCTCTCCACCCTATCCACCCAGGAAACCCAAACCCCCCCCCAGAACACCCCGTCCACCACCGCCCCTACCTCCCGATTATGACTATGCCCCTGATTATTACAACGAAATATGGAGCACCGCGCGACCGCCGCCTTCTCCTGTCCCTCCTTTCCCGCCACCGCCATCACCCGTGCCACCGTTTCCTCCGCCCGGCCCACCGGCGCCTCCTCCCCCAGATCCATCGCCGCCTCCCCCTCGCCGTCCCAGGCGGCCGACCTGGCCCCCAGCGCACCCATATCCACCTTCTCCATCGCCTCCGCCAGATCCCCCGCCACCCCCGCCAAGACCTCCACCTCCGAGTCCGCCACCACCGCCACCTTCGCCGGTCCCTCCTTTCCCGCCCCCACCATCCCCAGTGCCGCCTTTCCCTCCGCCCGTACCACCCTCGCCGACTCCTCCTCCTCCCCCACCCCCACCGCCGCCACCGTCCCCACCGTCCCCACCGGACATTCCGCCCCCGGACCCGCCTTCACCCGCGCCTCCCAAGAGGCCGCCACCTAGCCCGAGGCCACCCAAGCCACCCAAGCCGCCTCCACGACTGCCGCCACCTTCCCCACCAGCCCCGCCTAAGCCACCCCCACCACTGCCTTCACCCATGCCCCCGTCTCCTCCTTCGCCTTCGCCACCTTCCCCTTCACCCCTCACGCCACCTCCCTCTCCAGCGCCTTTCAACCCACCGACACCCTCACCACCCCCTCCCTCACCCCCGCCTTCACCCCTACCCCCGCCTCCTCCTTCGCCGTCGCCACCTTCCCCTTCACCCCTCACGCCACCTCCCTCTCCAGCGCCTTTCAACCCACCGACACCCTCACCACCCCCTCCCTCACCCCTGCCTTCACCCCTACCCCCGCCTCCTCCTTCGCCTTCGCCACCTTCCCCTTCACCCCTCACGCCACCTCCCTCTCCAGTGCCGTCACAGACACCCTCACCACCCCCTCCCTCACCACCGACCCTAATGCCGCCGAGTCCTCTACCACCCTCACCGTCACCCCCCACACCTCCACCACCCTCACTGTCACCACCCTCACCGTCACCACCCTCACCTCCACCACCCTCACCGTCACCACCCTCACCGTCACCACCCTCACCGCCACCCCCCACACCGCCACCCCCCACACCGCCACCACCCTCACCGCCACCACCCTCGCCAGACCACCCGAACCCACGACCTCCCTCACCATCAATAATCCCGCCACGGCCTCCAACACCCCCAGTACCGCCGCCACCACCGCCACCGCCACCACCGCCACCGCCGCCACCACCATCACCTTTACCACCCTCCCCGCCACCACCGTCCCCCCGGCCACCTATCCCAACACCGCCGGCCCCCACCGGCAGCACACAAGCCCTGCCGGGCGCCAACCCGCCTCCAGCTTTGCCTGCTGAATGCATGTCCTTCACAGCCTCAACCTCCGCATGGTGGGTTGCGGCTCCTGCTCGCAGTCGGGCGGCTTTCTTCGTCGTCCTTGACGTCCCCGGAGCGCCCACAAGCTTCTGTGCAATGTGCGGCTGCGGCCTGACACCGCTCGCAGCCACCCCACCAGTCGCCGATTTGGAAGCGGGTGTGCGGATCAGCCGTCTCGGGTCCAACAGCGCAACAGGATCATCATCCCTCAGCATGGAGGTGGGGCCCCAGATGAGCGACTTGCCTGGAAACCGCACTACTAGCAGTGCTGCAGCAATTGAGGCCGCGTGGAGTGTACGGAGCGACGTTGAAGACACCCTGCTTTTCCGGGTAAGTAACAAGGTTGCTTGCTTGCTTGCCATGTAAGCTCTTGGACAGCCTAACTGCTGCGTACATGGCCATCCAGCAGCCGCTTGGCAGCATCAGGCCAACCCTATACACACCCATTTGGTATGCGGCCGGAACAAGTGTGTGCAGGGGTGCCCCTCCTCCTTGCTTGTCACTCTTCCTTGCCCACTGCAGCAGTTGCGTCTGCTGCCTTGGCGCTGTCGTCGCAGCTACGAACCTTATTTCACTCTGTTGTGTCAATCCTGGCGCCGCCGCCGTACAGATCCAAGCTGGCACTCGAATGGCTGAGATCCGGGTTCTGGTTGACCTCACGCCGCCCCAAGTGAGCGCTCGAATCACGGACTCCCGAGAAGTGGAGGAGCGAGTCGAGCCAGCCGCCGCCTGGGAGAGCCAAATGCGGGTAAGCTACTGGATCTCCGGTTCCTTACTTGGTTGTAGTTACTGCGCTACCGTATATGTCGTTCTCAGCGGGCAGGGGCTAACGAAAGCATCACGCACTGGAGCGCCGGCGCTCAGTACTGTCAAAGCGACATATCATCCAATTCTGAAACGCTTGGGAATATAAGTATATGTTCTAAATGAGGGACGCTCAAACCCGCAAGCCTGCTGGTCCATCCCTGGATGGGGTGCATGGGTAACGACATCGACCCCACTGCTGTACCATACCACATGCGACACGCAAAACTGATTGCGCATGCCCGTTCTGGTGGCTGCCTGCCTGCTTGCTTGCAGCGGGGCAAAGGGCGTCGGGCAGTGGTCCTGGAGCTCTCCTTCAGCGAGCAGCTCAGCCCCGACTTTGACCCTGCTGCTGCACTGAAGATCAGCGGGGTCTTCATCACGGAGTGGCTTGCGTCGCCTGACAACACCACGTACTACGTCCTTGCAGTGGGTGAGTACGGTAGTGCATGGCGTGCGTAGTGTGTCATCCATTTGATCCCCATTGTGGTCCCGGTGATGAGGCCTCTGTAACTCAAGAGCCGTGTATGCGGTACACTCGTTCTGCCGTGCATGCATTCATGCATGCATGCATGCATGTAGCAGTCGCTTCCTGAGGCACACATGCCACACATGCTGCAGCTGCTGCTCATGATAACTTGCCGCCATGAGTTACCCGCCGCCGCTTTGCGAACCATGCATGTTATCCTCACGGCTTCCGGCTGCAGGTACTGGCGAGGGCACCCCGAGTTTTGTGCTGCCGGCAGAGGCCTACCGTGACCTGGCGGGCAACCCCGGCTTTAACAGCGTCAACGTCACCTGCAACACGACATCACCGCAAGTCCTGGATTCCAACGTAGAGGGCATCTTAACTAACACCTCGCTTGCAGCATCCACACTCATACCTGCCGCTGCCGGGCTTTCTGGCCTGGTTTCAGGAGTTTCCGGTGGGTATTTTCCATTGAGAGCGAGTGCATGGCCGTAACACCGGCGGTGATGATCCCAAACCCTGTCGCCCCAGCCTTACATTGCACTTTGTTATAGAGGATTGTTAGGGTGCGGCTGTTGTGCATTTGCAACATGTCCCATGGGTCGGTTATTAGTGTGGACACCAGCGGCGCTAGATGCCGAAGCAAGCGTTTGCTTGGGCGCCGCAGCCCGAGGGCAAGGGTTAACGGGAAGTACCGAATCCTGCCATGCAAGGAAAGGGCAAGCGCCCCGAAGCAAAGGGAAAGAGAAAACCCGTACTGTAGACAGCCCGTGACCACCCGGGGAACCCTCCTCATGGGTACCGGTAAATGCAATTCCTTTCCCTGCTGCTGCTTACTGGTGTGCCTCCTCCGCCACATGGACACCCTCTATGCACCTGCAGATTCGCTCGCCAGGGCCCTTTTCGGCCGGGGGACGCTGCTGCAAACCAGCTATCACCTACAGATGATGGCTATGTCGGCTTACATGGCTTCCCCTGGAGTGGGAGACGTGTACAACAAGTACGCATCATACCTCAGGTCGGTGGGAAATACTGTTTGTACGGCGGGTAACTAACGTGCCCTAGGGAAGCAGCTGAGTGGTCTGCTTTCATCAGCTCCTGCAGCAGACCATACATACCTAGCCGCAAGACGTTCGAATCTACAGCTGCACATGCGGGTGTCACAGCACGCAGCACGCAGCGCAAGTGTATTGATGGATACAACCAGCATACAACACATAGCAAACTGAAAACACATGTAATAAATCTAATAATCCCATGGCCCATCTTGACCTCGACAGGTGGAGTCTGCTAAGCTGGAAGGGGCACTTGGAGGCGTTCGACTCGAGGTTTTCCAACACAGAGGTTGTTGTGAATGCTACAGCATTCGCCAGGGACAACATGCTAGGCGCCTGGCCAGTGGCCGCCCACCCCCGGCCGTACCCGCCACCCACGACCTTCTGGCTGCCCCCACCTCCACCTCCTCCCACACTCTCGCTGCCGGGCGTCTATGCAGAAGGGCTTGGTGCGGCAGGCAACGCCAGCAATGGCAGCAGTAGCAGCAGCGGTTCTGTACCCTCAGCAGGCAGACGGCTGCAGCAGTCCCAGCAGCAGCAGCAGCAGCAACAGTACTCCGCCGTGCTAACTCCATATCGCCAAGTGGCATCCGCTCTGCTGCCTGATGAAGAGGCGATGGATGCCGATAGCGGCATCACACGAGCCCTGCTGCAGGCGGCCAGCATTGCAGTGGTTTCAACTGCTTCCCCCCCACCCGCTGCAAGCACCACGGCTGCTGCCGCCTCAGCTCAGCTCTTGAGTGCGTGGCTTCGGAACCAAACTGGCTACAACAGCAGCACCAGCAGCAGCGGCGGCGTTGCGGGGTACAGCCCGGTGCAGTACTACCAGCTCGAGTGGATGCTCGACTCTATCAGCTCTGCTCCTCCTGGCAGCAGCAGCAGCAGCCCCCCCGGAGGTAGCGCTGCAAGCAACGGCAGCACCACCAACGCTGGGTTAATGAGCAGCGACAGCAGCATTGGTACCTCGGGGGCCTCCCTGCAATGGGGAGCAGCAGGCAGAGGCGGAGCCAACATGACCATCGCTGCTGACGAACACATTACCACCACCTACATGGCTGACATGCAGGACTTGCTGTACACTTTGGCAGTTGCGATCGTACTCGTGGCATGTGTATCCGTGCTTCGCTTCATCGCGGCCTTCCTATACTGCTGGCTGCTTTCCTCGGAGGTACCGCCGTTCCTGTCTTTCCCTCGTCTGGAGATGATGGTTGGTGGGCTTGCGCTGGTTGCGCTGTCCTTCTACTCGTCCCTGGCACTGGGAGGTCCGGCTGCTGACTGGGCTGACAGCCGCACGGCATCCATCGTGGTGCTGCTCGGGGTGGTGCTACCGTACACGATATGGCTGTGGTGGCTGGCGCTGGGGCGACTCTGGCTTATACGGACGGTGAGTGACGACGTGTGGTGTCAAGACGACACGTGACGCAAACAAACATAAACATGTGATGCCGTGACTCAATCAAGTGGCGCTCGTTTACATGCATGGATGCGCAAGTGCCTTGCGGATTGGGGTGCTTACCTGGCATGTTCACAGCGTTCATAGAGTGCATCGCCGGTTCGCCGCTTCCTACAGACGCCATCCTATTCCGTCCATCATGCTTCAATCTGCCCCTTTTAACCTAGCCGACTGTCTGCATGAGCACAGTTTTATATACGGTATGTTAACCCCCGTGTCATTGCTGGTGCGAATAACCCCCATGACATACAGGAGAATCGAACACCTGCAGATCTATACGCTCGCGGTCCCCACTGGAATCAGTTCACTGGTCCAATGGTCGGCGATATCCATCACGTCAGTCGCAGCAAAACGGAGAAGCCACGTCGTATCAGCGCCGCTGCCACTCGGCGTTACGGCGTTGCTACTGTTGATGAAGCTCGTGGCAATCCCTCCGAAGATGACAGGTACCTCGCGGGCCCCCATTGGCGCACCACACATGCCGCGACCGGAACCGCTGCGGGCACCAGCAGTCGATCCGCCGCCACCTCGGTTAACGCGGGCGCGGAAGCCCGCGGCGTGAAGGGTGCTATCAGTACGGAGCGCTGGGCGCAAGCGGCTGCTAACAATGCTAACGGTTTCCTAGGGCGCATGCGAAGGAGTCTCCTGTTGCAGATTGGGGGAACTGCGGCTGCTGCTTCCCCTGGAGGCGGTGTCAACAGCGAGCAGTTACAGACCAGCGGCAGTGGCAGGCGTCCAAGGCCCCAAACCATGATTGCCGCCGGGTCGCATGAGATGGGCAGCGGACGCAGTGCAGACGGCCAAGACGTCAGCGATGACCCACGGGTCGGCAGAGCCAGGCGTGCCCCTGCTGCTGCCCCCAGTGAAGCCTACCTGCACCAGCAGGTGATGACATCAGGTGCCAACCAAGCAATTGTTGGCGGACGCAGCACGGACGGCCAGGCTTACGACGATGAGCCTCGGGCTAGCAGGTCCAGGCGTGGTGCCGCAGCGCCCATGGAGGCATTTTCGCACCAGGTGATGACGTCCGGTGGCTTTGTTCGCACCCGCCGTAATGAGGTTGACGAGGAGGAAAGTCCCCCTACCAGCCGGCGCAAGCTGCGTGCCGGCGAATCCGACGCGCCCCATGTTGGCCAGCTGATGACTGCTGGAGCTCATCGCTCAGGACCCAAGCCGCGCAAACCCTCCTTAGATGGTGGGGATCCAGGTCCCAGCAGGCCTCCCAAAGCGGAACCCCCGCCGCAGGGCCCAAGCTACATGCAGGTCATGACAGCTGGCGCCGTCTTCAAAGCCCAAGAGGATGACATGGAGGACTTTGGGCCCATCCGCCAGGACTCGGTCCCAGAACCCAGTAACCTCTCGAAGCCACAGACGCGGCTGCAGCCAAGCAACTCCACGATGATGGCCATGCTGCTGAACCCCTTCGCGGTTCCCCGGGCGAGTCTGATGATGCCGCAGGGCAGTGGCGGCGGTGGGCTGCCCGCGGCAGCGGCAGCAGCTGGAGGCAACCTCCTGCGTGCTGGGCCGGCGGGTTACCAAGCTAACGAGGCCGCAGCAGGAAGGGGCAGGCGGCCCCGGGGTCCCGTTGCTGAGGCCACAGAGGACATGGAGGTAAGGGGGTTGGGCGGTGCGAATGGTAGCCGGGGCTGCGGCTGGGGTAGCTTGGGCCTTGCTGGGTGCATGGCTGGGGAGTGCGGACCTTGCATGTTGCAAAGAGGTTTCCACATATTGGCCGAACTAGTAGTGTTGTGAGGGCGCCCTATCCGCCGTTCTAGTAGCCGTCCTAAAAGCCACCCTAACAGCCAGTCGTGTTGAGCGATATAATAACAAACAAAGCATTTCGTCTCTGAGCTTGCGCTCTGGCGCAAAACTCATCTGCCACTGCAGCGCATGTTCAGGAACAAAACACGCGTCCCTGCCTGGTCCGCCCCCTGGCAATAGTATCTCACCAGCCCACCCTCCCGGTTCGCCGTACCCGACCTGCAGGCCGATCCAAGACAGTCAAACCCGGGCGCCTCCCCCTCACGCCGTATCCGGCCGTACCCGCAGGTGGCTCCAGCGGAGGGAGTAGGTGCCACTGCCTATAGCGGCAGCCCCACCTCAGATCCCGACCTCATGATGGTGTCAGCACGCATCACGCCAGGACTAGCTGGGGACGACGAGGGCGTTGACGAGAAGTTCCGGAATGTCAGTGGCGGCGGCGGCGCGCCCAGCCGTGCAGCGTCTAGGCGGCCGGCTATCGGCAATGGCGACCAAGACGATGGAGATGCGGTTGTGCGGAGCGCCGAGATGCATCCCCGGAGGTAAGGCAGCAGAGCACAACAGTCTATATATGTCCTCAGTGGACATGCTTATTTCCTGCTTGCCTAACTAACCAAGTAAAGGGTGGCCCCGCTTCCTCCTCGCGCTCCCATCCATAAACCATGCTCACAAGACCACCAGCATTACTAACGCAGATGGAATGCTTGCATCATCTCACCCTGCTGGCTCTCACAACTGTCTACCAACATGGGTTGCCTCTTTGCGCCCTCCCCATGCCCCTTTCCTTCCAGTGGCCATGGCGGTCCTCCACTGGACCCGCTCCCAGGACTTCCCTGGTTCGCTCTCCACCGCTACCTGTCGCCCCCGCTGCCCGTTTGGCCGCCGCCGGCCCACCAGCAGCACGGGGCCCTCACCCGGCCCAGCCGACCCAGCGTCGTGAGCCTCACCGTGGAGGCCGCTGATGCTGCTGCTGCTGCTGCTGCTGCACACCCGGTTCCTCCTAGGTTCAAGCAGCGCTGCAGCCTTCGACGGCCGGATGAGGAGGAGATGGTTGTGGCTGCCGAGTCGTTGCGTCATGCGGGTGTGATTGACACTCTGGCTGATGTGGACGTCTTCGATGTGTATGTTGATGACGAGGAGGAGGTGTTTCTGGCGTACGAGTACGGCTTCTACCTGCCATTCTTCTGCGGTGTGGCAGCGCTGCCGCCTGCTGCCAGGCTGCGATGGGATGCGAACCCCTTGGCGGCTTCCTTCGTGGCCCGTTGCCTCATTCCGAGTGACCGGGTGATGGCTCGTTTCTCGTTTTTGTTTGAGGATGCCCTGGGGGTGAGTGCGGAGTAGGGGGTTCCTCATAACATGGGGAGATGGGGTAACTGCTGGGACGGAGATGCACGGAGGAATGATACGTTGATACCACATGCTTCTCTTGCTGCTTACAAAGCTCTACGACTCCTTCGAGCCTGATGCATGCCTATCTACAAATGTGCTATGTGTCTGTATCAGCTTTTGCCTTAGTCGCCTTTAGCTACCGTACTCAATGTCGCCTTGTGCCAACCATCCCAACTAACAGGATCCCAACGAGGACCCACGGGTCGTTCACCGTGCGCATACGGAGCCCTTTGTCCTCCTCGCAACCCCCATCAACTTCACCCACAAGGTCACGTGCGCAGTTGTGTTTGGCTACTTCGGCCTCTACCAGAAGAGCGTGTTGCAGCTCGGACTGCTGATAGCACTGCAGGTGCGTGGGATGAGTGTTAGCAAACAGTCCTTACCAGCAGGGTTTGATAAATAGTGGGTGGGTATCTCGCCTATTGGCGTTTGGACCGTTGGTAGGCCGGGCTCAACCGAACATCTGTGTGAAGCCCCCTATCCCATGCATCATGATCTCCATTCAACACGTCCTCGCCAACCGGTACCCGCCCTTCTTTCCGCATGCTATCCTACTTTACTTTACGGCTGATCCTAATACCGTACGCCCATACCACCCGCCCCCGTCCCCCGCCGCTGCTGCTGCTGCCGCCTCACCCACAGGCCGTCATGCTGGCCTTCCTGCTCCTCATTCGGCCCTACCGGCGCAAGCTGCTGCAGGGGGTGGAGGTCCTGGCACACACGTTCGAGCTGGGGCTGTTTGTGTGCGCCCTGGCGGTGGCGGGGCACGCGCCCGGTGTGCCCGCCTTCCCCACCCTCATCCTCCTGGCTCTGCTCATGGGCACGTTGCTGCTGGTGGCGCTGTTTGAGCTGTACCGGCTGCTGTCGCTGCTGGCGCAGGCGGTCAGGCTTTTTTGGCAGAAGTGCTGCTGCGTTGTCATGGTTTCGGCCCCGCAGCAGCAGCAGGACTGATGTGGGCAAGTGGACAGGATGCGGCGGGCATGTGCCCGGGAAGCGTCCGGGAAGAAGCAATAAGAGAGGTATATGGAAGAGAGGGAGGGCATACAGCACACCCTCTCATTCATCTCCAACGGTAAAGCGTAGCAAGTGTGGTGATGACGGTAGGAGCAGTGGCTGGGTCAGAAGGAAACCACGCAATCGGCGTGGCGTGGTGGCGTTAATTATAAGGGCGGCTTGAGCGCAGGCGAACGCATGGCTGTCGTCTGCAGTAGGGCGGGCTTTTGCTTGGTTTGGGTGTTTGGGGTTAGTAAGTATGGGTTTGGGGCTCTATAGGTGGGTGTGAAGGCCCATGTTACAGGGGCACACACACGCAACACTGAAACTGGCATTCATTGAAAGTAAGGCCGGATCCGCCGGCCGGATATGCAGCAGCGAACGGGCGTCACGGTTGACCTGGGGCAACAGTGCGTTGTATGTGCAATCAAGCAGTTCCTCGTTCACTGCTAGCTGCGTGTACTGCGTGTGCTGCGTATGGTACTATAAGCGTAACTTTGTGTGAAAGGGCAGTGCTGAAAACGCACCGGCTCGAGTTTTCAGATGGAATGATGGTCAGGCAGGGGTGCCCTTGCTGCCGTGTCGTTGCTGCCGTACCTCCAACACGCAAGGTGGGACGTTGGTCGCGGGTGGTGAGTCAATCCACCATGATGACTAACCACCACCATGCATGCGCTGGCATGTGCACGCCAGCGTGACATCCAGTTGGTGCCCGGGATGTGACCCTCTTTCCTTTCCTGGCGTCGCCATTGTATTCATTGTCATCGATCGAGTTCTTGGTCCAGTTTGCTAGAAACGGCGTGCGACAGTCTTTGTCAGTGGCTTAATCTGGCGCAATATTATAGTATGTGTAGTTGAGACCCCTATGGTTGGGGGTGCATATCCGGTGCTCAGGACGCTAGTGTTAGGTGGTGTGTATTGCAATGCGTTGACCATCCTTTGGTTCAGCATAGGGTTCGCGCGCAAACACCTCGACATTAAAATGTAAGCCTAAGGCCAAAATCCTAACCTCGCACGGACTTGAGCTTGCCAGTAGCTTAGGATGGGGTCGTAGGAAACGTAGCTCCCGGGTAGTCGAGTTTCCGGAATCTGGACTCGCACACAAACAGGGGTTACCGGTATGACATTCGCGCGCCGCAAACCTCCCTTCCTTCCACCCATGCCGCCCTGCCGCCCCCTAACACACCTGTTAGCTCCATAAGATGCAATCTAGCTTCAAGCACGACATCCAACTCCCTACCTTCCTGCCCTGCCACAACCCCCCCCCTCCTGTCACAGGCCACAATCACCCGGCTCCAAGCGGAGTACTCCTTTCATACCCTGCCCTGCCACAGCATGCATGCCTCCCCAACCCGCCCATCACCCACCTCCCCGCCCTAGGCGTCACACCCGTGCACCCAGCCACCCTCTCTCTCACCCATCCCCGTGTAACCCAATACCGCTAGGTATCTGCTACCCCTTGCATATCCCTCCTTTACAACCTCCACAGGACACCGCTGACTGAAGCCTCCCCTGCGCCTCTTCGCTCCTCCACGCCCCCTCGCATCCTCGCGCCTCCTCACATCCTACCCCCTCGCGCCCCCTCACACCCCCTCGCGCCCCCTCGCTGCCCCACGTCCCCTCAGGCCCCCGCCGCCAGCGCCGCCGCCACCTGCTGCTGGCGAGCTGGCGGCAGCAGCTGCATGGCCGCAGCCAGCAGCGGGGCGGTGTCCGGGCCCGCCTGCAGCCCCCGCAGCAGCGCCCACGTGGCGGCCCGCAGGTCCAGTCCATGCAACGGATCCGAGGCGGCAGCGGCTGCAGAGGCTGCTGCTGTCGTGGTGGGGTTGTGTTGCTGGTGGTGGGGTTGGTCATGCTGTTGTTGCGGTTGGTGGTGGTTGGATACCAGGGCTGAGTCGGCGGTTGGCGGCTGGAGGCTGCGGTCGAGGTGAGCGTCCAGGGAGGCTTGCTGCGGTGTGGGAGTGGTGGTGGGCGGGAGGGAGGGAGGGGGTGAGAAGGGACCAGCGGCGGGATGAGATCATCATGATGACTTCATGAGGCAGTAAGGCCACATCGGTTGGCCATGTAATGAGGTGCGCCAGCACCACGGGAGCGGAGCGTGTACCGGTATGGCACCTTCGGCGCCGGCGGGTGCGCCCGCGGGGCCACCCACCTCCCCGCCTCCTTGCGCTGCCCCTGCCCCATCCCCTGCCCCACCCCCTGCCCCACTCCCGCTCCCGCTCGCACCTGCTGCTTGTCCATGCCCCTGCCGGACAGCCGCAGCTCCCTGTCCGCCCCGCCGCACCCGCCGCTCTCCTCCTGCAGCAGCGGCGGTGGAGCATACAGGTACACCACTTGTTTACAAACAACACTCAGACAGCCGCTACACAGCGCGCCCCCCACACCCTCTCCTCTCCCCTTCCCTCTCCTTACCTCCTCCTCCAGCAGCCCCTCCTCGCTGCCCTCCTCTCCCTCCTCCTCCTCATCCTCCTCGTCCTCATACTCCTCATACTCCGCCTCCCCCTCGCTCTCCCCTTCCTCCCCCTCCTCCTCCGCCGCCGCCCCGCCCGCCGCCCAGGGCTGCTCCAGCGCCATTTCCGCCGCCACCGCCACCATCCGCACCGCCGCCGGCACCTCGCTCCACACCTCCCCGCCGGCGGCAGCCGCCTGGCGCCGTGTACGCACCCCACCTGCCAGGTCCTGACGCACCCCCCGAACCTGGTGGGTGGTGCAGCGGGGGCAGGACAGGACAGGACGTACGGGTCGGCACGGGGCGGGGCGGGGCGGGTGTGTTGGTAAGGAAACTGGCCAACACACCCGGGTCCCAGTGGGGGCCACACAAGGCCGCACCCCACCCCCCAGTTGATAGTTTCCTCTTCATCCCCCTCCCCACCTCCCCTTCCCCACCTCCCCCTCCCCACCTCCCCTTCCCCACCCTCCCTTGCCTCTCTCACCCGCACCGCCCCCAGCAGCGGGTGCCTGCTCCTCAGCGCCTCCAGCAGGCCCGCCAGGCAGCTGCGCCCCGCCAGCGCCCCGCGCACCTCGCCCCACCGCTCCACCAGGCGGGGCAGCACCACCTGCAGACCGCTGACGGGGGGGGCGCCTGGGAGGAGGGGAGGAGAGGGGGAGGGGCAGGGAGGGACAGGGAGGGGCAGGGAGGGGCAGGGGAGGGGCAGGGAGGCAGTGGAAGAAAGTATCACAGCAGCAGGCATCATCTCGTCTTTCCAACCCTCACTCCTTCCTCACCCCCCCTCCCACTTTGCTAGGACAAGTGCCCACTCCGGCACCGCCTTCCCAACCCCACACCCACTGCAAGCTCGTAAAGGCGTGTACTTCGCAATCAGGAACGCCAGGGCTGTTGTCTACCTGCCCCTTACCCCACCCCCCACCCCGCGCCCCCCACCCCACCTCCGGGCACCGTAACGCTCATCCCAGCCAACGCCTCCACCCATCCGCCCCCGCCGCCCGCCACCGCCATCAACCCCAGCGCCGCCAGCAGCCCCCCCACCAGCGGGGACACATTGCTGGCAGCCAGCTTTGCCGTACATGCCGCCAGCAGGCCGCCCAGGGCGGGTTGTACGGCAGCCCTCGAGGGCAGGTGTCGTACAAGTGCCGCCGCGAGATCTCCCGCCAGGCAGGTGCCGTACTCATCCGCGGCTGGATCCAGCAGGCGGTGTGTGGCGGTGAGGAGGGCGGAGAACACGGCGTCTTCCGGGGAGGAGGAGGAGGAGGAGGAGGAGGAGGAAGTGGCGGGGGCTGGGGAGGAGGAGGAGGAGGGGGTGGAGGGGGAGAGGAGGAGGGAGGGGGCGGCCCAGGACAGGAGGTCCTCACGCCCTGCTCGGAGCTGTTGGGGTGGGGTGGGGTGGAAAGGGAGTGAAGGAGGGTGGGGGAGGAAATTAGTAATAAGTTGGGTGAAGATGGTGTAAAGGAGATACCCAAGGAGCCGCAGGGCAAGTGAGTGGGCCGAGAGCGGCAGCAGCAGCAGCCCACCAGCAGGCACCATGGGTCGTCGCAGCGGCACCAGCGGCCGCATGAAGCCCTCCGTAACCCCCCGTTCCCTCCCCCTCCCTCTTCCCCCCCACACCACACCAAGCGTGCCGTCGTAACTGCCATTCTCGTTCAACACGGTTAGCATTCTCCCTCCCCCTCCTCTCCCCCCTCCCCCCCCCACCAGCTCCACCAGCAGCTCCGCGGCCCCATGCGCCAGCGCCCCCCTGGAGTCGTCCAGGCCCGCCCGGCTCCCCCCCGGCAGCAGCTGCAGCAGCGGCCCCAGGCAGCCGCCCGCCACCGCCGCCACCACGGGCGGGCAGGCGGGGCGCACCAGCCGGCTCAGCAGGTCAAGACAGCCCTCCAGCAGGCCGGGGGGCTGGGTGGGGGGGAGGAGGAGGGGGGAAGACGAAGAGGAGGATGGAAGGAGGGAGCAGGGGGGAGGTGAGGGGTACGAAACGGGGCGACAGTGATGCACCCCGCGGGCATGGAGGGCAGGAGGCAGGCTAGGTGGACACGCCTTCAGCCCCCTGCCGCCTCGACCCCGCTACACCCCGCCCCCCCTCCCCACCCTCCCTCACCGCCTCCTCCGGCCGCTGCACCACCCCCGCGAGCACCGGCAGCGCCCGCCCCGCCAGCTGCCCCATGCAGGCGGGGATGCGGGCCAGCGCCCCCAGCAGCTCCAGGGCGGCGGAGCTCACCAGCGGGTCGCACACGTGGCGGGACCACACCTGGAGGGGGGGAGAGAGGGAGGGGGAGGGGCGGAGGGAAGGGGGGAAGAGGGCGGGCAGGTGGGGGAAGAGAGGAGAGGTTCTAGCATGCCAAGAGCCGCCAACCCCATGAGCGGCCTACACCTGTAGGAAGGAGGCTACACCTCTCACACCCCGCCCTCCCCCATCATGCCCCCCCCCAAACACACACGCACCCACGTACCTCCAGCACGGGACCGGACAGCGCCGGCAGGGCTCGTGCGGCGGCCTCGGGGTCAGCCTGCGGGTGGGTGGGGGACAGCGGGTGGAGGGCGGGTGTAGGGGGGAGGGGGTTACCAGTAGCAATTGGAGGAATGGAAAAGCAGTGCCGACCTCACGCCCCTCGCCCCTCCCATTGCTTTGGTCTTTTCCTAAACGTCCCTCGCCAACTTGCTTCGCCCTTGTTTTCCCGTCTTCCCCCGCCCACCCGCCTGCTGCCCACCCCCGCCCCCCACCTAATCCAGCCTAATGCGGAATCTTCATCCCTGTAAACCCCCCACCTTGACGAGCGGGGTGAAGGTCTCCAAAACCAGGTTCAGCGCCTCCTCACCCACACCCTCGCACCCACCCCCTCCGCCTCCGCCTCCTGCTCCTGTCCCCTGCCCCGCACCCCCCAGCATCAGCAGGTCCAGCAGTCCGCCGTACAGCTGGGGTGTGAGGGGGGACAGCACGGAGGGGGGCACGCGGGGGGCGAGGGAGGCCAGCGCCCGGCAGGCGCCTGGGCGAGGGGGAGGTGGGAGGGAGGCAGGGAGGGGTCCGGGAAGAGGGAGAGGGGTTGAGGAAGGGCGAGGGAGGGCCATGCGGCGAGTTCTAGTGAGGTTGTGGACCCGCAACCCACGCACGGTGCAGGTGTGTATGTGAAAGCTCTGCATGTCCACTGCCTGTCCTCCCACCCCCCACCCACCTATCTTGACGGGGGGCGGCAGGCCGCTGCACAGCCCCGCCCCCGCCGCCGCCAGCAGCGCCGCCCGCTGCTCGGGTCGCAGCAGCGGCTGCAGGCGCGCAGCCAGCCACATGGCACGACCCACCAGCAGCGGGGGGCAGCGGGGGTCCTGGGGGGGAGGGGAGGGGGGGGGGAATACACAGCCAGACAAGTGAACAGAGGTTGCGCAGCGGGTGTCTGGGGTGTAATGGTAAAAGGCAGGCCGCTCCGCCGCCGTCACCGGAGCAGCGGGTAACAGGGCTCCTCCCCACACACAAAAGCCTGAGTTGCGTGTTACTACATTAGTGTGCTCATTGCGGGACTTGGAATTGGGACTCCGTTGCTGCACGTCTCTTTTATCCTCCCCCCCCCCCACCTCCCCCCACACACACACCTGCAGGTCCCCTCCCAGCACCGCATCCACCACCCCCTGCAGCCGCCGCGACACCGCAGCAGCCGCAGCCCGCTGCCGTGTCCCCCCACCTCCACCCCCGCCCCCCGCCTCGTCCCCCAGGCCGCCGGGGAAGGAGGCGGCGCAGCAGCCGGCGGCCAGGAGTGCGGCTTCCCGCAGCTTCCACCAGCCGACCTGAGGCAGAGGGAGGGGGAGGGAGGGAGGGAGGGAGGGAGGGAGGGGGAGAAGGCGGTGAAGCAGGCGACAGAGAGGAGGAGAGAGGGGTATGGCACTCAAGCACACAACCGACGTCTTTCAAGAGGCAATGGGAAGAGACAGTGGGAAGAGGCAATGGCAGGTAAGGGCGTCCCAAGGCGGGTTGGTGGGTCTGTCTAAGCCCCCCCCCGCCCCCCCCCCGCCCTACCCTGCCCGCCGCCCGCTGCTCCGCCGCCTCCCGCATGCGCGCCTCCACCGCATCCATCACCGCACCCGCGGCGTTGCAACCAAACGCCTGCAGCAGAAGGTGGGGGCAGCAGGGGGGCAGGGGGGGGGATTTGGAGGGAGCCAGAAGCAGCAGCAGGGGCCGAGGGGGAGGGGCAGCAAGGGCAGCAAGGGAAATGAATGAGAGTACCAAAACCGGCCCGGACACGGCGACATGCAGGGCATAAGGCATAGGGCATAGGGCATAAGGCATAAGGCATAAGGCTCGCCCCCGCCCCCACTCTCCCCCCCCCCCCGCCCCCACCTGCATGACCGAGTCCAGCAGCAGCTCTCCGCTGACCCGCACCGTGAAGGTGGAGTCCTCCTCGTCCGCCACGTACTGAGACGCGTTGGAGGCCCACTCAGAGGCCTGGCGGGCGGTCATCTGGGGGGAGGCCGGGGGGGGGGAGAGGGGAGGGGAGGGGAGGGGTGGACAGAATGTTTAGTGGAGTTCGTTACTGTTGTTGAACGCGTGAGTAAGAAGGGGCAGAGGCTAAGAGGGGGCTAGGCCTAGACCTGCATGTACGACACCCCCAGCAGCGCCCTACCTGCATGTACGACACCCCCAGAAGCGCCATGTCGGGCAGTGCGGGTTTCATGAGGCGGGCTGCTCGGGGCTGCCCCACCAGCGCCATCAGCAGCTCGAACAGCTGGCCGGGGGGAGGAGGGGGGAGGGAGGGAGAGTGGTTAGGAGGGGAGGGAAAGGGTTTCCAGGCGTTGTGTTAGGGTTTATTCGCAAGTGATTGGTGGGATTGAGGCGCAGGCAAGGGAGAGGACACCGCGTCCTTCGTCCTTCGTCCTTCCCTCCCCGCAGCCCTAAACCTCTCACCCCCGGCCCCCCTCCAGTTCTTCCCCTCGACACCCCTCCCCACTATCACAGGGCCTGGGCTCCTGGTCTTCCTTCTTCTATAATACCTTCCCCCCCTGTCCCCCCCCCATACACACCTGCGCCAGCAGCGCCTCCAGGTCCAGCGTGTTTCCCTCCGCATCCACCTCCGCCGCCACCCCTCCCTCCTCCTCACCCGCACGCCCGCCCTCACTGGGGGAATACACCAGGTGCAGCTGAGGGGGAGAGAGGGGAGGGAAGGGGAGGGGAGGGGAGAGACGGGGAGGGGAAGGGAGGGGAGGGAGGAGGGAGGGGGAGGGAGTGCGGGGAATGGGGAGACATGGTGCAGCGGGAGGGAGGGCGGGGCCGGCACGACCTGTGGGGGTCCACGTGTCGCCTCCCACCTAGCTACTACACCCGCACTACTGCCCCCCGCCCCCCCTAGGGCTTGTTATCTAGCTTACCACGGTCACACCCATTGGGAATCCTTCTTTCCCCCCCCCCCCCCCCCCACTGGGATGCGTGTCTTTAGTATAGTGTCTCCGAATGCGCTCACTGCATGAGTCGGGATATGGGATTGGGACTCGTTGTTTCACTTTATGTAATTTTTCCCTCACCGTGTAGCAGCTCAGCGACTCCGCGAACATGCGCCAGCAGGCCGCCAGCACCGGCTGCAGGTGCGGCTGCAGCGGCCGGCTGAAGTACGACATCAGCTGCGTGAGGCACTTGAGGCACAACATGCGGACGGACCAGCCGGAGGAGTCCTGGGGGGGGGGGAAGGGGGGAGGGGGGAGGGGGGAGGGGCGGAGAGGGGGCGTGTGGGCCGTGCCGGCTTGGGGCTTGGGCAGGGGTTGATTTGACCAACCATTATTGTAGTGGTTTCCCCCTCCCTCCTTTGCTCCCTCCCTCCCTCACCACTGCTGAATGCCCACCCCCTTCTGTCCCCTCCCCTCCTCTTCTCCCCCCCCACCTCCGCACTGAGCTGCGCCGCCACCTCCGCGCACAGCAGCGGCATCCAGGGGGCCACCAGCGGCACCAGCAGGTCGCGAACCTGGGGGGGAAGAGGGGTGGTGGGGCGGGTTGGAGGTGGCGGGAGGGGAGGGAGGGCCGGGTGGAGCCTGGAATGGCAGTGACAGCACCCTTCGCAGTGCGAAACCGCGTATAAGCCCCACCAGCTGGCGACCACACCTCTCTCGCCCCCACCCCACCCCTAGCCACCCCCTTCCCACCACAAACACAAACACCCACACTCACTCCCTTCCCCCACCTGCCGCTGGTACACCCCCGACATGACTCCCAGGCAGCGCAGCACGTCATGGAAGATGGACAGCGCCGCGGACCGCAACTCTGCAGAGGCAGTAGCGGTAGCGGTGACAGCGCTGCTGCCGCTGCCGCCGCCGGGTGTTCCTGCTGCTGCTGCTGCTGCCGGCTGGGCGCTGGCCACCTGCAGGAGCTCCGGCAGCAGCACCTGGGCCACCTGTGAGAGGGGGGGGGCGGCAAAGACCATACCAAAACATAGGAAACCACAGGTTTGGGCAAAGCAAGGGGGGTAGAGGGGGGGGGAGAAAGAAGAATGTCGTATGTGGGGGGGAGGGGCAAGGATTGAGAGGAGGCAGGAAGGGGAAAGAGGAGGAAGAGGATGGCGCTGTGAGGGTAGACACGGCCGACATGTCCGCGGGAAGCTGCAAAACAGGTGGGGGACATCCACGTGCCTGAGGGAGCTGCTGCTCGTCGATATCGTCGCTCAGGAGTGACAAGCATCGGATGGCGCCCTGAACGAGAGTTGTGTTGGTGCTCCGCTGCGTGTGGATGGCACCGACCAGGTTCTCGATAAGCCCGGGCCAACCGTCAGGATCGGTCTTAGATATCGCCGCGATGCACATAGAAACAGCTGTTCGGACTTTGGAGCTTGCATCCGCCAGGCCGGCCGGAAGAATGGCCTGGATGTGAGCCCTTTCCTCGCGCGACAGCTCCGGAGCCTGGAATTTCTGCGCCTCCGACGACCAATGTTTCGTAATTATCTGCTTCAAGAGCACAGCTGCCAGCTGCCGCACGCCCAAGTCGTTGTTCGTGAGGGTACCATCGGTGGCGAGGGTCGCAAGCGTCGACGCGAAGCCCGGATGGTGCACACCCGATTCAAGCTGTTGCTCAGCTGATTTTCGTGCGCTCCCGTCAATTGAGTATACACAAGTCTGGAGGCAGCGCACGACGTGCCCGACGGCTTCACTTCCGCCGTCGAGGGCCATCGCTCAAAGCTAATCAAACCTACGAAAGCATAAATTGATCACCTAGTTCAGCGTTGGTCAAGCACCCGACAACATGCGTGTTGGTTTCTGGAGGGCCAGCGCGGCAAATTCCAATTGTCGTAAACGTCGCCGAATGGATATCGCGGCCATGTGATCATGCAGTCCATCTTCTATCCGTTTAAGACACTCACATAATCCTAAGGGCTGGGGTGAAGACAGCTTCTGTTGGATGTCCGAGCTCTCGACGGCTTACTTGCAGCATGCGCAGCTCTGGACAACCGGAGATCCTAGAGCCCAAAGCTGACCGCCGCGTTGCCTGAGCTCCTGTTATCAGACGTCATTTGGTTCTTCGAGTTTGGATTTAATGCCCGGCTTCTTGACAGTGCCTAGGCACTGCTTGCATACATGCGGTACACATGTTTGGGTTGCCGGGACTCCACAGAGACAAAGACAGCAGGCTAGGAGCCTACCAGGCCCCTGGAAAGAACATGGTTAGCTCAGTCTCACAGAGCAAGCATCCTCTCCGCACAAGGCTGCATTTATTGCCGTGCATGACAAAACGGGGAACATGCAGCGTAACATAACCTGGACACACATCTTCATGTCGCATAATATCCACTCGATAAACATCACACACACACACTGTACCGCACTCGATAAACATCACACACACACTGTACCGCTCTGACCTGGGATACTGTACATGCACACAGTGCCCATCACTGCCTCATTTCCTACAATACTCGCTACCGCTACTCGGTCAAAATTGTGCGGCCTTACTCGCCTCATCCCAACCAGACCACCAGCACACCGCGCTCAATGTTCTGCCATCCAATGTGCCAATGTGCGCCGTACCATCCGCACGCCCATGCAAGCAGCGAAGTGCCGTTCCTGGCTCGTACGGACACAGGGGCGTGCAGACTGTAGCCGTAATCGCCTCGCAGGCACACACACATTCTCTCGCCCAGACCCTCACACGGGCACCTCACGCGCAGCAGCAAGGTCATGCGCACAAGCAGCGCTTTGCAGCACCGCATCCCTCTCTCCGCTCCGCCCTCAGCTCTCCACCATCGTTACAACAACACGCAGCAGCGCACCTGTCAGGACCGCACCCCCCCCAGCGCAGCACAAGGTCCCCACCACACCCCGCCCCGCCCGTCTCCTTACCACCAAGGTACGGTTCCACTCATCCATCCTCTGTACTACACCCACACCCCACCCTCCAGTGATCCCCCTCTGTACTACACCCACACCCCACCCTCCAGTGATCCCCCTCTGTACTACACCCACACCCCACCCTCCAGTGATCCCCCTCTGTACTACACCCACACCCCACCCTCCAGTGATCCCCCTCTGTACTACATCCCCGGCGGCGGCTTGCTAGCCGAGCCGCCCAGGTAGCACCAGGCGGCTGCGTTGAGTGCCAGCACCGCCCAGGGGGTCACCGCCTCCACGAACTGAGGATTGGGGGGGGGGGGAAATTGAATGGAAAGTGAAGCAACGGAGAGGGGGAAGGGTGGGAGGATATAAACTGAGCTGCGACCGGCGACGCGCCCGTATAGCGTGCATGCAGGCCGCAGTCGCGGCCGCCCGCCACAACAGCCACATTACGGGAAGCACGAACCAAGTATGCAAACCTCGCATGCTTATGGCCACCAACGCGCCATCCGCTGAACCGCCAGTGCACCCCTGCTGACATCGCTCCGCTCCAGCCCTCCCTCCCACCCTTGCCCCTACCCCCGCCCCAGCCTTCCCCACCCTAGCCCGCCTCGCCTGCCCTCTTCCATAGTTAACTTCCTCTTCACTCTCCCCCTAGTTTACCTAATCTCCCCCTTTTCCCACCCTAGCCCACCCTTTTCCCAGCCCCCACCCACCTCCTCCTTCGCCTGGTAAGGTGTCAGGTGCCGCCTGTGGGAGGATGAGGGCTTGCCGCCCGGCGCCTCATGGCCAACCCCCTGCGTGCCCCCTGCATGCCCTCCACCAGCACCACCAGCACCACCCAGTACCCCACCGCCACCACCCAGCACGGGTACATAGGCCGCCAGCACCCCGCCAAGACCGCCCATGTAGCCTAGCTGCTGCTGCGGTTGCTGCTGATTTGATGAATCCTGCATGGCCTGCTGTTGCTGCTGTGTGGCCGGTAACCGTTCCTGCTGCTGTTGTGACTGCTGCTGTTGCTGCTGTGGTTGTTGTTGCTGTTGTTGCCCCAGCTGCTGTTGCTGTGGCTGCTGTTGTGCTGCCTGCACCTGCTGCTGCTGCTGCCTGTGCGAGGCGCCGAACGCCTCGTTGTTGACGGCCTTCATCAGGCGCTGCATCTTCAGGCTGGGGGCGCTGGCGGGAGCGCTGCCGTCGTCCCTGGCGACCCACACAGGAAATAGGGGGAACGGACACACAGGAAGCAAGGTAAAGTGGTTTTGAGGGTGCGAGTGCGGCAATAGACAGCGCGCGCAGGCGAGGTGCCGAACAGACGGCCATGATTGCTAGAATGCGGCGGGGAAGGCGCGGTTATCCATGGTCCCCACCGCAATGTATGTACGGGCTGCTGCAGCCGCATGAAAAGAAGCAGCACCCCAGGCATCCGCACCCACAGCACCCGTGAAGAGCACCACCCGTTCACCTCCAGTAGGGGCACTTGTCCCGCAGCGAGCTCTCCGGCACACCCAGTCGCAGCACGGGCCGCAGCAGCTCCAGTGCCTCCGCCCACGTATCCAGCAGCCAGCTCACCGCGGGTAGTTGCAGCACGGACGGCTTCTGGGGCCGCACCAGCAGCACGTTGAAGGAGGGCTGCAGCGGCAGCCGCTCCGACTCCGGGGAGGACATTGTGAAGGACATGCGGGGAGGCGGCTTGCCGGCCTTGCCGGGCGGGCCTAGCGTGAAGTGGTTGAAGTCGTGGTGCACGATTTTGTATTTGTCCATGCCTGGTGGGCGGGATGCGGATGGTGGGGGTGGGAGTGGGTATGGGTGCGGATGGAGTGGGAGGATGGGGAGGCGGGAGGGTGTGGGAGGGATGCGGATGGGAAAGTAGAGAATCGCAAGGCAAAGGTGGGGAAGGGATGGGAAGGAGCATTTGACGAGGATGGGTAGGGATGATGGTGAGAGGCGAAGGAGCAGGTAGAGAGCGGTTGGGTAGGTAAAAGCACCGACGACGGTGACACATAACTTTTGAATCCAGATAAGCTGAGGGGTCAAGCATTCATGTGCTTAAGCGTTCTTACCGACATGGGAGTGCCTATGTGCGTCAGCGCCGAAGACCGTCATTGTGGAGTACGCGCCCTGGTTGCTCCTAACGCGCTCCCTCGGGCTTCAGTAGCATTCAACCATGTAAAGCCCTATCAAACGGTGCAGGGCTGGTAATTGCAATTAGCAGCTGGTGGAAAAAGCGACGCAGCGAGGAATGTTCTTTGCAAGTAAAAGTAACCGGAGTTAACAAGGGAACAGATACATCTAACCGTAACAGTGTTTGATATTAATGCTACTGCTTTAGGAGTGGGGGCGACGCACGACAACCTGCAGCTCATCACTCCTTACAGACAGTTGACGAAGCTGTACTTGTTCACAGGGTCGATGCAGTTATATGCAAGTATGCGATAACGCATAAGCTGACCGGGAATCCTTTCTTACTTGCTGCCACTTACGTTGCTTCAATCAATACATAAGAGGTAGCATTCTATGAGGGGGGCGTTGCTGCCCCGCGGCTGCCCAGGCGGCTTGCGTGGGTCAGCTTCTGCGGTTGCAGATGTATTAGCTGCGCCGGTTCGCGCCGTCGCTGGAGCAGCCGAAGGCGACCCATCACCGGAACTGCTGCGCACCGCCGACGGTCCTACTGAACAGAGTTGCAACTTAAACACTCAGTGCAGGACAGCAGAAACATCTAGCACCTGCACTACTCCAAGTTTACTGGCGCTCAGAAGCGCAGCCGATGCCGGGCCCATAGCAAATCCGCTCGCGGCGCCGCCCGAGAGCTCTCGGCCAGTAAGCGGCTTTACGTGGACAGCAACATCATCCATAGCATCTCAGCTTCCAAACCGCTGCTCATCGCTCTCGCCTGCGGGTCCTCGTCAATTGCATACCGGGCACGGCTCTGGCCGCGACCTGAGCCCTATTGCTCGCTCTAGCCTAGGCCGTCCGCACGCTCCTGGCCCCCTTGGGCGGGCCCAAAGCGTGCTAGCGGAGGACACTTGCCACGCGGCCGCGCCTAACCCCCCTGGTCACGCTGCCTTGGCCTCTGCTGCCTTTCCTGAGCCGCAGCGTGCAGCAGCTTCATCAGAGCTCCCACCTCAGGGATATCTGTACGTACGTGGCGGGAATGGATCAGCTGCTGCAGCTGCCGCTGGCGCCTCTAGCAGCGGCAGCGGAGCCTACTCGGGTGTCAGCGCAGCAGCCACTGGCGGCGATTGGAGCCCGGAACCACAGGACTCCGCGCTTGAAACCGACCAGCTAGCAGCTTTGTTCAGCGAAGTACCTTCTTCGTCAACCCCAGCACCATCTCCTGCTGGTTTCGGGGCAACCAGTTCTGGGGTCCCCCATCAACATCCAGCCAGCCGCTTTGCTGATCAAGCGTTGCCACGGTTGCAAAGCGTGTACAACACGACTGCTGAGGCGAGCAGCAGCAGGGCTCCATCCGCTCTTTCAAGCCTAGCCAGAGCCGCTGACAGCAGCAGCGCTGCTACCACAACTGAGGCGGCGCTACTGGAGGTGGCCTCGTCCTCTGGCGCCTCCTCCTCCTCCTCCTCCTCCTCCCATCGCCGCCTTACAGGGGGGCTCAAAATTGATGCTACCCGAGCAACAGCGCTATCACGTGTCGTACAACAGGCCCTTGCCGTACAACAACTCTCCCGACTGCGTGTACGGCCAGCCACGGCGCCAACAGCACCTCATGGGGCGGCAGGGGAGGCTGATGCTGCTGCTGCTGTTGCTCACCCGCAGCAACAGCCGCAGTCGGAGCTAGACTCCTCGGAGCTCGCAGCCGCCTCCTTAGCTCCTTCCTCGTCCTCCCCTGCGCCCGGGGAGGCTGTGCCGGCGGCAGCAACAGAGGCTGCTTCAACCGCCACTGGGACATCCTTTGCTGACGCTGCGCCTGCCGGAGGGGCACCCGCACAGGCCTCCCTAGGGCCCGGGTGGAGGCGGCCGACGCCTTTCGCAGCTGCCTCCTCCGCAGGTCCCTCCCGCGAGGCTGGCCGCGCTGCCGCACCGGCACCCGCACCTGCAGCCAGCGCCGGGGATGCGCTTGCGAGCGCCTCAGCCGCCCTGGATGCGGAGGCGGGGGTGATGGGGCTGCGTGCGGGGCGGCCCACGGCGGCGGCGGCCGCCAATCGTGGCGCCGCGGGTGGCACCGCCGCGGCGCTGACGCTGAGGGGACTGGCGCTGGAGCGGCTGTCAAGGCCGCAGCCGCTGCCGATTGGGAAGGCCGGGGCTGGTGCTGCGGTCGGTGGTGCTGCTCGTGCAGGGGCGGCGGCGCCGGTGAGCGCCTCCGAGCTGCGCATGCGGGCGCAGCGGCTGCAGGCGGAGCAGCAGCCGCAACAGGAGCAGTTGTGGCACGTGCAGCAGCAGCAACCTCAGCAGCAGCTGGGGCAGACGGGTGCGGTTGCGGACACGGTTGCCGTGGAGGCTGCGTCTGGGTCCTTCGCGGTTGCAGAGGTCAGGCGGGCTCCTGACGCAGCAGCTGCTGCCACAGTTGCTCCTGCTCCGCCGTCTGAGCCTTCTGCTGCTGCTACAGCTGCACCTGCTGCTAACGTCGGTGCCGCTGCTGCTGCGGCGGCGGAGCTCTTGCAGTACACCGACGAAATCCCAATGGTCGCCGTCACACCCAGCACCACCTCTACCACAGCTGCTGCTGCTACAACCGCCGCAAGCACTAGCGAGGCTGCAACGGCCACAACCGCCCCTGCGGTCTCCCTGCAGGAGCCGTCACACGCTCCGGCGCCTGCTGAGGCAGCTGCCACCCCGGCAGCAGCGGCCCCCCCCAGGTACTGCGACGACTACTTGACGCATGCGCCGCCTGATGACGAACCCTACCTGGGCGACCGGGATGAGGCGCTCAAGGTACGGCATAATCGTACTAGTACGGCACACGCTTTGTTTGAGGAATTGGTAGTGGATGTCGTACAGGCTTGGGTAGCGGAAGGTGTCCCCGATGTACGGAGCCCTGGACGTACAACGCAGGCCGTATCGCACCCTTGTTGGACCTACGGTGTTGTGCACTTGCCATTACCATCCAGCCCAGGCCTGCTGCCATCCCCCTGACCCACGCGTTTCTCTGCACTCCACCACACACTGCCTCCCCCCACATCTTTACGCATGCTTCTTCTTCTACTCCCCCCCCCTCCAACAGGCGGTGCCCAGGCGGCGCGGCTTCTTCGGCCTCGCCCTGTCCGGCCTCACTGCCCTGCAACAGCACGTGAAGGGTGTGGTGAGCGAGTGGCGTGCATGGGTGACACCGGGGGCTGCTCCGCCCGCGGCAACACCACCCACGCCGGACGTCCCGTCGGCGACGTCGTCGTCGGCAGCGGCTGCCCCTGCGGAGGCGGTAGCGGCGAGTGCCAAGCCCCAGCTGTCTCCAGACGCCGTGTATGATGACCTCATGGCCTCGTTGCGAACCGGCAAGCCAGCCGAGGTGGAGCAGCTGGCGGACCTGGTCAGCCCGGGTGCCACCGCTACAGCTACTGCTACGGCCACCGCCGCCACTGCCGTGCCACATGCGGCTGGGCGCCTGGCTGAGGCAGCAGCGCCGGCATCCGCAGCGCTGACGGAGGCGGTGGCGGCTGAAGCTGCCGACGCGGTGCAGCAGCCCATGGCTGTGGTGGCAGAGCTCAAGCCGCTTCCAGTGATGGAGGCAACGCCGGCGAGTGCAGTGGATGCCGCCTCCGCCACAGCCACGGCAGCTGAGCAAGCGGTGCAGCAGCAGCAGCTGGCCTCGGAGGCTGTAGCGTCTGCGGTGGCGGAGGTGGCAGCGGCGCCTCGCTCGCTTCTGGACCTGATTCGCAGCCAGGCGGCTCAGGAGGCGGCCGCCAGGTTCGCTGCCGTGCGGGAGGCCAGGGAGCGCCAGTTGAAGGAGCGCAAGGAGGCGGCGGCAGCGGCGGCGGCGGCACGTGCCGCTGCAGCCGAGGCGGCAGCGGCCGAAGCGGCGGCGCTGGCGCCGGCCATGCAGCAGCAGGTGGCGGCCCCTCTGGATGCTGAGGAGGGGCTGCATCAGCTGCTGTCGCAGGTGCCCACTGCGGGCCCGGTGGCGGGGGTGCCGGAGCTGTCGCTGGGGCCGTCGGGGGCATTCCTGGTGCCGCCGACACCGACACCGCAGTCGCAGCCGCAGTCGCAGCGTGTGGAGGTGTACCGGCAGCAGCAGTATCAGCCGTGGGCCCGGCGACAGCAGGGTGCGCATGGGGGCCCGGGGAGCGGGGGGGGATTAGGTTAACTGAGCCACGGAAACACTGACCCTGAACACCGGAACCGGGTGACATGTGGGATCCCCACCAGGGGTGGCAAGCTTGCAACATGGCTGCCTTCCCCGGGAGGGGTGTGTGTCTGATGGCGTGTCGCTGCCGTTTATTGTCTAGGACTGGCATGGCCCGGGCTCCTCCTGAGCACCCCTTGTGGGGGGTTCGGCAGGGTGTCCGTATCATCCCACCTTACCCTCATGTTCCCCCGCTTGCCGTGAGTGCCAGCCGAGCTAACCCACCCACTCCCTCGCACCCCCAGGCGCCCAGGCGCCCACAGGGCCCGATTGGGCGACGGAGATGGCGGCGCTCTTCACCGCCCCCGGCGGCTCCGCCGGCACCCCTGCCGCCGCTGCTGCCACCTCCGCCAAGGCGGCGGAGGCGGCCGTGGAGTCGTACACCGACGAGACGGCGGCGGCGCTGGAGGCAGCGGCGGTGGCGGACGCGGCGGCGGCGGCGGCACCCACCGGCAGGCGGTCCCTGTTTGGCGAGCCTCAGCAGGTGCCGATGTGGGGGTGCGGGTGCGGGTTTGCAATGTGTGCTGGCCTTGGGGCGGTGCTGGAAGAGGGGGAAGTGGGCTCCTCGGCTGCTGCGAGTAGGCAGGCGACCACGCATTCCTCACGCACATCCTCACATCCTCTTCACCCAACGCATG